TTCAATGCGCTCTTTTGGGGGCCTTCGAGGCTCAGTCTTTCAGTTGTGCTACGTACTATATGTAGAGGATCCGGGGCTTCCTTTAAGTGCGGTATACATGGTAACCAAATAAAGGTAGTGTAGGGGACTTCGGGGCTCCTTTATTAAATGGCGGTTTAGGGTTTAGGGTTTAAGTCCCGTACATTAGTGGGACGAGGGCCTGATTGGCTTCAGGCTTTTCTGCATGATGCTGATACAGGCATTGCTTTACCAGCCCTTGGTTGCTGTAGCCTGCCATGATGGTCAGGTGAAGATAGTAAGGATGGCAGATATTGCTTGTACTACTTAGCTTCTGCTACTGCCACTGCCGCTCTTGCTTCTGATGCTACTGCTCCTGGAAACCATGGGCAAGGGTGACAGCATCTGTGGGTGTGGCCGTGGTGGTGGAGGTGGTGTTGGCGGTGGCGGTGGCGGTGGCGGTGGCAGGGTTGCAGCAGCAGTGGTGGCGGCCACATTGCACAACTGGCACTACGGAAGTTCCTAAGCCCACAACCCTAAAATCCAAGACGCCTAAAGCCCGTGAGCCCTGAGAAACGCCAATCCTACAAACTCTTGCAGAGAAAGCCTCCAGACCCAGAACAGCAAGGAAACCTCAAATCTAAAGCGCGTCCACGAACCGTCAAAGCTCAGAAAAAACAGCGTCAAAGCTCAGAAAAAAAAACAGCACTCCAACCAAAAGTCTTAAACCCTAGACGACCCTCCAAGATTAAACTCCGGCGCAACACAGATGAGAATCCCAAATCCTAGCTGGCAAGATCCTTGAAGAATCACTACACTACACCTCTGGAAACCCTTCAAACACAAAAGCCCTCAAGACCCTGCAAGCCTACGACTGGGAGAGACCCTAAACCCTAAACCCAATAAACCTAATAAACCCTAAACCCCCTAAGCCCTAAACCTTAAACCCCCTAAGCCCTAACCCCTAACCAGTGGGAAGGCCTTGGCCACAAAGGGATTCGCCTTGCGCTGCACCTGCTGCAGGTGTTCAGCGTTGTAGGGGTTGCCTACTTAAAGGATCATGGGACTTAGTAATTGGGGATATAAGTAAGGTAACTACACTTTAAGTACTTATAACCCCAATTAAGGTACCTATAACCTTACCTACTAAGTCCCGTGATCCTCCCTGTAGACCGCCAACTACCCTCCAATAAACCCCAAATGCCCACTATTCAGGGCCATACGGGCTCTGTTAAAGGGCCCTTGGGGCATTGTGGATTGTTTACATGTCGAGTTCGTTCGACTTTCCCTGCGGTTGCTTTCAAGATTTTGGGCTGCAGTGCTCCCTAGCCGAAACCCTAAACCCTATACACACGCCTAGACTAAAAGTCTGAAACCATGAACCCAAAGCCGTAGCAAGTGCTGTAAGGCCCTTGGAGGTCAAGCGCTGTGAGAACAGTAAGGCTTTCGGACGCTCACGACTTTTGGGGTTTAGGGATCTGATATAGAAGCCTTGATGATGAGAGTAGGCTTCCTTGAAAGGATCAGAAAGGCTACGACGACGGCCAAAGCAAGGGTTGAAGAAAAGGTGACCCCAAGAACTTCAACAGCGTTTTGGGGTATCTATGTCAGAAAATAACATACTCGAACTTCCATATGAGGAGCAGGTCGTGCGATGAGGCTTTGCACTTGGTGCGATGTTCTCTTTTGGGGCCGGAGGGAAGCGAAGCTTCCGAGGGGGGCGCTTGGGCTGCTCTTTGGTCTCGGCCGCCTTCTTCGGCAAAGGAGGCCCGGTGGCCTCGGTGCGTCGAGCAAGGGTCGCATCGCCTTCTTTCAGGTATGCTGGAGCCGTAGTAGCTCAAGTGGCCGGGCAAAGAGGGGCCCAAGGCCGGATCCGAGGGTTTTGCGAAGTGCCTCGGCTCTGGAAGACCTGTCCCGGAGGGTCGGGAAACAGCGAAAGTACGTACGCCACTTCCCACCTCCCGTCCGTGATCCTGTGCCGCCTGCTCGACGGCGACCATCATCAGAGAGAGGAGGTCCGAAGACCTTCAAGATTCATACAGGGGCCTTCACAACTGGAAGAATCTTTCGGATTTAGTATGGTCAATATAGTCTCTAGCATGACATAGCGATAGATAGTAAGTATGAAAGAAGCAGAGCATAATCGGCTACATTATGGGTTGAAAATCTGAGCAGGCTTAAGGCTCTTAGGGCGCGGGTTTAGGGGCTGGGCGCTGGGATGTGAGATGGTGGAGGGCAGCTCTGCAGGACATCGCCATCCAAACCCTCAGTTCCGAAACTCTGAAGTAGGGTATTATAACAATAAGGGTATAGGGTGCTTTAGTAAGGATATACACGGTATTAGAATGAGGGTATCGTCTAGAGGGCCAAAACATGAACCTCGAGAACGCAATCCCAAAGCCTGCAAATCCCGACTCTGGAATAGTGTGCCAAAGCCATCTTGCCTGGTCTGCCTTCAACGGCTGCAGCTTGTCACTGCGGGCATTGTAGATCCTATCAAACATCAGTGTGAACACGAGCTCAGCTGCATGTTCAGGATACTACAAAACACATCGCGACCTCCCTTCCATGGACACCTCTTGGGGGTTTGCAATAAGGATCCTACAGGCAGAGGTCTGTGTTAGGGCCTCCTGCCCTGAATACAGCAACTTAGGGACGCAGTTGGCTTCGAGGTGAAGTATCCTGAAGCTCCAAGTGGGGCTTGAAGGGCCAACGGTTTCCGGCTCATGATGAGGTTGGTAGGTTTTCACTGGGTTCTATATGGGTGGTTGTCAAAATTAGGGTCCCTTCTTGGGTCCTTATTGTAATACGGCACCTATTATTTAGGGTACCAAAAAGGGACCATAATTTTGACAACCACCCATATGCCTACAGCCTTCACTTCGCAAGCTGCCTGTGCGTCCGGGCAGGTTCAGTGACAGACAGGAAGATTTGCGGCTTGCACCTTTGCTCCTAGGCCATTGCCACAGAATCATGACCTCCCCTGCCAGACCAGATTCGCCCATGAAACCCTTCCATCAACTTGAACGGTTTCTCAGCCGTTGAGTTCAACCAGATCGTAGCACAAACTACCTGCACCCGCGACCGATGGCGCGGCGTGGTCAAGGAGTAGGAAACCATGTAAATGCAAGACTTCTCCGGTTTGAGCATGGTAATGGCAAGCGCGATAGCTGCATATCTGAGGCAGGGCGATGGATTTAGGGTTCGCGAATCCCCAACCCTTCAAACCCCAAACTCTGAATCCCTAAACCAAATCCCCAACCCCCCAAACCCTAAACCCTAAACGAAATCTCAAAGCCTAAACTCTAAGCCACAATCCCCAAAGCACATTCTCCCAAGCCGCTGAAGCAGAAGACGAAGCTGCGGCAGGAAGGACAGCACATTCAAGATCCTGAGGATATAGGTTTAGGGTTTCAGGTTTTGGGATTAGGATTATACTCATGAGGATTACTGTAAGCTACGGGTTTAGAGGCCTGACAACCCTCAACCCTTGGGCCCCTACAATTCCAACTTCAGACCTTACACCTGAAGCCGACTGCACAGACCTGACCAGTGGTTTTGGGGTTCCCTCGGCTCTCTAGCCCCCTATTAGGTGGGGATAATCATCATCTATGGCTCCTTAGCTCCTCCAATATCAATGATTAGATACAGTAAGCGTTTGAGAAGGGGCTTTAGAGGGATTTAATTTAAACCGGGTTTTAGGAGGTGAGGGCCGCAAACTGAGGCCTTCCACCAAAAAAAGCTTAGGGCGCATGGTTCTCCTGCTTAGAGTTTAGGACATCATGGGCATCGAGCTGAAGTGAAGTCTGTCTTTAGATGCTTGAACAATCAGACACAGCTTGCCCTTGCTGTTTAGAGGGTGGGCCAAGTACCACAACCCCTAAACTTCTAGAAGTTCAACACCGCCCTTTCGGGAACCTCTCCACAGAATGAGTCAGTAGATCCTGCATGCATGGCTTCGCGGCGTAGGGTTGTCTGCCACACGGTTTAGGGTTTATGATCCCCACCTTAATAAAGAGTCAGTGGACCCTGTATGCTATAACGCTATGGCTGCAGGAGCATGACGAATTGCGACCAAGCCACCCAACCGCCACGAAGCCAGCAGCCTGGAGGCATCCAAAGCCAACTCACGATTCCTACACCTTGAACAAGCAACCTCAAATTTCAATGCCCCTGAACCCTGAAACCAAGAACCGTCACATCCTGCATCCCTTTAACGCATTAAACCCGACCAGAGAGCCCAACCCTTCAACGGAATGCACCGCAAATCAGATCAGAGACCCGTCCAGCCATCCTCTTGCAAGCACGTATTCAGCACATATTGGGTTTGGGAGTCTCTGGGCACAAAACGGCAGGTTTTGGAGAGCTCCTACGCGAAACGTCGAAAGGGCCGCGGGGCTAAGGGTTCAGGGCTTCGGGGTTTAGGATTTCAGGCTGAAGGGGTTTTGGGTTTTCTGTGAGGTTTTAGGGGGTGCGTAGGCTTTACTGGCTCAGGGCTTCAAATCCTCAACTCAAGTCTGAGAGGACCTCGGCGTCGTCAACGCCCAAGTCGATGGCCAAGCGGGGCGTGATCAGAAGCCTCGGGATTCAGATAAAGCTTCCAGCTTAGGGTTTGGGGTTGAGTGTTTAGGGTTTAGGGTTTGGGGTTGAGGGTTTTGCGGGTTCGAGCTTCGGAGATACAGTAGCAGTAGCAGTGTTGATGGCTTTAAGGTTTGGGGCTTAGGGCTTTGTGGGCAGTGGCAAATACCGTTGCGGATCCCTCAACTATTGGTACGGTTCGAGGCACCGCACACGACAGCACCTGAAACCAACCGGTTTAAGTTCGACCGGCAGTCCGGGGCATCCGCCTGTGCCTCTTGGGGCGCCTCTCCCACGAACTCCTCCTTTCGTAGAATGCGCACCGCACACAGGGCATACCAGCAGTCTCGAACATCACAGCCGCATGAGACGACCGAGGCAGCAGGACGCTCCTCATACTCGGACGGTTCGGTAGCACATCCCTCCTAACCATGGTTACGGTCCATCGCGGATTCGCAACCGACAGGCACCGAGTCCCCGACCGTGTCACTGCCTTCCGTGTCGGAGCCCGTTTCGTAGAGTGCGTCGGATGTCCATTCTTCGGCGGAATGCAAGCGTCCGCGCACCTGCAGACCGTAGAGTCTGCGAAGACATGCCGAGAGCACGAAGCAGGTGTTTGCAGCGGCCTTCGGTGGGACAGTGTACTTGTACACCGGGCTCGTCCGCCGATCCAGTATCGCGAGCTGCGCCGCTTGCGGAAGCGCCAGGACACGCAGGACAGCGGTTTTGCGAGCCTGTGCAGCAAAGCATCGCGAGGCGCTGAAGGTCAGTCAGCACTAGCTGGCAGCATCCATCACGGGGCCGTGACCCCAACACATTCGGTTGCCAGCCGTGGAAGAGCAAATCCAGAGAAAACGGCGTCAGTAACGAGAGGTTCCTGCAACACTGCGGAACAGCTACGACCAGATACTCCTTCCCCCACTTCACACACCCCGCGTGAGCCTGGCAAGTACGGCATCCGGCTCCTCTTGCTCTTCCTGCACTGCACTGGCGGAAGCGCCCGCACGAGCTCCTCCGCGCAGGAGGGGAGCAGGTGCAGGGACAGCCTCGGAACGCGAATCTGCACAACATACAAGACAAAGGAACACGACAGGCCTCTCCCACGCATGTTTTAGCACATACGACCAAGCTGCGGAAGGTACTGTGCTTTGTCAGCTGCCCTGACAAAGGGAGAGCATCAACTCCACTCACAGGAATATCACGACAGTGGGCGACAAGCATGGCAGCACGCATGCAGAGCAGCATATAAAATTAAGTAAGCACACCTATATTACTTGGCCCCGCACGGGGTGTTGCCATTCGCCGCATGCTGACGGTGATTGCGGTCCTTCAGACCCGCAATGCGTCTTATGTTCAGACAGACGGAGGGTCAGGACACAGGAGGGTACCCGCTCCAGACCGCCCACCCAGGATGCAAGAGATGGAAGCATGACACAGGCACGCTGCCACCAGAGCCCGACCACACACATGGAACAAGCAGGTCGAGGACTGCAATCATGCGAGCTTCGTTAGACGAGACGGAGCAAACCCAAAGCTGGTGCACGGCGGGCTAACCGCCTGGACTCCTGCGAGGTTACCATCGGTACTCTGCTGACTCATCCCACTCATCCCGCTGCCCGCTTTCGCATCCTCTTGAGCATCCAAGTGCCACCTATACTCACTACGCAACCACTGCAGCATCCGGGTGAGTCTCAAGTCGTTGCACACGCATGAACCATAGATGTCAGCCAGTCAAAGGGGCATCGACCTCGCCCCGTTTCGCAACCTGCCAGGTACGAGCATTGACCGGAATCTCTAGCCAACTAGAGCAACAGCGGGTTGCCTCGCCCCCCCCCCCCCACCCTCCCTATACTCTCCCCGTGTACATCCAGCTCGCGGAAGAACGAGCTTCAACGCGGTTGCACCCCGACGTCACGATTCTCATCCAAGAGCCCAGCAAACCCCGCCCGGAATAGGTCGCGATTAATACATGGCACGGTCGGACCATGTTGCCTGCGTCATCTACCGAAGTTCAGTTCTGCCGAGAGCCCGGCCCGTCTTGATAGGAAAAAGCGACTGCCGCCAGCCTGCCGAGCCGCATCGCATGCGAAGACCGTGCCCCTGCCGATGCTTGCACGCACACGAAGATCGATGGCAAGGTCACGGGGAACTACACCTGCAGTGAGGGGATTCGCGCTCCCAATCTTCACGACTCCCACAACACGACTACCAGGAACCCGGATATCTACAAAAGCATTGCCGCATGTATGCGGGTTGAAAATCCGGATACCTCCGCGAGAAACCAGGACTGCAAGGCACCCAAAGACCCAAAACGTTCGATCACGCGATCGCTCGCACAACCGACCCCGCCTTCGCATTCCCTGCTCCGACCTGGTGCAGTTCTCGGATGGCTAGCCAGCATATAGCTGGCATGAGATCCAAGACCTAGTTCTGCGCAGCCGGACGGACACCAAAACCAGGTCAGCGCCGTCTGGATCCCAGTGGGTGCCCTATGGGAAGGGCAACCCGCACTGGGAGAGACCTCGATCGCCACGCAAGCATGGCGACGATTGGGGTCCAGGACAGAAAGGCAAAAGACCGCGATTTCTGAGGAAGCGCGGGAACCAGGACAAGGGAGCTGGCAAAGCAACTGGCAAGCCAACTGCCAAAGGTGGCAAGGAGCAGGCGCCATTGGCGCCCACCACGGCACAGCTACCGAAGCCACCAACGGCCCCGACTACGTCAACACCACGGGAGCCGGCAGTGCCTGCATCATCGCCGTCGGATTCCAAGTTGCAAAGCTTGCTCACAGCCCTTTCGAGGAGCCGCGACGACCTGCCCACGCATTTGAGGGATATGCTAGACGGTCAGTTCGAGGCGGACTCCAAGGCCCACACGAGGAGCCTACACAAGTTGGTGGCGGCCCAGAGCCAAGCTCGCAGGGAGCTGGCTCAAACAAAAACCGCTCGCCAGGACTACATTCGGTCTTGGGGCGAGTACGTGGAGGGCATTTGCACCATCTGGCAGGAGCATTTACAGGAGAAGATGCAAGTCATGCAGAGCTTCTCCGATGCCAAGTCCAAATGGGAGACACAGCTGAGGGAGACCACTGGACAAATTGGACGCCTAGCTGGAGAAGGTCGCGACAAGGAGACGATCGAGGTAGACAGCATGGAGGACGAAGACGAGGCGGAGGAGGAGATGATCTCAGAACTCGCTGCGCCGGATGCGCAGCGGCAGGTCGCCATGGACAACATGGCGATTGCGGAGACACAGATCACCGAGACCCTCCGAGCTGCCGTTGCGTCGGTGGCACAACAGGCCTCGGACTTCTCGCGCAACGACCGAGAAAGGTCGCCTCGGCGTCGTCTGTCCGATTCCGCCAAGGACACCAAAACCGAGGTACCCAAGGTCAAGCCGGAGCCGACGAAGACTGTTCCAGTCCAGCCGCCCCCTCAATAAGCTCCACATCGAGCCACATGGTCCTTGTGGAGCGCACCGAGCTGAACTGCCCACCGCACTTCAGCTGCAGTTTTGACCACTCCCTCCATAGGGAGTGGGACTTCACATGCCCTCGAACAGCACGGCTTTTGGGATGGCGAGCTGCTTTCGGGGTTGAGCTTGGAGAACTAGGAATCGAGACAAGCTGGAGGTTTGATCGACGCCAGCGTTCGCATGCAGAACCTGCCACGGGGACTACGAATCTCCGACTGCATGAACGAGCCCATGCCCGCTGTGACCCGTCAGCAGGCGCAGTCTTATGCAAGGGCGGTACCGAGCTGCATGCATCCATTTTCCGGGAACAACCCTGCATGGGCGACGAGGGTGTTGTTTCTGACGTAATGGGTGCTGCGAGTGAGGGCGCCCATGCTGAGACTTCGAGCCGCTGTCCGAGGCCAGCATGTGAGCTGTCTGTACAGCGTGTGTATAGTAGTAGTGTACATACGCGAGGTGAGTGTAGGGAGCGTGCTGTGCGTTCAGGGTGAGGGATCAAAAAAAAATTAAATAAGGATCAAAAAAAATTAAATGGAAAGATCAAAAAAAAATTAAAATAAGGATCAAAAAAAATTAAATCACTCAAAATGCAGCATTTCCTGGGGCAGAGGCATCAAAAAAAAATTAAAATAAGGATCAAAAAGAAATTAAATCACTTAAAATACAGCAATTCCTGAATTTTTCCAAGGGAAAACAATGTTTTTTCCTATGGATTTTCTTTTGTTTCCTTAGGATCTGTTTGGTTTTTCCTCTGGAAAACACGATATTCCTGCGGATTCCGTGGTATTTCCCTAAGTTGTCCTTGAATTTTTCGTAGGGAAAAGCATATTTTCCTATTACCTATGGCGTTCGTGTCATTTCTTCAGGTTTTCAGAAGGACAACATATGGTTGTTCCTCGGGAAGATCAAATTTTCCTTACAATTTCACATTTAGGACGGATTTCCTGTTGTAGCTGTTGCTGGTGTTCCGCTTCATCATCTGTCTTAAACACGCCCCTCATTTGGCGATTCTGGTTCAGGATGTATCTACAAGGGCGGAGACGCCCTCATTTGCTGGGTTTCAATTAAAGGCATATGCTTCAAAGCAACCCTGCACGGCTTAAAACAGCGGGGGGGTTGGGGGGGGCGCAGCCCCCCCATTTGCAGAGACAACGTTCACATGATGGGCTTCGACAACACTCTTTGAATCAAGCTTGCACGTCTCGAAAAGCGCGGCGGCGGGTGTTTTGTTCTTCCGTGCCTGTTCGTGTCTCTTCTTCCGTTAGCATTCTAACCCAGAAGAACGACATAAGATGGTTCGACAACACAAAAATGGTGTGACATTTTCTGACATAACAGAACCTTGCTTCTTATAGCATATAATAGCATACTAAAAATACAACAATGCAATATAACAGAAGATGACATAGAACAAAACAACATCTTAGTTTATAGTGTAGTACAAAAAAATTAAATGGAAAGATCAAAAAAAAAATAAAATAAGGATCAAAAAAAATTAAATCACTCAAAATACAGCATTTCCTGGGGCAGAGGCATCAAAAAAAAATAAAATAAGGATCAAAAAGAAATTAAATCACTTAAAATACAGCAATTCCTGAATTTTTCCAAGGGAAAACAATGTTTTTTCCTATGGATTTTCTTTTGTTTCCTTAGGATCTGTTTGGTTTTTCCTCTGGAAAACACGATATTCCTGCGGATTCCGTGGTATTTCCCTAAGTTGTCCTTGAATTTTTCGTAGGGAAAAACATATTTTCCTATTACCTATGGCGTTCGTGTCATTTCTTCAGGTTTTCAGAAGGACAACATATGGTTGTTCCTCGGGAAGATCAAATTTTCCTTACAATTTCACATTTAGGACGGATTTCCTGTTGTAGCTGTTGCTGGTGTTCCGCTTCATCATCTGTCTTAAACACGCCCCTCATTTGGCGATTCTGGTTCAGGATGTATCTACAAGGGCGGAGACGCCCTCATTTGCTGGGTTTCAATTAAAGGCATATGCTTCAAAGCAACCCTGCACGGCTTAAAACAGCGGGGGGGTTGGGGGGGGCGCAGCCCCCCCCATTTGCAGAGACAACGTTCACATGATGGGCTTCGAAAACACTCTTTGAATCAAGCTTGCACGTCTCGAAAAGCGCGGCGGCGGGTGTTTTGTTCTTCCGTGCCTGTTCGTGTCTCTTCTTCCGTTAGCATTCTAACCTATATATATATAACATAGTAAACCAGAAGAACGACATAAGATGGTTCGACAACACAAAAATGGTGTGACATTTTCTGACATAACAGAACCTTGCTTCTTATAGCATATAATAGCATACTAAAAATACAACAATGCAATATAACAGAAGATGACATAGAACAAAACAACATCTTAGTTTATAGTGTAGTACATTGTAACATAGTACAATACAGCGTGTATATTTACAACATAATATGTAGTATATTTTATAACATTAGGTTACATTATGACATATTATGTTACGGTACATTACGATATTATGGTAAATTCGATTGGACTATGTAGTATCCTGTTGCTTGTATCTTTGTTTCTGTGATTCTTTCATATTCTTTCTCTTTCGTCTTTTCCAACTTTGCTTTTTTATTCTGGACTTCTTTCTTTCGTTCGCTCGTTCATGTCTTTTCTTTCTTTCTGTTGTTCTTTCTTTGTTCATCTCATACTCCCTTCCTTTCTTTCTTGCTTTCTTTCTGGTTTGATTTACTTCGTTCTTTCTTTGGTTCGTTCTTGCTTTCGTTCTTTCTTTCGTTTTTACTTTCGTTCTTTCGTTCTCTCTCTCGTTCTATCTTTCTTTCTTTCTGTTTTCCTTTCTTTCGTCCTCTCTCTCTGTCTTTCTTTCCTTCCTTTTTCGCCTTCCTTTCGCGGATACCCGTTTAATTTTTTTTTGATCCTTATTTAATTTTTTTTTGACCCTTATTTAATTTTTTTTTGATCCTTATTTAATTTTTTTTAACCCCTATCCCTGCGTTTTGTACAACAGCCGGAGACCCTTCTCTACCAAACCACTGCCAGACTCAAGCCAGGGACCCCACCATGGTCCAACCCGCTTCGTGGCATCATCACCAGCCGGCCCCATTTTGCATGCCGCTGTGATGCTTCTTCTCTCTCCTCCGTCCCGGAGGTTTTGTCCAATCACGATAGGGACCACACCCATCCCAATCGGCCTGAGGTGAAGGCAACATCAGCCTCATCCCTTGAGACTGACCGCATGCCGGCTGCTTGCAAAGCTAGCCAATGCAATACCATGAGTGTGCCGCCTGTTGCGTGCACCTCAGCTCTGCCAGTGCAGCCTGTAACGTGCCCGGCCAGCTCCACCCGACCAGCTGCCACTCCAGTGCGGCCATCCGACACTCCCTTCTCGCTGGTGCGATTGGGCATGGCCGCGCGGATTGAGGTACTTCCTGCACACTTAGACAGGCCAGAGCTCCGAAACCGTCCGGTCATGACCTTCAATTGGGCTACTCAGCACCGTGCGGCTGGAGCTACAGCTGAACTCCGGCAACAGGACCGATATGCACTGTTTGACACTGCCAGCCACCTCAGTGTACGAAGACTTCCGGAGGGTTGGTGCATCAATGATATTGTAGCCGACATCATTGGCTCCCAACCACAGGTACGCTCAGTGCGTTTCCACATGGACAGATTGCCCCACCTTCCGGCTATCCAAGTCACGGCAACCCTTAGAGGCGCAGAGCAAAGGGCATTCACAGTTCCGCTTGACTTACGCACTGTGGAAGGCCGGATCTGCACCATTGATGCCCCTATTGGCTGTCGACCGGCATTGCTGAAGGCTATCTGTGTCAACAGTTGTGCAACGGGCCGCCTCCCGCGGGGCTTGTTTCACTTGGTTGCGCCAGACGGTTCCTTGGCAGCGATCCCAGCTGATCAGGCACCGCCCTTTGACTTTGTGCGCAGTACCCGGGATGACCCCGCACCTGTTGGGGAGGAGCAGGAACAGGAGCCGGTGGTTTCAGATGAAGATGATGAAGCCACACTCATGCAGTTGCATGCCGGTGTTCATAGCCCACATATCACCAGTGCTATGTCGACCGATGATGGATGGAACGGCACGCGAGGCACAACTTGCAAAGTGTCTGTTGACCACCCTGTTCTTGAGCCGGTACATCCCCCTTCATTGCTTGCCAAGGCTGGCCCCCCACGGGCTAGCATATGGTTTGATAAAACTCCGACATACAAGATTCTTCCAGAGAGATGGGCTACCCCAGCACTTCTGCGGATCCCTGCTGGGCAGTTGAATCTGTATTGTGCCGTGGAGGAAAACCATGATACTGAGCGCCGTTATGCCCTGTTTGACCGGCTTAGGCACACCAGTGTGCGAAAGGCTGCAGCGGATTGGACTCTGGAAGATTACGCCGCGGATGCGGTGATGCCAGCACCGGAGCCGACTGCTATCTTCCAGATTGTCACCATCGCAATCGCGGGGCTTCCCACTCCGCAATTCACCTTGACTCCAGCCGGAGTTCCGGCGGCATCCCTTACTTTGCCTGTCGATGCCAGGAACATGGGAGGTCCCGTACTTGCGCTGTTGCTGCGTCCTGGAATGCCCAGTAGCGAGGTCTTCGACAGGATCGCCAGTGTCTTCCCTGCAGCGCGATACCTGGTTGATTTGGCTGCACCTCTTGATGGCCTCTTCCTCCAAGATGCTTTGGGCAGAGTCTGGGAGTCGTGGATGACTGTGCGTATTGACAGGACGGCCTTCCCAGGAGCACCACAGTTTGCGCCCACCTCTGCGCAATCTCAATGGGCAGGTACGACTTCGACAACGACAGCCATGCAGCAGGCCCTTTCTTCGGGCACGCATATCTCCTTCGTGCTAGCAGGTGAGGGTACGTTGATCAGGCTGGCCCCGCAGCCTGTGCAGCAAGTGAACGTGCAACATTCTATAGCAGAGATGTTGCTTATTCTTGCTCGACAAGGACGTATGCCCAGGCATCCCATGATCTCGATATGTACATCAATGCCACGTAACCCAGAGCGCCCCAATGACCTTCTCGTTGGATTTGTGCTGTACTCAAGTGCCACTGAGGCTACTCACGTTGCCATACTCCAAGATTTTTCGGCTGATGGGACCATGCTACAGGCCATCACCGTTGACGTTGGCACTCGTTTAGAGCACATGATTGGCAGCGCGCAATCCCGCAGGGGTTTTATTCCGGTGCTCAACGGCGTTCCCAGAGCCGCAGCCAATCGCAACCTTGTTACGGGGGATCTGGTACAGGTTCAACTTCCACCCCTCACCGCTAGGGTTGTGACGGTGGCTCATCTGTACTTCCTGCTCCCAGAGCTACGGCTCTTTGCGATGCCTCTTAGCATGCCATCCATGGCACCTGTCGTCAGGAACCCTCTCGATCCGGGCTTCATTGAGAGAGGACGGGACGCAGCCCGGCGTACTCTGCATCTGCGTTCTTTGGAGCGACGCGTTATGAGACAACCGGCCTCTGCTTGTGATGGGGCCCACTCACCCGCCCTACCTGCTGTTCATGCCGGTTCCCTTGGAGCCCAGTCTGCGAGAGGTGCTTCTGTTTCTTTCGTTTTCTGGATTCTTTGACCCAGGGACGAGCTTTGCCGAAACACGTGCCTTTTCACATGGGGTCGAAATCTTCGTGTCGATTCCTCCTCAAAGCACACGAGCGACTGTTTTGCTCACGGCCCCCGACAGCTCGCTCACGTTTCTCCAGCTGAACATGCTGGTTGGCATGCCGCTGCAGAACTTAGGGTTGCCGGTTAGGAGGGGTTTTGAGCTTGTACTCCCGGCTCAGGCGGCGCATGGAGCCGTAATCTGGGATAATGGCCAGCGAAGGCCTAGCTCAAGTGCCTCCATAGGCACCGGAGGCACCTCCTTGGTGCAAATACCTGATGTCGCTCAAAAACAAGCGGCTCGATGCAAGCAGCTTCGGGACATCCATGAGGATCGAAGTCATTGTCCCTGTGTGGATGGCGCATTGCAATGCCCTCCTCCTCTGCCACTAGACGGCGCCATCACTGCCACGAGCCACTTCTACGACGCTGCCCATGCTTCTCATAGTGAGGCCCCATCCGGAGTGACTGCCACTCTTGGAGAGGCACCGCCCCGCGGCCACCAGCTTGATGTGCAGCAACGTGATTGCATACCAACGCCGCTTGGAAGACGAGCTGTACGTCGGGCCCCATCACAAACTTCCACTATACCCCATGCGAAGCCAGGCGATTCCTCTTCCGGTGGCCTAGTGCAGACCCCCACCATTGCGGATGCACATGAGCACCGATCCGTGCGACAAGTTGTATCGCTGGCTAGTTGCATCCCGGACAGTGATCGGAAGGCGTACTTGGAGAGTTCCCTTCATCTGGGTTTGCCGGAGGATGCAATAGATGTCGCCTTGGCAAGTTTTGACCTATGCCACGTGTGCCATGATAAGCCTCAGGGGCTGAGCCTTCCGCAAGTCACAAGTCGCTTCCTCCACAGGCTGCCCCAGGCTAACCACCATGCTGTTCCCACGGCCCTACTCATGTATGTTGACGGCTCATATGAGGCCGAAAGTGGAGCATGGGCTGTTTGCTGCTTGGGTTTAGTTGGTGATGAATGGCAGTGGCTAGGTTACTTTGCAGATGTTGTGCCAGCACAGGTTGAGATCAGGTCTGCCTTCGAACCCGAGCTCTACGCACAACTCGTTGCTCTGGGCATTGCAGCTCGTCTGGGCGTTCCCACTACGGTTTTTTATGATTGCACATCCGCCGCAGTTGTTGCAACAGGTGGCGCTGCCACCAGCGCAGCCACCCCTCTGGCGCGAGCAGCTGCCAATCTCTACATGTATTCAGGTGTGAGGGGCCATTGGCCTGCCATGCAACACGTGCGGTCGCACCAAGGTGACCCTCTCAATGAGTTGGTAGATCGGATGGCGAAAGGGGCGCTCCGGAGCCCCGAGCTACGGGCACCCTTGGGTGATATGCACATTGCCGACTATGTGTGTCACCAAGCCTTTGAATGGCTATGGCTGTACCATGTTCGAAAGCATTCCACTGCCTGGCCCACGGTTGACGCGGACGGTTGCTCCGTATCAGCGCCCGTTCCGGCACGCACACCATTACCTCACACACCAAGTGCATGGGCATTTGAAAGTCCCGACCCTAGCCCCACTTTCGTGTCTGTGAGGCTTAAGGTTGCTACCTACAACACGTTGTCCAGTCGGACAGCGTTGCAAAGGCAATGTCTACTTGCCTTTATGCAAAAAAAAACATCGTCTTGAGGTGTTAGGCCTTCAGGAAACCCGACATGAGGTAGAAGCCAAGATGCAGGTGCAGGGAGTCCTTCGTTTCTCGGGCCCCATCCTGCAGGGACAGCTGGGATGCCAAATCTGGATTGACCCTCGATCAGGGCCATGGGTTGCCTCTGCGTTTCGAGTCACCTTTAGGCACCCCCGAATGCTGGAGGTCCAGGCGAGGCTAGGGGACCAGCCCCTCACCATCATCTCTGGCCATTGTCCGACTGCCGCTTCACCGGAGGTTGAAAGGCAAGAGTGGTGGCGCATGCTGCGAAGCCGCCTTCTGGCACTCCCCCCGGGACATGTCCCGCTGTTACTGCTGGATGCAAACGCTCGTTTTCTTTGGCAGGAAGGTTCAGAGGCCCCCAGCAATGACAATGGCCGCGAGCTTGACCAGCTTGCTGATGAATTTGGCCTCCGTCGCACTGCAGCGCATGAACCGGACGGGACTCCACGCATTTCCTGGCAGCCACCTGCGGGAAGCTATGCGTCTGGGGCATGCCTCGACTATGTGGTGTGCCGAGACGATTGGTTTAACCAGCGATCGGAGCAGGCCCTACTGCCGATCGAGGATGTCCAAGCTGGCATCGACCATACTCCCATCATGGCATCATTTTCTGCTGACCTCTGGCGACCATTTCGGGACCCGGCACGCCTCAACCGAGATGCCATGCGCACTGAGCAGGGTAGGGAGCAGATCCGGCACATCTTTGACACAATCCCGACGGTACCTTGGCATGTTTGCGTTGATGAACACCTTCAAATCATCAACAAGCATCTCCAATCAGGCCTCCTTGATGCCTTTGCGGGCGGTCCACGACCGCGCAAGCCGACCACTTCCGAGACCACGTGGCAGCTCCTCCAGGCAAGGCGCATGCAACGTCGCACCTATCGTCGTCAAGCTCTGTTACGGTCCAAATGGGTTTTGTCACAGTGCTTTCGGGCCTGGTCTGGAGGCAATGCCATGTCGGCTAGAGCGATGCATCGCCGCAAGAAACGCCATCACATGCAGGCGGCCCACCACATTGCCACTATGCAGAGTTTGAGCCGACAGCTTCGGGAGGCACACAGGCGTGATGAAGCTGAGTTCACGCGCCTAACATACCAAGATTGCCGGGAGCAAGGCCCTGTAGTCCTGGCTCGTAAGCTGCGTACTGTCATGCGTTGTGGACGCGGAGGAGCCAAGGCCGGCATCCCTGACGCGCTGAGATGTCAGGGCCAAGTGCTTACGGAGCCTGGCGCTATCCTGGATGCTTTCGGACACCACTTTGCGAAAACCGAAGCCGCAACTCCCAGAAAGCTGGATGAACTTTGTGAAAAAGTTGACACCACCGATTGCTCCAGCAGCCTCCAGTTAAACGGCGCGCCATCACTGGCAGACCTTGCAGCAGCCTTTGCGTCGCTCAAATCTGGCAAATCACCCGGGATTTCCGGGATCCCGTCGGAGGTCTACTCCAGGTGTGCGCCCCAGGCAGCCCTTTGCCATATGCCTTTGGTCCTCAAAGCATTGAGTAGGAAGAGAATGCCAACGTTGTGGACCGGCATGAGAGCCCACCCAATCCCGAAGCCTAAAAAGCCGAGTGACGTATGCGAAGGCTACAGGTCCATAGCGCTGGCCGAGCCGGCTAGCAAAGCCATCGGCAAATCCACTCGAGCGGCGCTCAGCCGATGCTTTGAGGCATGCACTTTACCCACCATTGGTGGTGCGCGGGCCGGCTTTCCCGCAGAAATCCCGGCGATGGCCGCGCGCTCTCACATAGCCACGCTTCGGCGCACTGGGCGAGCCGGTGCCACTATCTATGTCGACGGAGAGGCAGCATTTTACGCAGCCTTGCGTTCCCACTTGTTTACTGCGGACGCCCACGAGCTCCAGGCCTATCTTGGCTCTCTGCAGCTGGAGGATGAGGTCCGGCGCCGTATTTGCCAAGCTATTGGCTCTCAAGGAGCATTGGAAAGAGCAGGTCTGTGTGAAGCAAGTGTTGCTCTCCTCAAGGGGTCTCCTGTTGCCGACATTGTGTTTCAGTTTGTCATTGGAGCCTCGTTACAATGTCTTGCACAACACTTGGCGGATGAAGGCATAGCAGCGACGGTTGATTTTCAGCAACAGAGTGTTACGGCGACCCCTCAGTCATGGGTTGATGACATCACGGTCTTGCTAACCTCTGCAAGTGCTGAGTCGGTGTATGCTGATACCGCCCGGGCATCGGTTCTCATTTGCCAGTATTTGTCCGTCGCTGGGATTCGTGTCAACTTCTCCCCGGGCAAAACCGAGGCCATGGTTAGCCTGCACGGACCTGGAACTGTGCGAGCACGGAACCGCATCATGCTCGAAGGGGGCGGGACCATATCGTTTGATCTCCCGGGACAGAAGTCTGCAAGCATACGGTGTGTTGCGGAGTAAACTCACCTTGGCACTGTACGGGGTTGTAAGCTCAGTGACGACCTTGCCGTGAAGCAACGTGCCAAACTCACGTGGGATGTGTTCCCGTCCTTCCGGCGGCGAATCTTAACCAACGAACACTTATCTGTTGCAGAAAGGCAGCAATTGCTCCTAGCAGTTGTGATGGCCAAATTCCTCCACGGTGTGGGCACGTGGAGTTTCCAGGATGAGTCCAGCCGGGCTCTGTACCGACGCTCTTACATGGCCTTTCTTCGTGGCAGTGTCCGGCCGCTGCACGGTGTCCCATGCCGCCGCTTGAGTACAGAACAGATTTGCGCCTTGACCTCTGCGCTCCTCCCGGAGGAAGCGCTGGCCCTTGCTCGGGTCCGTGTGGTGTCGCAATTGTGCGCGAAAGCGGATCATTTTCTGCAAGGATGCCTGGAGGTTGAGCAACACTGGCTGTCCCAAGCCCGGGTCGCAGTTGAGCTGGTTGCTGTCGCGCTGGAGGATGACACTCTCGCCCGTTTCGCTACCATGCACAAAGGGGATGGCAAGTGGCTGCAGCATTGGCCATTGGACCGGCGAGCCACTGCCACCCTCTTGAAACGCTTCCGGCGTCATTGCATTGGACAGCGGACGGCGCTTGTAGATGAGGCACTTCAGAAAGCACGGGCCCACCAAGCCGCTGCTGATCAAGGCCTCCTCTTCTCCACGGTTGACCGACCGAAGACCGCTTCACTTCGGTCCCAGTGCTCGACGTGTGGGAAATGCTTTGATGGGCCGGCCAGGCTTGCAGTGCACAAGGCCAAGATACATGGAGCACGAGCTCTCCAGTCAGCCGCCTGGGGAACAGCGTGTGAGATTTGTCGTCGCCAGTTTTGGTCCACCAAAAGGCTGAAGGAGTACTTCAGAAGATCAACACAGTGCGCCTATGCCTATCAACAGGCTGAGATAGGCGATGCTGCGAAAGGTGAACAGGCAGCTCCGGACTGCGTTCCACCGACGGTCCTTACTGGACCTGCCCCCTGGTGGGCGACCTTACGACCGCCTCCACCACCTGCAAATGCGCATCCAACTCCCACCAACCGCGTGCATGTTCCTGATATCCGGGATCTCTGTGAGATCCATCAGGTTCCCCGCTTCCTGTCCGAATGGTTGGGTTTGGTAGAGAAGGGTGTAGCTTGGCATGCCGGTGTAGGTGACGAGGACTGGCAGCGGCCGATTGTACAGCTTGCTGCCCAGATCTTCGAACAGCTGCATCTTGATGATGCAGAGCATTTTGCAACGGCTGATAACATGTCGGCTGTTTGGTGTGGTTCCAGGCTTTTGTTGGGACCCACTGACCTGCTGGGCGAAGCACGCAGGACAATCTGGCCTTTTCTCTAAGGTCGGACAGTTGAATTCAGGAGTGCGTCTATCGACACGAGCCACGCCGTCAAAAAAAACCCTAAACCCTAAACCCTAAACCCCCTTGAGCTCCTACCCTCCAAGGCCTGGGGGCACTGAAAGATCATCAGGGACCTCAAAAGGTGGGGTAATTCCGAAATAAGAGTCCTTATATAAGGGATCCCTAATCCTACCTACCTTCATCCCACCTTTTGAGGCCTCCGAAAGATCCCAGAGGGCACTGAGTCATCCTCTTGTGGCGGTATATGTGAGCTAGCTGGGTTCAGGGTTTAGGGTTTAGGGGTTAGGGGTTTAGGGGTTTAGGGGTTTAGGGGTTTAGGGGTTTATGGGGTTAGGGTTTAGGGGTTTAGGGGTTTAGGGGTTTAGGGTTTAATGGGTGTAGAGTTTGGAGTTTAGGGCTTGGGGTCTAAAGCCCCAAACCGTCTCAAGCGTCCCAAGCTTGGAGCCGAAGCACCCCGCCAGAAGAGGGCCCACAGTTTCGGTGACCAGGTCGATCTGGGACATCACGGAGTTTGTACCTCTGCAACCATGGTTCTGGCGATCGAGGCTATGAGGTCATGATGATGATGGTGATGATGATGCTGGCGACGGTGATGATGATGGTGGTGGTGGTGATGATGATGATGATGAATGCAATAGTAGTGACTCTGACGAATGTAATGATGCTGACGATGACGATTGTGATCATGATGTGGGTGAAGACGGTGGTGGTGATCATGCTGATGACGATGATGACGATGATGACGACGATGGCGACGATGACGTTGATGGCTATGATGACCATGAAGACACAATGATGATGACGGTGATGACGATGATGCCCATGAAGACGATGATGACGACCGTGATGATGACGATAAGGAAGTCACTCTAATCGTGATCGTGGATCTGATAGCCACGATGGTGACGGCAATTGTTGAGGGCGATGGTGAGGGTCATGCTGATGGACATGGGTGATGGCGCCGGCGACGAGGATGAGGACAGCGATGACGGTGGCGATGGTGATGACAATTCGGGTTGTTCTCGGCATGTACGGCATAGAGAACGCTTTTCATCCTCAACCCATAAAGTTCGAGTAAAAGCTGAAGGTTGAGGGTTGTAGATTTACGGTCATGGGCTTGGCTGTAAGGTAAACGCCGGATTCATCACCGAAAGAGGCACGCTTCAGCATGTCGCCGGAGAACAAGCGAGGCGACCAGTCCCGCTTAACCTTGTCTGGCTGCGCTCTGAAAAGACTTCGCAGGTAGGGTTCATTGTCGACTCAGCACCCTGTGCTGTCTCCTGAGCCATGGTATATCAAAAGATCCGACGTTTAAGGATTAGCTCTTGGGGTTTAAGGCCAGCAACCTGGCCAAGAAAGTCTGCAGGCTTCTCCACAAACGCAACACCTCAAACCCCGAACTTCACATCCCTAATCCTAAACCCTACCATCCCTTGAACTCTAATAACCAAACAACCCTCATAAAGCCCGCGTAAGCCTTCTAAGATCCCAAAACCAAAGAACAGAAAAGAACGCCCGAAAAAAAGAAACTGAGCCCTCTAAGCTCTCAACTCCTATACCCGAAACCCGCCAAACACGCCCGAAAGTGCCGAAGAAAAACTGAAAAAGATTCTACAAAGTGTTAGGCCCAGGCAAGACAAAGGTCCGACTCATGGCTCCAGCCACGGGGCAGAAACGTCACTTATGGCGGTACCCAGCTTCTCCTCAGAAAGTGTGTTGAGGGCTTCAGTGGGATTTTGGCTTAGGATCTTTGGTTTGAGGGTTTAGTGTTATTCTAGTTCCAGGATGCACGACAACGTGCACAAAAGCCGAATCATAGAACCATCCCCATAAAATCAGAACAATGCAGCCTTCATCAAACCATCTTTCCAAGGCCTTCCTGAGCCAACATCTTTGGCTTTGGGTGCAGTGACCTGAACCAGAAACTGGTGTGAAAGATTCGGAATCTAATATGTGGGGGCCTTCATAGTTGCTTTTGAAAGTTCCTCCAACGGTCCTCTTAACGGCTACTATAAGGGATACTATAAGGGCTTAGCCTGGAGGGACTAGGGCCTTGGGCGTGTACCTTCACCCCACATCCGAGGTCCCTCACCCCTAAACACCCAAACCCCTAAACCCTTAAACCCCATAAACCCGGCCGGGCGTCCACGATGCTGAAGGCCGTGAAGGCAACAAGTCCTCCCAAGTTCATCGAGCTTGAATCCTCAGATGTGGGTTTGAAGAACCGTATCAATAAGAGTAGTAATAACAATGATAGTAGCCAAAGTAAGCATAGGAGCCATAATTCATCGTAACAACAATAGAAAATAATAAGAATACTCATAGCAATAAGGATCGTCGTCATAATCTTAATAGTAGTTATTTCCCCGAACGCAAGTAATAAGCTATAACATTAGCAGCAGCAGCTCCAATCACAGACTTAAGCAGCATCGCCGGCGTTGTAACTATAGCCACGCTAGTACTAATACTAATACTACTACTCATACGAATACTCATACAAATGCGCATAATGAGTAATGCTCATATTCATACTCAGACCAATACCAATACTAGTACTCATACTCACACTCATTCTAAGACTTCTTACACTTATCACAACAATAAAACTAATTGTAATAACAATGCTACCAACAACAATTATCTCTTTAACAACAACAGTAACAACAGTAGTCACTCAGTAGTCATCACCACCACCATAAGAATAACAACAAGGATACCAGACCCCCGAGCTCAAACTCAAAATCGGATTTAAGGAGCCACGGGCTCTAAGAGTGAACCCCAGAAAGTGGGAACATGGCTTTAGGAGGAATAGTGCTAGGATCCCTTATACTTTACCTTAAGGGCATGAGGTTAGTGATGTTCTAGCTTTCTGGCTCTACTATAGGATCTTAGGGTTCAGGATTAAGGGGCTTTGAGTTTGGGGTTTCGGGGCGTAGGGTGTAGGGTTTGGGGGCGTAGGGTTTGGGGTGTAGGGGCGTACGGTTTGTGACTTAGGGTTTAGGGTCTTAGGGATTAGAATTGTGGGATTTAGAACTGCTTTGGGTAAGAAAGGTTTGGAGTAGACAAAAAGGCTCACAGCTCCAAAAAGTGATTCCGGGAAGAAGAGCTTGAGTTAGGCTCACATGCAAACTCCTGCAAAACAGAACTCCCCTTAATAGAGAGGTATACGGTGTTCGAAAATGGAGGTCTGTAAAGAAGGTGGTTTACTAATCAGGGCCTGAATTAAAACAAGATTTGGGGTACATAATGGTATAGTTGCAAGAAGGGCCTTGAAGAATGATGTGGGTAGTTATTCAAGTTTATATAGTCCCCCTCACTAGCCCTTTGAGAGAACTCGATTCGGATGATCAAGGCCCCTGGTTCAGTGAGTGCCGGAGCCTATGTAGGGTATTCTAGTATACCCAGACCCCCGGAAACATCTAGAAAGTAGATCCCCTAATTTGGGGGCCCTATACTACTAAGGATCCTTTATAGGAACCCCCATGAAGGGATCTACTTTTTGGATCCTTTTCGGGGGTCTGGGTATATAGGAGCTCGAAAGTTTCTCATATTGGGTTTCGGAGAGGTTTCGGCTCGGCGCCTCGGACTTTAATGGCTTAAAGGTCCAGGTGTGAAGGTCTAGGACTTCAAGGTTGAGAGTCTTGAGGAAAACACGGCTCCCCACAGGGTTGAGTAAGTGTAGTATCCCTGTGTATACCTACTGCAGATGCCTGATTAACCTCCACTCGATTCGCTGTTTTTTCGCCCTGACTTTGCCTTCTGGGCTTAGAGAGTAGAGCTTGAGGTCTGCTATTGGCGCCTGACTAGCATAGGGCTTTTTGAGGTGGTATCATACTAGAAACCTGATAAGGAACCCTTGGGAGTATGATTGCTAAGTTGCTGAGTAGGCAGACCCCTATAATCGGGTGTGTCTACATGCGTGTCTGTGTGCGCTACGGGCTTGGAGGCGGAGTTTCTGCGTTCAGGCTTTGGCTGCATGAGAGACATGTTGCAGGAGGTCGGCGTCAGTCCAAATGCTACGGATAAGAGATCCAACAAGAGCGTAGCGGCTTGGGGGGAGGGTTAAGGGGTTAAGGGTCTAAGGTTTCGGAACCAGTAGACCCAGCCAGGAGTGACTGCCTCTGGTTTCGCAGTAAAAGATGACATGCGCAGAGGAGCCCACGACCCTGCTATTCCCCTGCATCAGACTCAGGATCCTGCTAGAACTTACGCAATAAGCTCCTGTTTGTTTTGGTAGGGTTTAGGGTTTAGGGTTTAGGGGTCGGTCTGTTTTCTCTGCTCCTCACGGTTGTCGGAGGGATTCGACTTCAGCCGCTTGCGACTTTGCGCAAACCCTTTCCCGGTGCTGTTGTAGCCCCGAGGTGTAGGGTTTAGTTCAGGCTATTAGCGTGTAGGATGCATGCTCAAGGGTTCAGGCCTTCAGGACGAAAAGTTTCGAGGTCAGGGAAAGACGCTTTTAGGGAATAGAGCCTTTTGTCCTACACAAACGCAGGCCTGTTTTGTGTAGCGAGTCTAGCTTGTGCTACAAACGAAATTCAGATATAGCTCCACACTCCTCTAGCATCTTCCGGTTTGACGCAGTCACTGAAGCCCTAAAGCCCAAAGCCCCACTCAGGCATCAGAACTCTGTCCATCCGTTGATCTGCCTATCTCTACATTTAGGGGCTTAGGGGTTTAGGACTTTGCGGTTTGGGTTTAGGGTTCAGGATTGAGGGTGCAGGCTGAGTGTATGAGGTGGCGATGCACGGGACTTCCAGGTTCAGGCTTCAACCGCTCATCAAAGACGTCCGCGGCTAACCCTAACCCTGGTTTAGGGTTTAGGGTTTTTGTGGTTAGGGTTTAGGGCTTAGGGCAAACCCTAACCCTGAATCTGCCACCACACGAAAAAGTTGAACTTCGTGCTGCTGACCTTCTCACGCCTCTTGAGCACTCTGACACTCCGACTGTAAACCCTAGGCTCGAGTCCGCAACATCCGAAACCGGAACTCCAAAATGGTAATGCGAAGCATAGGCCGAGTACTAGTACGTGGGGTTTACGGAGCAGTGTACATTATACCATACTATACCGCAATGATATACGACAAATTACTACAACAAACTGTCATGTGCGATACTTAAAGTTTGGGACTGCAAGACCCATGGTTTGGAAACGAAGTCTCATAGCTCACGTCGGCAGGACACGCGGAATGTCTCCCGGAAACGCCAGAAGATGTCTCAGCATGTCCTGGGTGTAGGGTTTAGGGCCGTTTAGGGTTCAGGGATTACTGTTTCGGGCGCTAAACCCTAAACCCCAAACCCGAACCCCGAAACCCCTAAACCCCTGAACCCCTAAACCCTAAACCCTAAATCCTAAAACCTAAACCCCTGAACCCCTAAACCCTAAACCCCTGAACCCCAAACCCCGAAGTTTCGGGAAGTCCTGCTCATCTGTCCCCAGTTGGATGCCGATGCCTCCCGATAGCTCCCGAGGCTCAGGGCTCAGGGTTAGGAGCGGTTTAAGGTTTAGGGTTTAGGGTTTAGGGTTGAAGGTTTAGGGTTTAGGGTTTAGGGTTTAGGGCCCTTCAAAGGGATCCGGGCTTTCTTTAAGAGTTCCTATAAGGGATCTAGAGGGTTTAGGGTGTAGGGGACTCCAATATCCCTTAATTAAGGAATATACCTTAGATTATACTAGGATCCCCTTCAGAGCATTTAAACAAGCTTAGGGATCCTACTATAATCCAAGGTATATACCGCACCCTATGGCAATGCTGGTGCACACTTACGTTCAACTTGCATAGAAACCCGAAGCCCTGAACCTCAAACCCCAAAACCCCTAAGCCATCAACCCTAAACCCTAAAATTTCAGGGTGTCGCCCACATGCACCAGCGCATTTTCGGCTTTAGTTTCGGAGTCGAAAGTCAAAGCCTCAGCCACCCCATTTCCCGCAACCACCCTTGATGTACTTCAACATTGGTCTGAACAGTGTGTTTCAATTTGCTTGAACCCGCCCCGGGGCTGGAGGCTTATGATCGCCGCTAATTCAAGGATGACAGAGGTGTACCTCTATGTTCGCCCTTGGTTGAAGGACAAGAAGAGGACGTCCACGCATCACTAGCGAGGGGGGCTGGCTTGATAGTCTGCCTGACACTTGCTGACATGTGGTTTAAGGTTTTTTTTTTAAAGTGGGAAAGGGGTCATTGCACTTTAAAAAAAAACCTGGTTTAAGGTTTAGGGTATAGGGTTCGCCGCTCCAAGTCACTCGGCGCAAGCGAATGGCTACAACGGCGCGAGGCCCTCCGAGCCCCCCCTGCCACAACGAAAACCGATTTCGGGGTGGGGTCAGCCCCTACTGAGTTCTGCGCTATCGAACCCTAAACCCTAAGCCCTGAACCCTAGACCCCAAAACCCCCCTAAGCCCTGCATCCTAAGCCCTACACCCTACATGTGCATATATATATATATATATATATATATATACATGTATATATACACATACGCATATATGTATGTGTGTATATATATATATATATGTGTGTGTGTATGTGTATATATATATGTACATATGCATGTATCTGTACGTATAGTATAGGCTCGACCTTCCAGCTTGAGGATCAGCCGGTCGAAAGGCCTAGGCTGCGACCAGAAGCGGATCGGTCGTGGTCTCGGGCTTTCGGGGTTTTGGGGCTTTGCGTTTAGGGTTTGGGGGCGTAGGGTTTAGGGTTTAGGGGGGTTTAGGGGCAATTGGGTTTAGGGTTTAGGACGTAGGTTTAGGGTTCAGGGTTCAGGGTTCAGGGTTTAGGGCTTTTGGGATGTTGGTCGTCCGGCTGTCTGCTGCAGGGATATCTGCGGATGCAATCCAGGTCCGAGCTCTACACGTCACGACCCCCACCGTCGTCCAAACCCGAGGCCCGAGCAGGTTGTGGGAAGCAACTTTACTTAAAGGATCATGGGACTTAGTAAGTAGGGTTACAGGGGTACCTTTAAGGGATCTATAGGGGTACTATAAGGGTTGACGAGGGTCCATGAAGGATCATGGAACTCAGTAAGTAGGGTTATAAGTATCTTAATTGTCCCGTGCCCCTATCTTCAGAGATATGCACTTGATATCGGCTTACCAACGACACCCTGGCAAAAGCAGCTCCGACAACAACCCACTTCCAACCGAAATATCAGCAGAAGAGTGGCCCTCGAGGTCAAGCTGCAAACAAACAAGGAGGTCGAGGGTTTTGGGTTTAGGATTCAGAGCGTCCTCAAAATCCCCAACCAGAAAAACCCCGAAGGCCAACCCCGACGGAAGCAAAGGTGAACCCGTCGCCCCGAACCGTAAAAACCCTAAGCAGGCCCTAAACCTCGCCCCTGCTGCGGCCGTGGGCCTGGAAGCCTGAAGCCGTCTAAACACCGATGCCACGACAAAGTTTCATGGAGTTGTATACTGTAGAATGTTTTGGGGTATTGAATAGGGCTATATATATATATATATATATATATATATATACATATATCACTGCAACTAATTAGGCTGCGTACCGACCTCTGAAAGCCGGCAAAGCAAAAATATACATATATCGGATCCATAGGGCTTCATATCAAGGCTTGAGAATGCAGGCATGAGGCAAAGATGCCCAACGCTGAAAGCGGATCCAGGACCTCAGGACAATGACAGTTATAATAAGAGTAGTAATAACATAAAAGCAATTGTACTAGTAATGGTAATGGTAATCGCAGAAGCAGTAGCCCCCTACAGTTACACACTTGTATCCCTTACGAAGTCGTAGTTCAAGAGCTTGCTTCAAGCTTCAAAGCTACAGCTTGCAACGCATGGGGTGAAATTTGCTATCTTTCGTTTCGTTTCGCATTTTCCTGGCTATTGCCGGTACCTTGGGACGGCGAGCTGGGGGATGACAGGTGGAAGGCAAGGATGAGGTTTAGGGGGTCAGGGTTTAGGCTTTAGGGTTTAGGGTTTTAGGGTTTAGGGTTTAGGCTTTAGGGTAGTTCACCTCAAGTCTCCATGCAATGCCCAGCGAGAGGGTCGAAATGTATTCATTGCTAGCTCGAAACTCCGGTCGGAGGCCTCGGCTGCACTACCCCTGGTTCTGGGGGACGGGGGAGGAGGCTGGTGGCATGCCTTGTTTGCATCTAAAATGTGTCTGCGTGTATGTATATTCGAACATACGCAGGATACAATCTGCAGATGTGCCAAAAGATATTAAATCCGCCACCCTGTGCATCTGTACTGTAAACCTGGTGGCTTCTGACGCTGCTCCCACTTCTCCAGAACGGCAACCCCCACAACTCCCACCACTGGTTTACGATGGGAAGTCCTGCACAACTCTACCCTAAACCCTCAACTTTCACAGTGCTCTCATTGCCCTGGGACTTGCCTGACTTGGGATGGGTTTCTCACGCCGCTCCCCGTTTTTGCGACGGCATAGCACTCGAGAGTCAAAGCCCTGCTGAGCGAACTAGTGGCTGAAGCAGGCATAACACTTAATTCTGCCGTCGGAACTGCACCCGTTTCCGGGAAATCGATACATCTAGATTGGTTTTTAACGTCGTCTTGAAGCCTAGGTCTTTGGGTACTCCTCAAGTGACCCGACTAACACGGCAACCGGCGCATCCACACCTTTTAACATCTGGCATGACGTTCTGAAATGTCATACCAAGGAGACACGCCTAAGCCCGAGACGATGAACCCGTCACAACGAAAATCCCTAAACTCTCGACTCTGACTAAAAGTCCTCCCCTACTTAAAGGATCATGAGACTTGGTACTTGGGGCTATAAGTAAGTAACCCCGAAAGGTACTCAGAACCCTACTTTCTAAGTCCCATGATCCTCCAAGTACACCCTGCTCCCTAAACTCCAAACCCCTAAACCCTAAAACCCTAAACCCCAAAACCCTAAAACCCTAAACCCTGAAACCCTCAACTCTAAAACCCTGAACCCTAAACCCATAAACCCTAACCCCTGAACCCTAAACCCCTAAACCCTAAAACCCTACACCCCGAAACCCTAAACCCCTAAACCCCTAGACGCCTAAACCCTAAACCCCTAAACCCCTAAAACCACTAAACCCTAAAACCCTAAAACCTAAAGCCCTAAACCCTAAAACCCTAAAACCCTAGACCCCTGAACCCTAAAACCCTAAACCCCTAAACCCCTAAACCCCTAAACCCTAAAACCCTAAACCCTAAATCCTAAAACCCTCTAAACCCCTAAACCCCAAACCCTAAGGCCCTAAACCCTAAACCCTAAAGCCCTAAACCCCCAAACCCTAAACCCTAAACCCTCCCGATGCGGTTCAGGGACAGGATGTAGGCCACCCGCGCTCGTCGGTCGGAGGAGGCACTCGGGGGCCCCACGAGCTCGACCGGCAGCCGCCTGAAGATAATAAGACCAGGGTTCAATTTAAAGGGTTGGTTAAAAGGCTCAATATAAGGGGATCTACGTAAAGGGTACTACAATTTTGGGGCCCTAATAACTAGAACAGATTCTGTTCAGGGTTTGGGATTTAGGGTTTAGGGTGTTGATACTGTAGTGCGTGCGTCCACGTTATGTTTCAACACAGCTACTACTACGATAACTTGACCGTTTAATCCCACAGCACTGCAGTTATGTGCATGTATATTGTTTTTCACATCTCTCCAGGTTCTCGAAGTCTACACTTCTGCCACTCTAACCCAGTAGTGGAGCAGAATCCGGGCTCGAATACAACTACTTGGGGTTATAAGTAAGGTAACTACAGTCATTTTTACCTTATAACCCAAATTAAGGTAGATATAACCCTAGTTACTAAGTCCCATGATCCTCCAAGTAACGGTCTCCCGAGAAAATAGTAGCAATCATAACACCAGCAATGACCATGGCAATCGCAAGCCCGCGCAAATCGCCATGCAGACTCATCATATGCATGGTGAAGCTCGTACGACAATGGTGGAGGATCATGGGACTTAGCAAGCAGGGGTATGAGTACCTTCATTTGGGTAAAAAGTAATCATAACTGTAGTTGCCTTACTTAAAACCCCAATTACTAAGTCCCATGATCCCTTAAGTAGACGCACAGTAATGCGGTACCTGTCTTTCTTTGACGAGGGACCGCTCTCCCCAGGACGTTCGCTCCGGCTCACTAAGTGGCCATTCCTGCGCCTGAGCTCCGCCGTTTCGACGCTTTTCCGGGGGGTCGTGCGCGCTTCTACGGGATGTACAGATGAAGGCTTACTTGGAGGTTCGGGTATCGTGTAGTACATTCTGATGTTTAAGTGCGTATGTTACGTGCACATACATACATACATATATATATATATATATACATATATATTTATATATATATATATACATATGGGTTATTTTATATACCCCCCTGCATGTTCTGTCTGATGAAGAGCTTGGAAACACTAAATTAGTAACATGTTCTCTCTTTATGTGGTTATAACCGTTCGGTCTGGTTATAACCAATAGGGTGCCTAAACCACCAAATCAATAAACCATTAAACCAATCCTTTTGCCCTATACACCATTAAACCAATCCATTTGCCCCAGACCGCTAAGCCATTAAACCACTAAACCTATCAATTTCCCCCATACCACTAAACCAATAAAACATTAAACCAATCATTTCCCCCAGTGAGCCTAACATACCAATACATAGGCCAACAGGGTTTATTGGTTTAGGCCTCCGGTGCCCTGTAGGCCAAATGGATTGGTTTAATGGTTTCGGTCTCCTGTGCCCTATAGGCTAAATGGATTGGTTTAATGGTTTAATGGTTTGGGTCTCCCGTGCCCTGTAAGCAAAATGGATTGGTTTAATGGCTTAATGGCTTAATGGACTAGTGGTGGGTCTAAGGGCTGCCTACTACGCGACAGTCCTGGTCATAACCAGAGACACAGGCTATAACCAGGGCACAGAATACGTTAAGAGTCTGAAGACCGTGCCACATAGACGAAATACACTGGCTTATTGGATTAACGGCTTAATTCCGTGCTTTATAGCCCATGCGGGTCGGTGTAATGGCTTACTTAGGTGTCCCCCAAACCCCAGTGCCAAACCCTAAGAAGTAAAAATCAAACCCAAGACGTTTATGGTCAAAAAGTATATTGGTAAAATGAGGGCTGGCTTGGGTACCAGTGATTTGTTTAAGATTGTCTGTTGGTTATTGGTTTCGGAACATACCTGTAATATTGGTACACCGTATCGAAACACCGGCATTGTAACAGGGATTCGACGAGGTGGTCATAGAATTCTTAACGTTGTGCGAGTTTCAGCTGGTCAGCATTTTGAAAGCATGGGTTGTTGCAACTTCCCGGGTTTGTCTCCGAACTAGTTTTGCAGAGCTTCTGAGGAACGCAACGAAATCGTAGTACTTGTAGGGGGATGATACGTACTGAAACCAACAGGATGGGAAACATGCACGATCATCCATAGAGACTTAGCTGCTAAGACTTAGCTGCTGCACCTTTTGTGTTGGTTTCGACTTGGACTAAAAAAACATGTGAATGCGCAATTGCTTATATGCTTCGCTCCAGATTCAAGGATGTCAAGGGTTTGAGATTTTGGTGGGTTTCAAAACCAGTTGCTGGTTCCACAATGCTACAGCCGTGCAGAAATCCAGGGGGGATACTACGCAGCATATATATATATATATATATATATATGTATGTATATATATATATATATATGTCACAGTAGGTTGCAGTATGTTGTAGGACACTGCAGTATATTCATCTCGATCTCGTGGCATGAATCAATACATTCCCGTGTATTAGGGCAAAGCACACCCTAAACCCTAAACCCCTAAAAGCGCCTAAACCCCTAAACCCTAAACCCCTAAACCCCTAAACCCCTAAACCCCTAAACCCTAAACCCCTAAACCCTAAACCCCTAAACCCCCTAAACCCCTAAACCCCTAAACTACTAGGTGTGGACTTCAGTCTCGCAGTTGCTTAAGTTGCAGGGGATAGGCCCTTGCCCTTCATCCCCAAGATCTCTAGGGTTTTGGCGTGAAAAAACGGCCCTTGATGGTCAGAGCAGGGTCTGGGGTGTGAGGGTCTAGGGTTTAGGGTTTAGGGTTTAGGGTCTAGGGTTTAGGGTTTGGGGTTTAGGGTTTAGGGTTTAGGGTAGCTATAACAAGGACCCCTGAGAAACAGTCTTGCTTGTTATTTCAGCTTCTACATTCGGGTGGCCAGTCTATAATCCCGAAACCTTCAACCCTCTACTCTACTCCCAGCGCCGACAACCTAAACCCGGAGCATTCTCCCCCCTAAAACCCTAAACCCACACCCCGGCTCCTCCACCCACTGTGCTGAAGTCCGCAACGGTGGCGATGCTTCGCGACGAACAGCTGGACCACGTGGGACTTCGGTCTGCCTTCGCGAGAGTTTAGGGGTTTAGGGTTTAGGGGTTTAGGGTTTGGGGTGCGCTGAAGCTAAACCCCTATACCCCCTGCCTCGAAGCGGGCCCGAGCTTTACGGTCGTGGTTTTAGGGCTTCATGCAAACTTAAAGGATCATGGGACTTAGTAAGTAGGTTATAACTGGGGTTATAAGTCCCCAAACTTATCCTAATTATAACCTACTTATAACCTTACTTACTAAGTCCCATGAGCCTTTAAGACGGGTTGATGCTTTTGTCAGGCTTTGGAGCTCTAGGGCTCTAAGATTTGACAAATTCAGGCCTGGACATCCTCGAACCGCGTCTACGCCCCCACTCCCTACTTAAAGGATCATGGGACTTAGTAATTGGGGTCCCTTTAAGGGATCTATAGGGGTACTATAAGGGTTTAGGGTTTTAGGGTCTACTTAAAGGATCATGGGACTTAGTAAGTGAGGCTATAAGTAAGGTAACTACAGTTGTTGTAGTTACTTATAACCCCAATTAAGGTACTTTTAACCCTACTTACTAAGTCCCATGGTCCTCCAAGCACTGAATCCCGGCGGCGTGTGCCGGCTGTAGGTGGGGCTCGAAGGTGCTGGTGGCGGAAGCGGCCGCATAGCTTGGAAGTCCTGCAGTCAAAAGCTGGGTTCTTCTGTTACAGTGGCTTCATAATGGGGTCTCATCAGCGGACGTCTATATAAGAAGATGTTGAAGGCTTTATTGGGCTCTACAAGGGTTTCGTAGTCGTAGTTATAAGGGCTAAAAAGAACACAATCGAAGTAACCATAATCGGAATGGGAAGCTCATAAGATGCCTTCCTTGTGATTTCAACAGTCGCCAAAACTGCTTCTAACTAGGGCTCTATTTTAAACAACAAAGCAAGTGAAAACCTATCCCAAATCGATACCTAGGATAAGCTAGTAAGCCCTACACCCTGAACCCTAAACCCTTCCGGAGCAAAGACCCAGGAGTCTCCCTAGGAGGGGTGAAGGATTAACGGCTGGCGTCTAGGAAGGGGTAGAGTTTCCAAAAAGTAGATTGAAGGTTTTCCATAAGTTCCAAACCATAGTTCTACTTTTGAACTCTAAGGAACACTACTACAAGTTTATAGATTTGAAGCTCAAAGCTTCGATAAGGCGAACAGAAAATGGCGTGTCCGGGGTCTCTTGGGTGGTCTCGGGCTGTGGTAGAATGCAGCACCATGGCATCACATTGGTTGTGAAGAATGCTCCCTTGCCTGAAGGCGCACGTTTGGGGGATCTTGAGACCAGAGCCTGCCTGTACCTCTACCTACCCATCTAAACGAGCCGCAAGCCCATGGAAGTAGCTGTCACCGCCGCCATCACCGCAGCCACTGGTCAGTCTTCGTCACCATCATCTTTAGCGTCATGACTACTTCGTCATGGTCAACATCATCCGCCCTCGTCGTCCGCACTACCACACCATTACGGTCATCACCAGAGGCACCAGTAGTATCACGGTACGTTGTGTCACGGTACAAACGCCTGCGGCCTCAGACCATAACAAAGACTCTAAGCATCTCGTGAAAACGTCTCTGACTAGTTGCTGTTGCTGCTGGGACTTGAAGAAGTACTACCACTATAAATGGCCAACATGATTACCAGTACCACTAATACACGGCTAGAGACTGATTCATGATAATATGGCTTGGGGTAGGTGATAATGAGTATAGTGATTAGGAATGCACGGAATGGTACGAGCGCGTGTTCAGGCCTCTTTGCTGCCATTGCCAATGTCATGACGCACCCTACCTACTCAATCGACGAATCGACAACAATGGCGCCGATTACTTGAACAAACAAGTCAGTAGAACATGACAAGCGAAAGCAATGACAGCAAAGCCCTAAGCCAAGCTTTCAAAAAAAACTTGCAACCCTAAACTCCACATTCCACACACGAAACCTAAAATTGCCTGCCCTCACCCCCAAACCAAAAGCCCTGAACCCTTCTATCCTGATCTCGTAAGCCTTTAGAAGCTCTAAACCTCAAGGGTCTGGGCTTGATTGTTTTACGGGTTTGAGACTTGAAGGTTTGGGGTTTGGTTTGAGGTTTACCGTCCGGAGCTGGAGGATTGAAGGCTTGGCGCTTACGTCCCCGAGTCCTCCTGGCGTTGCTCACTGCCACCAGCCAGCTCGCGGAGAGTGTCTCGCAGGGCATCCCTGAGGGAGCTGCTGGCCGAAACTGGGCCGACCTGGCTTCCATCATGGGAAAAGAGAGAAAAAAGAACCTGTGAAAGGTTTGGGTGCCAACACGGTTTTGACCGAAACGCTTCTTTTTGCCAACGGCTGGGCTGGGCGCTGCAGGGCTGAGCTGGGCTGAGCTTGGGCTTGGCTGGGCTATAGGCTGGACTGGCCGACTTGGGGGGCTGGGATTGAAATGGACGGTTTAAGGAGTTCAACGCAAACAATGACAAATAATAATTTCTATTTATTTCTTTCTTGAGAGTTTAGGGGTTATGGGTTAGCGGGTTAAGGGTTTAGAGTTAGGGTTTATTAGGGGTTTAGCGCCGTTTAGGGTTTACGATTTGGCGCTTTTAGGTTTTGTGGGTTGAAGCTTAGAGGTTGAATTTGAGGCTTAGGGTACCTGCCTGTGTAAAAACTGCTTCGTGCACATCCTGTTTAGCATAACGGCTTTTCAAACTTTTGCCACCGAGACTCCGAAAACGCTTCAGACTTTGGGTGACTTCCAGCAGCAGGTATCTGGCCAGCTGCGTTGTGCTTAGACAATAATCTGTGATGGCATGCCATAATATACGACCATGCACAATAGCAAGCGAAGATGCACGAATAATATGTGCAGTTAGTAGACGATCATCTACAATATACAAGAATATACTGCAACAAACGAACATAGACGACAGTGCACGACATTCTGACATTCGAATGGGGTTGTGCATATGTTTGCAGTAAAACTTATTTTTGCTGCTACAGTGACGACCCATGTCTGTAGAGGAATTCAAGGAGCCCAGTACACCTTAATTAAGGAATATACCTTAAATCATTAGGGGCTTCATATTATGATTTAAGCTATATTCCTTGGTTGAGGGGTTTTGGGCTCTCTGAGGAGTTTACAGCACTTCCTCTTGCGTAGGTTGCTTGTGGTCATGCATGATTCTGCCCCACTAGCAGTATCGTCCTCGGCTTCAGCAGCTGATATCTCAAACCCCACACAGACCCCTGAAGCCTAAATCCTTTCCCAACAAGCTCACGTCGCTACACCTGAAATCATAAGAATCACATCCAACCCGGCGCCTGGGCGGCTCCCACCTCCTGTGGGACATCTGGCACATTCGGGACGGGCGGTGAAGAGCACTCCTCCCGCAGTGCATGGCGTACTTCCTGTTCTGCGGCTCGGCCTGGTGACGGGGGATATGGCTTTTCAAAACAGAGGGGCCTTGGGCGAATTATTGTTTACCCATAACAAGGAGCACGGCGTTGGGTTTTGAGCTTTGTGGTGGTCCGCTAGGTTTACGATGGAAACCCAACAACTTCAAAAGGTAAAACGCTACTACTCGGGGACCTAGATTACAAGTGACAGGAAAAGCAGGACCGATGCAGAAGGCCAGCCACCAATAAAGAACGACCTTCTTCACCCTGAAAACCCAGCAAAATGGTTTGAAACCTAGCACCCCAAACTCCACACGCTAAACCCCCACACCCTAACCCCTAAAGCCTACACCCTCAAACCCATCCAAATGCAGCTGCAGCTGCTGAGACCCAGCTCCGCTGGGCGCGGAGCAGCCCGGAGGCTCTGAAACTGAGCCTGCGCACTGAGCCCGAAAAGTCTTGGCAGCTCGGGGTTCAGGGGTTTAGGGGTTTGGGGTTGAGGGCTTGAGGGGTTTAGAGTTTTGGGTTTAGGGGTTGGGTTTAGGGTTTAGGGGTTTAGGCGTTTAGGGTTTGGGTGTTCGAGGGTTAGAGGTTTAGGGTTTCGGGGGTTACGGGTTTAGGGGTATCTATGTTTAAGGTTCCTTATTATGATTTTCCTGTGTAAAAGCTTAAGAAAGGAAGTTATTTTGGGTTCAGGCAGGGTTTAGGGGGCAGAATTTGGGGTCGACTTGAAGCCGTCTGCCGCCTCTTGTGCTTACTCATCTCAATATTCTGCTTCTGCCTAGTGTTACTCCTTGTGTTGCTGATCTTATATTCTGCGCTGTTGAGCACTGCATTTGCCGGCACACTGCTACAGTGCTTGCTGTGACTCGTAGATTTGGAGATGTGTTCGGAGGGGGCTTGGAGTGGAGGCCAGGGTCTAGTTTGGAGGGGCCGGCGACTTAGTAAGTAGGTTATAAGTAGAGTTATAAGTACCCCAAATGGAGTTACCCCAGTTATAACCCGACTTATAACCTACTTACTGAGTCCCCTGCCCCTCCAAGTAGGGCCTACCTTAAACCCAAAATATCCTACCTTTTCTCGAATAGGACAAGGAAACTATCATTTATCATAGGGAACCCTCAAAAGGTAGGTTTCTGAGGGCCCAGGTAGTGGTTTACACAAAGTTCTGGCCTCGCGCTTGTATCGACTTCGGTCGAATGCTTGGGGTGGCTCTGAGGACTTAATTAAAATCTCAACCCCTCGGACACAACTTAAAACCTCAACTACTATTATTATTATTACTATTATTACTATTACTACTATTAATATTACTTATATTAGCTGTTATTATTTTTTACCCCCCGGACCCCACCTTCGTACTGAACCCCTCGATCCTCAGCCCTGAGCCTGAGCTAAACCACGAAGAAACCTGAACCCACTCTAAACTTTTAGGGTTTAGGGTTTAGGGTTTAGGGGACTCTAAACCGTAAATGAATCCTTTTGAAGACCCGAAACCCACTAAACATAAACAGCGCTTAAAGCCTAAGGCCTAAACCCGAAAAGCACTAAATCATAAAAAAAACTAAACCCCTCGAACTTTAAAAGGCACTAAGCCCTCAAAACCCCTCTCCCAAATCCCTCACCGAAGGCCCTTAACAAGGCCTCTCAACCCAAGGCCCTAACAACCCTAAGCCCCTTTAAAATCCCTTAAAAACCCTCTAAATAACAGATAAACCCTTACGGAACCGGTGTAAAATCTTTCTAAAACCCCGTCCAGAATCCAAAACCCTAAACCCCAAAAACACTTCAAGACTCCGAGGACGAAGCCTCCATCGAGTCCATGCTGACCTGCAGCTGTTGCAGCTGGTCAGTGAAAGCCGGCGGGCTCGAAGCCAGCTGCCTCTCAACCTCGTGGTTTGGATGCTCTTTCGAGCTCCTAGGGCTTTAGGGTTCAGGGTTTAGGGTTTAGGGGTTTAGGGGTTTAGGGTTTAGGGTGTCTGGTGTGCGACCTTGCGGTAAGTGGCTTTTAGGGGCCTTGTAAGGGGTGTTTGCGCAGGTTTTGCCTGATCCTATATGGGTTTAATGGAGCTCCTTGAGGTCTTGGTCCCCAGTGTCCCCTTAACAATGGGGGTACATATCTTCCTGGTGTTCAGCTTCAACAGGGAGCCTAAAAGAGAAAGGGTCAAAGGGTACATTTAAAGGATCATGGGACTTAGTATTTGGGGTCATAAGTAAGGTAACTGCAGCTTTAGCTAGGTGCAACCCCAATTAAGGTACTTATAACCTCAGTTACTAAGTCTCATAATCCTTCAAGTACCCTGGACCCTAAACCCGCATAGTACCCCTATAGACGTGCTACACGGGAACGTAGAGGTTGTCCCAGCTGGGCTCACGGAGGCGTAACTAGGCTTTTGCCAACCTAAAAAAGCAACTCGATACCCTTGGCGGGGGAGTTAGGATTTTGGGGTGTTAGGGGCTTGGGGGGTTGAGGAATTTTGGGACTTTAACTGGCCACTGCCCTCTGCGATACCCCTTTCAAAGCGCTAGACTCGCCCTAGAAGGGCGGCTGCCAGGATCCAACGACTCTCAGCTCCGAGGAGGCAAGACAGGGTGCCGTGACCCTCGCCCTTCAAGAGCTTAGAGTAAAAGCCAGAAAGTTGGAACATGGATTTAAGAGGATTAGTGCTAGGATCCCTTATACTTTACCTTAAGGGCATGAGGTTGGTGGTGTTCCAACTTTCTGGCTTCTACTGTACCTTACTCAATCTGTTGCCTCTCTTAACCCTTAACCCTTAGACCCTCATAATGAACCTAAATGCCAAACTCCCAATCCAAAAAAAAATCCTACACCCTCAACCTTGCAGCCCAAAATTCTGAAACCCTAAACCCTAAACGCCTAAACCCTAAACCCCACACCCTGGGCTCCACACCTGCTTTGGCAGCTCGGCGAGCTGCTTGGCGGCCGTCTTGGCAGCTGTCTTCACCCATTTCCCTGCCTCATGGGAACTTTCATGATTTAGGCTTAGGGTTTAGGGTTTAGGGTTAGGGTTCAGGGTTTAGGCTTTAGCGTTTGGGGTTTAGGGTATTTAGGTTTAGGGAGAACCATTTTAGAGCGGGGGGTTGAGGTCTTGCCTTTCGGGATCTTCCTCAGACAACGTGGCAACACTCTGGGGCGTCTGCTTTTTTGTGTTGCAGTCCATGCGAAGCACTGTGGGCACGTGCAGCGGTTCTGCTGCTTCCACTGTGTTGCAAACAGCCCTGCGCTTGTCCCGTCGCCTGGGATACCGAACTCGTTCGCAAGCTCAGGCATGTGGAAATCATACTTCCGCCACTGTCGCTAAATCGCTCCAAGGTCTCTAAACGTCTTGGCAAGGCCACACAACTCCACCTGGCATGACTCGGTGTGTCTGAGATCCTGGAAAGTCCACGCTATTCGGCCTCTGGGTCACTTTCGTGCGTGCTCGCTCTGTTTTATTCGTCGTTTTCGTCGCATGTGCACAGTGTCGTTCGTTCTGCAATTCTGTGGGCATCCAGCTTCGGGGGCAGTGTCTCCATGCCTCGTTCTGAGCCAGACGTCTGGAAGCCTCGGCTTTCCACAGCCACACTAATGTAGGGGCGTTAATAATTAGAATAGGGTTTGGGGGTATATTATACTATACCACCCAAACCCCTTTTCTAATTATTAAGGCACCTACATTGGTGCAAGCTCCTGGTCTCTTGCCCTGTCCTTCTACACTGACTCCGCTTTCGCCTACAGCCTGGTCCTTGGAGGATCATGGGACTTAGTAAGTAAGGTTTTATAAGTACCTTAATTGGGGTTATTAGTAAATATAACTGTAGTTGCCTTACTTATAACCCCCAATTACTACGTCCCATGATCCTCTAAGTAGGGTTTAGGCCACCATCGGATTCGCCCTTCGCCTGAGTTGCCTCTAACAAATCAGGGATTTCTCCCCGGCTCGCACGGCCGAGAGTAAGCAAAAAATCACGGGGCAGGGATTTAGGGTTGAGGGTTTAGGGCCAGTTTAGGGTTTAGGGCCAGTTTAGGGTTTAGGGTTTACTTAAAGGACCATGGGACTTAGTAATTGGGGGTTATAAGTAAGGTAACTACAGTTATAATTGCCTATAACCCCAAGTAAAGTAGTGATAACCCCAACTAAGTCCCATTATCCTCCAAGTAGGGATTAGGGTCTCCTTGAGCTGCTCGTGGGATGGTGAGTCAATATAGGGTTAGGGTTTAGGATTAAGGGTTTAGGGTTTAGGGTTTAGGGTTAAGGGTTAAGGGTTTAGGGTTTAGGGTTTAGGGTTTAGGGTTGGGATTGTGATTCTCTTCGGTGATTCGCTGTTTGGGGGTTTACACGGGCGCGAAAGAGGTTGGGGATTGTAGGTGGTACTTGGAGGGGCAGGGGACTTAGTAAGCAGGGTATAAGTAGAGTTATAAGTACCCTAAATGGCATTACTCCAATTATAAACCTACTTTATAACCTACTTACTAATTCCCCTGCCCCTCCAAGTAGGGTTTACAAGGTACACAAAGTCTGAATCTGCAGTTCAAGGCCAAGGGATGCAGGTGTAACTCTTCTACGTATGCCATGCCACCTGAAACCCAAACCCTGAAACCCGAGATCGCAACCCCTGAACCCTAAACTGTAGGTTGTCGGAATGGGAAGAAGACGCTGAAACTCGACGGCAAAAGCCGTAAAACTAGCCCAGCAAGGAAGCGATTTCGGAAAGCCCTGCCACAAAGTGAGCTCATGACTTCGGGTTCGAGGTTTGGCACCCCTTCAGTTGAAACCCTAACGCCCGGAAAAACAAAGCAAACATACATATATATATATATATATGTATATATGTATATGTATATGTATATATATATATACATATATACATACATATATATATATATATATATATATAGATGTACATATATATATATATATAGTACTATATATATATATATATGTAATCATCGAGCCATCCGATCCACCTTCACAAGGCTCTGAAGGTTCTTGCCTCCCGTAGGCCTCCTCACAGAGTTCCGCATAAGCTTTCAGAGAACCCGGCTTGATGTCGTAACAACGTTGAACTCGATGATAATGGCGCGATAGGGACAGTGGTGATGGTGGTGGTGGTGGTGGTGGTGGTGGTGGTGATGATGATGGTTGTTCTCAATACATGCTATGTACTATCATGAAGTTGATACCACACATACACATGTTCGCCACGATTGCTACTACAACCATGTTCAACTGTTTCTGATACTTTAGCTCCTGGCAACGGAACCACTACGAATATGAGTACTCAGACCCTGAACCTTACCTGTACTAGTACAGGTTACTAGTATAATCATTCTCTCATTAATGTGGAACTTGATATCATAGCACAGTATGCTCCAGAAGGGTTTAGGGTTCAGGGTTTAGGGTCAGTCATGATCTAAACCCAAAATGCCAAGAACAGCCTGCATCGCTAAACTCTAAACTGCTAAACCCGCAAACCCATGAATCTTTGACGACTCTCACGACGGTTGATGATATAAATCCTGCATTACCCATAATAAGGATTATACCATAACTCCCATAGTTTAGGGCCTTTAAGGTAATGCAGGATTTATACCATAAACCCTAAACCCTAAAAGCCTATATAGATCCCTTAAAGGAGCCCCTTAAAGGCACCCTTATAGATTTATATCATCAAACGTACGGCGAGTCTTGGGGTTTGGGCTGTGCAGTAGACTTCCTGGGGCTTTGGGCTGCTGTAAGGAGGACTGTCAGGATGGCCTAAGAGTGACAAAGGGGCCTTAATAATTAGAATAGGATTTTAGGTATATTGTGGTACCATTATAATAAGGAACCCCAAGAATCATAATATTAGTAACAAAGGGGCCTTAATAATTAGAATAAGGGTAGTTGTCAAGATAGAGATCCCTTTTTGGGTACCCTAAATTATAGGTGCCGTATTATAATAGGGACCCACCCATAAGGTTTTAGGTCTATTGTGGGACTATTATAATAAGGAACCCTAAGAATCATAATATTAGACCCCTGACATGAACCTCTTGAAGATGGCGCGGACTCCGGATCTCAAAAACTACTTAAAGGATCATGGGACTTAGTAAGTCGGGTTATAAAGGTTCCTTTAAGGGATAGGGGTAGGGTACTCGGGGGATTATGGGACTTAGTAAGTAGGGTTATAAGTACCTTCACTGGGGTTGTAAGTAACTGTAGCTGTAGTTACCTTACTTATAATCCCAATTACTAAGTCCCGTGAAGGAAAAACTCCTACTACAGTAGCCTTGGTTCGATAACTTGAATACGGTTTGGGAGTACGTTCTAGTATCACCATGGTAAGGAGCCCCAAAACAGTATTGGTAATTATTGAGGCCCCTATCCTACAAAAGAACTTCCTCACAGGCTGCACTGCTGTACTCTTGTGTGGAACCTAAAGGGCACATAAACGGAGGCACCTTCGACAGGACCGTATCTGCGGCGCTGTGCAGGTCTTTGCCATCTGCCTCCAATAAAGCTTCGCATCGGCACAACTCGGCAGTGAAAAGGAGATCGAATGCTTGTTGTACAGAAATGATGAACATCATTATGACTGTGATAAAAGAAACCTAGTACCCAGAACAATGGTACCAAAACCATCTAACAGAAGCAGCAATGGTAACAACCATGTAACAACCATAACTAATAATGTCAAAAGCAGGTTCAATGGCGAGGACGCTGACATGAAGTGTTGACACTCAGTTCACCCAAACCAAGCACACACACATGCAATCACACTCAATCACACACACACACACACACACACACACCACTTGGAGAGTGTTTAACTGCACTTGCAGACAGATGCACTTAAAGTACATACTCTGGCTGCACTTGCACTTGCACATAGTGAGAGAGAGGGAGAGAGAGGAGAGGAGGAGAGAAGGAGAGAAGGAGAGAGAAGGAGAGAGAAGGAGAGAGAAGGAGAGAGAGGACTTTGTCGTAGGATCACCCAAGCACAGGGTAAACCTCCAACCGTTCACACCTAAACCCTAAACCCTAAACCCCTAAACCCAGGCAGCCTCACGTCTGTCAGCAGCTCTGCTTGGCTCTGCTTCAAGTCTGACCGGAGCTTGTTGCCGAGTTCCTCCCGACGTGGGCTGTACTGTAAGCTTGCTCTAGACTCTAAACTCCAGAAAGTTGGAATATGGTTTCAGGGTAGGACACCCTATAATTTACCATAAAGGGTTTAGGATAATAATATTCCAACTTTCTGGCTTTTACTTTAAACCCTAAACCCTAAACCCTATCCCAAAACCCTGCTATATTGGATATGGGGCTCAGGCTCAGGATTCCAGGCTTTGGAGAAGGGGCGCAGGTGGGTAGTTCTCTAATTCTAAGGTCCCCTTTAAAGGTCCCTTCCAAGGCTCTTTTTTTACAAGGGCGCCGTACCATTTTGGGGGGGGACCTAAAAGGGAGAGGTATACCCATGTGGAGGGACCCCCTGGGTCAGACGTTGGGTGTGAGCTTCATGGGCCCATCTTCGAAGGTGTCCTGGCCTCTGAAGCTTCGGTTCCTGACCTCTACACCTTCCGAAGGCATCCTACTTCAGCTCGTGACCTCCAAACCTCACAGAATACACCCTGAACCCTAAACCTGACATCTCAAACCCTACGGCTGATGGTATAAATCCTGCATTACCCAAAATAGGGAATATACCATACTGTAATTCCCATAGTTTAGGGTCCTTAAGGTAATGCAGGATTTATATCACCAACAGTAGCAAACCCTGGAAGCCCAAACTTTCAGCCCGAAGCCCTACGAAGCCGAGACCTCGAGCCCTCCAGGGGCCCTCCAAGCCCCGAACCCCAAGCCCGAAACCCTAGCACGGGGTTTAGGGCATAGGATTCACGGTTTCGAGTCTATCTGGTATGGGTAATGATTCACCCCACATTACACCCTGGGTCCTCGCGGAGGGTGCTGAGCTCCTCGAAGATGTGGGACAAGCTCTCCTGCATCTGGTCCTCCGGCTACTTGGGGCTGAAGGATTTGTGGAAATATCGACTGGTGCCTCACCTGCAAGGTACCGGTACTTTTGTTGCCTTCTTCAGGCTCCGGTGGTAGGGTTTAGGTTTTGGGGGTCTAGGGTGTACGTTTTGGGGGTTTAGGGGTTCAGGGTTTAGGGAGATATGGATTTTCTCTTTAGCTGAGGTTCAAACCACCGCAACGCAAAGAGAACAGCCTCGGAGAAATCGCCTGCACGCCCGAAGCTCCCACACGCACGACACACCAGGCAAGCACGTATAACCGTATAAGGCCCAATTACACTTTCAAGACAAAACTATATAACCCAGCATTATAGAGCCCTAATTGACCACCAATCCCGAGGCACAAGAGAGAGAGAGATAGAGAGATAGAGAGATAGAGAGATAGAGAGATAGAGAGATAGAGAGATAGAGAGATAGAGAGATAGAGAGATAGAGAGATAGAGAGATAGAGAGACAGAGAGATACAGAGATACAGAGATAGAGAGATAGAGAGAGAACGAAAGGAAGAAAGAAAGAAAGAAAGAGAGACTTGAGCTAGAGGCTCCTTCGGGACCTCCATACCCTTTGCAAGCAAGCAGCAAACGTGAGACATCTTCCCTAGTATAGGTACCTGCACGGTTAGAATAATGCTATTTAGATATTTATACCATACTTCAAACAACAAGAAACTCTCAGCAATACTAGCCCAAATATTGAGTCCCTTATAGTCGGCTGGGGCGGAGCCTGGCCGGACGCGAGCATGTTCCACATCCTGGATCGCGCAATCTGTCCTAAATCCTGAAGAAAAGGGGTCTAGGATTCGGGGTTTCGGATTTGGGGTTTCACTTTTTAGGGGTTTAGGTTAGGTTGAAACCCAAACCCTACCATGGGCCGACATACCCAGCAGCAGGATGGCCGGAATATGATCTGCCTTTGAAGTAGCTTGCATGGCTTTGGCAACAGACGCGAAATCAGACGATGCTTGACGATGTGTTTGAGAGCTTTGCTCCTTTATACCACGGACGAAACCCTGCTATCTTGGGGGTTATTATAGGGCCAGGGTATCTTAAACAGGTTCCTGCATTAAACCGTTCCCGCTTGAGAACAAATCTTTCTGGACTCACGCAGCTTTTCATGGTAATCATAGTTCCTGCTTGAGAAGTTACTATACCAGCATCACCGTTGTTAAGGAAAGCCAACAACCCATGCTGCACACCCTAAACCCTTGTGCCATAAACCCAACTACGCCCCGACTGCTCCCAAAAACCCACTGAACCCCCCCCCCCCCCCCAAGACCGCTAAATCCCAGAGCTCCAACCGCGAATCCGCAAAACCCCTAAACCCCAAAACCCGCAAAGCCCCTAACTCTCAAACCCTTCCACCCCTGAAGCCCCCCACCCTAAACCCGAATCCCCTTAACCCCTAAACTAAACCCTAAACCCTTAAACCCTAAACCCTAAACCCTTAAACCCGAATCCCCCGAAACGCACCTGTGCATGTCGTACTCCATCTCCAGGAGCTCTCGCCGCTCGGGTGGCCCTGGCAACCTGACTCCGTGGCCCGTGGCGTCGAGGTGGATTCATTATTATTATTCAAATTTATTTTTATTTTTATTATTATTATTATTGTTGTTATTATTATTATGATTATTAGTAGTAGTAGTAGTAGTAGCAGTAGTAGTAGTAGTAATAGTAGTAGTAGTAGTAGTAGTAGTAGTACTAGTACTAGTACTAGTACTAGTACTAGTACTAGTACTAGTAGTAGTAGTAATAGTAGTAGTATTAGTATTAGTATTAGTATTAGTATTAGTATTAGTATTAGTATTAGTATTAGTATTAGTATTAGTATTAATATTAGTATTAGTATTAGTATTAGTATTAGTATTAGTATTAGTATTAGTATTAGTATTAGTATTAGTATTAGTATTAGTATTAGTATTAGTAGTATTATTAGTATTCTTATTAGTATTAGTATTAGTATTATTAGTATTCTTATTAGTATTCTTATTAGTGTTATTATTAGTATTATTATTTGTTTATTAGTATTGTTATTAGTATATAATAATAATGTACACCGCGGGTTTTCTGGTGAATGCTGCTTAACATCTCCCACACCCTATAATCACTCTATCGGGGTTGCGATTGGCAAACTCTCGTATTTTATTTAATATGTAAAAGCTGTGCATATGAACTTCGTCAAAGACTATACAATCAAACTTGCTATGGTCAAACTCTGGCAGTTTCTCCCCGTCGCCGACAGGTATTCCAAAAAACTGGTTTGTTGTGATTGCTTCATCGTCTATAAGAGTCTAGATTTTACGACAAGCTGTTCTGGGGGACTACAAACAATGTTGCATAACGCGACTTGCTGAAACGCTTCGCTACATGCGATTTACCACCGCCAGCATATTTACTTGTTCCAATGAAAGGGCTCTTTTGCGTTTTGTGTTTGGCGATGCTTTCGGCGTCCCACTCGTCTCGAATTTCTGGTGTTTCATTGGTGCATTCTGGTATAGTTGTTAGTCATCTTCTCTGATTTTGTGTTGTTTTGTCAATGGGATTAATGATGTTCCTTTTTCGTGTCGCCATCCTCCGATGATACTGTTACATGTTATTGCCTTCTTCGCCTTGTTTAACTGCTCGTGCCTAATTACACAGGCATCGGTTTAACACTCCACACATTAGCGCCATTGTTCACTAAATTGGTATAATCCTCTGGTATTTTATGACTATGGATTTGAAGCAGTAGCTCCTTTATCTAAGTGTAGCAGTTTCTTACAGCCACGCCGTTAGACACCGTTAAGCAATAATATATTCTGTCTAATTCCTTGCCGTTTTCGTCGTACAGTATCCGGTGATCTTATCAGTCTTGCCTCCTACTTCTTGTTGATAATACAAAGCTTCCCGAAGACTTTCAAAGGCAAAGCTTTCAGAAGATTTGTTCGTTCCCTTCTCTAACAATCAGAAATTTACATTTGCTATAAGCTTATTTTTTGCATCTTCTGGAAAGTGGTCTGATATTTCGGTTGGGCGTAACTGTTTAATAAGTTTCGTGTAATACACCTTATACACTCTAACACTCTAAAAGGCTCGTTATAATATGGGATTGTTCATTTGTCGGCGTAGTGCTTTAGAAACTTACAATAGATTTTACAGTCTGCCTGCCCAAAAAACATCAAAAAACACAATTCTTGTTCTTTCGGCTTAACCCTAAACACAGCGAAACTTGGTGTAGTCGCGGGCTTTGTAACTGAAATGCGTCCATATATCAAACTGGTTTTAAAGGCAGGGATTTCGGCGATTTGGTTGAATGCGTGGGTGTAAGTGTAAGCTTTTCTTACGTCTACTTCGGTGGTTGCTTCGGGTGTGAGTCCGTATTTGTCGTATTTCTCTGTTCTTTGGTCAAACACCCGGTAGAATTCATTAAATCTCCCACTCGGCATTCCTTAATTAAGACTTTGTCTATCAATTTCACTATAAAAGTATTTATGTAAGGGAAAAATGAAGCCTTGTTGAATTCATTCGTTGCTTTAGACATGTTGTTCTAAATCTGCTCTGTTCTTACTGCTATAGTTCCATCAGTGGAGCTCGTCACTAGGTTTCGAAGTTGAATCCTTCAGTTTATGCTCTTCTTCTTAAAGTAACGTTTAAAATACAACCCGGATACGATACACCCGCCAAGCCGCACTTGTGGTTCATACCCCCCTAGCTTGCTATCACAAGACAAATGGGTTGAATCATTACCATCAACAACTAATGTATACTCGTCCTGCTCTCTGAACTTCTTTAGGTCATCTAAGGACTGTATCATTTTGCATTCAGAAGGTTCATCTTTTTCGTTTTTGTGGGCAATCTGACGATGCTTTAACCGCTACTTCTTGATTTTCGCGGAGCGCCACCATCCGCCGTAACATCTGTAGGTTGTCGCTTGCCGTGTAGATGTGGCTGTTTTTAAACAGGTCATTTAATCTTGGTATATGGTGGTTGTATTTGGTAGGCGAGTACTTGAAAACAGGCTCCATGAAGGAATTAAAATTCTCAATTGAGTGCCATAGTGTTCAAACACGGGCACCACATCTTGTATTGATGCCCTGTTCGTTTTGAAATCCTCTTCGGTCTTATTCATCAGTTTTGACATACGTTCTTTTGTTAATCTGTTTCTTTCTCGTCGCATCTCGCCCATGAGCGTAATCTTATGTACCAATCGGTTATGGTGTTTAACCAACACTTGTTTTCTTTGTAACGCTTTACTTGTAATGCTTCCTTAAAGGTTTCAAAGTCGGGGTCTGAAGGGATATGCGTGTAGATGTTGCGCATGCTTTTTTAACGGTATTCATCTGTTTCTCCTGTTTTGGCTTACAATCTGTGTCGCCATATACTCCTTCAAGGTTCTTAATTTGAATACATTCCATAGACTGCTCTGTATGAAACAAGCCGTCTTCTAATACTGGGTCTGCGTTGAGGGCATCCATTGGTTTTGGTTTCTTCTCGTATCTGAAAACCCTTTCCCTACCAAGTCCTCGGCATATCTCGTGGATGTTACATTTGCGCTTTTAGGTTCTTTCCAGAAACAAATTAACGGTCTGCCTTTGTGGTCTTTGAAGGCGGTAGTGATGGCATTGTATTTTTCTAACTTCAGCTTATAAAACATTACATCTAGAACAGATGGTTCAAGTAATTCGCTTTTCTGTTCCTTCTTTGCTTCCTGCATTCGTCGCCCTAGTGGTTCTTTACCGTGAGGTTTGTCGTGAACTTTGTCGTATGTGTTGTTTGCCTTCGTCTTTTGCCTGTCGGTTTTTGCAGTTAAAAACTGTCTGATTAGATTATCTGCGGTGGAGAATTGTGCCATTTTGCGATCTTCATATAAGCTAAGTAGATGTTGTACATTTGTTCGGCTCGGTGGTGTTAAACGGTTTTTGTAATTGTTGTAGGTTGTTTGTAGGGCTCTCGCGTGAAGCTTAATATTGTTGCTCTTATACAATATAGGTACAATATAAGCTAGACTTCTATGTAAATACCTGTTCTTAAAATATTTTGTCATATCTAGAAAATCAGAACTAAGGAAGCTTTCATTGCCATTGAGAGACGGATGTAGGAAGCAATGTTCCAGGGAGGGTTCGGCTGAAGCTGAGACGGGAATCTAGACAAGTAGCTAAAGCTATGCGACTAGTATCGTTCTAGTCGATGCGACCTGAAACAGAAACCTTGTTCCTGTTATAGGTAGGTTGGGCATGCTTCCATAGTATGGTTTTCATCATGTGGGTCTGGGGTTCGGGATTGTGGTGTGTTGGGGTTGAGGTATAGGTTGTGGTGGCTTGGGTGCTAGGGCGTGGTGCATATTAGAAATTTCAGAAAGTGGAAACGGTCACTGCCAGCTTTATAGACCCTAAACCCTAAACCCTAAACCGTGTTGGTTCCGGCTTTAGGGCTATTAGGGACTAGGCATTAGGATGTGATGCCTTCTTTCCGGCTAGGATCTCAGGATTTGGGATTCTAGGGTTTCGGGTGCAGGATTTACGGTGCGGCTTCATGCGGACAGGACATATGGGTACTTGTAAGTAGGATTCTATGCTGTGCGAAGTGACTACGATCCTACTTGACGTACTTCGTGTGTGAACAATGGACTTGAATCAATATCCGGGATGAATGAAGTGTGGTGCTAAGGGTTAGGCCTACCAGAAAGGATACGTAAGGTTATCGGAGGTGTCCGCTATGAAAATGCTGTGGCCCTCAAGTTATGATACTTAAAACCGTTTTCTGGACAGTGCAGGGTTTTGCCTGTCAACAGCATAAGCATGTTCGGCCAAGCTACATTCGCATCAGGCCGTGGACGAAGCGCGCTGAAGCTACCTGACGTGATTTTGGCGGTGGCGTTCGAGATGGCCTATACGGTCTAGGGTTTAGCGTTTAGAGTTTAGGGCTTAGAGTTTAGGGTTTAGGGTTTCGGGATACTGAAGGGTTTCCAGTCATGCGGGCAATTCGGGATTAGGAAACGACTTCGGATCTGTCAGATAGTGGCAGTTTCCGATCATACGGCATACACCCTACGTTTTAGCTGTACATGTTGGTTTCCGATTTTCTGGGATGCTGCTAGAACACTACATGATAGGACTCTTAGATAGGTTGGCCTAGGTTTCTAAACTCCCACATGTTGGTACCCACCGTGCCGCCAGTAGTCGACCCTAAACCCTAAACCCTAAGCCCACCCAATGCCCACTGGCGACGAACTCTTTTCACTTCGGGCTCCAAGTTTGAGGCTCACCTTCTACGTGGAGGATCGGGTTTAGGGTTTAGGGTTTAGGATCATGGGGCTTTGTAAGTAGGGTTATAAGTTCCGTAATTGAGGTTTAAGTAATTTTTACCGTAGTTACCTTGCTTATAACCCCCAAGTCCCATGATCCTTTCAGTAGGGGTTTGAGGCTTGGGGCTCATGGTGTGAGGCTTGCGGCATGAAGTAAAGGCTTGAATGCAGATTCTTCTGGCATAGAGCTTTAAAATAGGGGCCTTAATAATTAGAACAGTGTTTTGGGGCACATTATACCATAATCAGAATGAGGAACCCCCACAATAGTCTTGGTTTTTACTTGGGCCCCTATAGCACAGCTTGAGCTTTCGGTTCTTCGGCCTCTGCTTTGCACCCCGGTTTTCCGGTCCGAAAGTTGCAGGGGGAGAGTCACGGGCACAGGGTGGGGTTGAGGGCTTTGGGTTTAGGGTTTAGGGTTTAGGCTTTAGGGTTTAGGGTTTAGGATTTAAGGTTTAGGGTTTCCGGCTCGGACGAGCTCAGGTTTGAACGCACCCTCCAAAACCCTCAGCGTTACAACTTCTTCACTGCGAAGGAAAGCTGATGCCGCGTTCACAACGGGGCTTTGGCGTGCAGTCAAAGGATGCCTAGAGACGAACGCCTCAGCCAAAGCCATTCCCGCACCCCCACCGCCAGCCTTACCACAGTCGGAGACATCGATGATGCCAAACCTCTGTAGGCGGAAAGGTGCTTGTAAACCGTGCCCTGTGCAACCACACCGAACACAATCAGGAAAGAGATCTGAAATTCCCAAAACAATTAACCTCTAAACCCCTGAACCCCCGAAACCCCGAGCCCAAACTTTCCTCACCCTATATCCTAAACTCCATAAAGCTTTGTCTGCTGGTTTAAAGATCGACTCTCAAAATCCAAGCAAGCGACAGCTTCTCAACGTCCATCTGCGAGATTTGTAGCTTTTTCAGCTCTTCCTGGTGACTAACACCAGGGTTATATAACTTTAGGGTTTTATCACTTTAGGGGTTTAAAGTTTGGGCGCGTAGCAGGTCCATGGTTCGCTTTCAGGACGCCACTCCTGCACGTATGTGCGATAGATGTAGCACAGCGCACCGAAACTCGCAGTTCCTCGCTTCAACTTCTCCACCATTAGCCGGCTGAATGCTCCATAAACGATCACAGAACTCAAAAACACAAGTCCTGACTCATACAAGCAGTAGTGATCACTGCCGACAGAGGAACCCCTTCTTTCAAAACGCTGTTGGAATCTCCATGCATGAGTGTCCTTCCAGGACGTGTCCTTAGCGGCACGGAACTCGTCCCAGGTCAACAATCCATCCTCGCGAGTTTCGGGCGGTGCAATGCCTTAGGGGTTTGCAAGCGTGTCGTATGAATTTACGCGCATTGTGATGCATCGGTTCTACATGGGGTTGAGATGCCTTCAATACGAGCTCGATACGGGCTTCAGGGTCAGGGGTTGTCTTGCTGATGCTTTCAGGGTATGGGGAGAGGGTCTGAGATCTCTTCTGGATTCTCGAAGGTTGGGATATCCAAAGTTCCCGACACCCCAAAGCGTGATAAGGCTAAAAGCATACACCCGAAAGCAGCGCCCTAAACCGGGAAAACCTCCTTCAAGTGCGCTCAAAAAGGGGTCTGAATCATTAGAAAGAATGTGTCCTTCTAGTCTCTATACCGACCAGATTGTGTACCCCAAAACCATTGTCCAATCCTGGAGACCCTCGTAGCAAACCCTAAACCCGCTAGACTCGAATGCTTGATCCAGCCTCATCATTATCGACGTCGCTGCACACCTGCTTAAAGGATCATGGGACTTAGTAATTGGGGTTATAAGTAAGGTAACTACAGTCAGTTATAAGTACTTATAACCCCAATCAGGGTACTCATAACCCTACTTACTAGTCCCACGATCCTTTCATGGAGGGGGCGGAGGGTGCTAAAGGCCCCCGGCTCAAGGGTACTTCGACCTTCGATGATGAGGTCATGGAAACTTCTGGTTCAGAGTATGGTTTAGGGCCCTAGGGTTAAGGGTTCAGGGCCCTAGGGTGGAAGGTTTAAGGCCCTAGGGTTTAGGGTTTAGGGCCCTAGGGTAGCTTAGAGTCTAGAGTCTAGTGTTTAAGCTCAGGGCGTACGACTCATGATCCAGCTTTAGGGTTTCAGCTTGCGCTTCAGGGTTCAAGATTTAGGATATGGGGGTTTCCGAAAATTAGGGCTACCTTATTTTGGGGCCCTTATAATAGGTATCCTACCAATTAGGGTACTATATTAGGGTCCCCTATTTTCGGAAACTCCCATATTGGTTTAAGTCTCAACGAAGCATCTGACTGGTCCAGGACAACTGTGTTGTTCAGTATGAAGTTCATAGGTAGTTGGGCTCTTCACGTCAACTCGGCGCTCTTCAGGGAATCGAAGTGTTCAGCGTAACTAATTAGTCACATGTAGTCTGAAAATCTTGGGGTAAGGTTGAACAGGCTTTGCCGCAACTTTCGCCCGATGTTGTAACTGAAGCTCCCATACGGCTTCCCAAATCACCCGGGCCAGTCTCGTGCACGTTGTCGATAACCATTGGAAACTGGGACGCATTTTGCACTCGCACCGAGACGCCACAAAGGCAAAATATCCAGACCCGGAAATGCCATTTGAAAGAGCTCATCGTCGTCATCAGCACCATCATAGTACCCTGATCAGACTGGCAGTTGCGAACTACGGCTGCCACGGCAAGCATCGCTAACGCCGTTCTTCACGCTGCTCAGATCGCCCGATAACCCCTGGCAAATCAAGACACATCATATTAGGGTCCCCTTAATATGGGGACTTGACTTATTGGTATAGGGATTCGGTGCATATAATAACAAGAGTATACTAAGGAACCCGAAGGAATGGCATTAGCAAATATGTAAGCCTTATATTACATGCCGTTTTCGAGACATGTTCGGCTCAGTTTGTCGGAATTTCTACGAAATTACATTTTCAGACAGCTCAAGGGGCAGATTTCAACCAGGCCCTTGAAGGAACTGCCCTGAAAGAAACTCTATAGGAACCCTGACAGCCTTAAACAATCCTTTAAGTGTAGTATAGGGCTCTATATCAGGTTTCCTCTTCAAGGCGTACTTCAGAGCTCTATGATGGGGCTTCCTTCGAGGAACCCTTAATTAACCCTTAAAGGGACCTTAAAGGAACCTTAAAGGAACCCTGAGAGGCCTTGAAAAGCCTCTCCACCAGCTGCTTCTTCTCGCTCGCGAGACGCGCAGCGCTCTTCTTCGGCAAGATGTCCAAGATGCCTTTGAAATTTGAGGGTTGAGGGTTTAGGGTTGGGGTTTCGGGTTTAGGGTTTGGGGTGTAGGGTTTCGGGTTTGGGGCTTAGGATTTAGGGTTGAGTTGAGGGTTTAGGTTTTAGGATGCCTTTGAAGGCTAATTTCGGGTTGCACCAAGGGCTCCTTTAAGGGCTCTTTTAAGAAGTTCCTCTTCAAGGCTCCTTTGTGGTGTGGATGTTAGGGTTTCAGGGCTCCTGCCAGGTTCCCTTCTTTCAAGGGCTCCACTTCCGTTCGGGGGCTGCTTCGACGGTTCCTTCCGAGCTTCCTTTAAAACGTCAGGCCCCTGTCTACCTTGAACCATTCCTCAAACCCCTAAACCCAAAACCCCTAAACCCTAAACCCTAAACCCCTAAAGCCTGAACCCTAAACCCTCAAGGGCTTTGGGGCATCGGGTTCTCGGATTCTAGCCTTGGGCTTTGGGTTGGCAAGCTCAGGGCTAACTGAAAAGAGAGCTGAATGTCTAGGACGCGGTTTGCGAAGCTTGATGTCTGTCCTAAACTCCCTTCGTTATTTCGTTGCTGGGCGTGGCTTTGGAAGTATGTGGAGTGCTGTTTTAGCCTGAGCTTCCGGAGCTACGGTAAGCCCTAGCCCCCCCGGCCCCACGACCTCAAAACTTTTAAACTACTACTTAAAGGATCATGGAACTTAGTAATTGGGGCTATAAGTAAGGTAACTACAGCTACAATTTCTTATAACCCCAATTAAGGTACTTATAACCCTACTTACTCAGTCCCCTGATCCTCCAAGTACGTCCCACAACCTCAAACCTCTCAAACTCAAACCACGGAACTCCAATCGACACCCAAAAGTTAAGCTCCCAATCCCCAGAGCCCCTAATCCTAACTCCGAAAAGCAAAGCGAAACCCTACCCTAGAAATAACCTGGTAGGCGCTTTAATGCCGGGCTTTGAGGCATGTTCTCGAAGAACTCTCACATGTAACCCTAAGGAAGAAAACCTGAACCCCAAACACTGGAATACAAGTTACCATAATAAGGAAACCTCGTTATTTAGCATGGATCACTATTATTATGGTTACTTAAATTAAATTCCTCAACAAGAACCCAGAACCTGAACCCCAAACATGTTCTGTACGAGGTTCTGTCGACCAGGATGGCCGTGAGGATGTTGAGCCTGGGTCTGCCCCATGTTCGGGCGTTGGGGGGGCTTGGGTGCTAATGTGGGAACCTGGTTAAGAAATCTTGTGCCTTTATTAGGGTTCCTTATATGAACCCTACTATTTTGGAGTTATGGGCCCAGGGTTTCTTAATCAGGTTCCTACATTAATGCACAGCGCCGCTCTTGTCTTGTAGCAGGGTTCCAGTAAAGGCTGAGAAAGCTCAGAGTCCAGGGGGCCTTGGGGCCTTTTCACGTCTATGCGCTACACGGATTGTGGGGGCCGGTCGGAGGATGTTAAAGATGCTTGAAGCTTTAGGAGTCTTTAGGTAGTCTCAGGGTTTTCCAAAAACCTGTGGTTTGGGATTCGAGCTTGCGAAGTTGCGACCTTCAAGCTTTACGGCGATAGACAGACTAGGATCTCTAAGCTGACCTAATCTAAACACCACAAAAAAGACAGGCCTAACTTTTCAGAACATGTTTTAAAGCTGCCTGAGGCGAAGGGGCAGTGCGAAATGCGCAACGACGATGAAGCCCAGAATGCTACAGGCAACCAGGTACGCTTCCGTGGTGCCAACAGAGATGAAGTGGCGGATAGTGCTGGTGTAGTCCTCGGACGGTAATGGAGTTTCCCAGAAACGCCAACGTCCCTTAATTATACCTGAAACCATAGTAGGATCCTTGATCTAATATTAAGGGATGTTGGAGGCTTTGAAGGTTCTAGCGATTCGAGTTTCGGGTGCAGGGCTTCCAGGGCTTGCGGTTCAGGGCGTGGATTTCTCGGAACACCCACGAAGCCTGACTCCCAAACTGTGCTAAAACCACTCCCTGCCCCACTCCCAATTCATTCTTCTATGCCTGCAATCACGAATGTCAAGTCCCGTAAAACTGCGCTCACAGCTAGAAAACCCTCGAAACACGTGCCCCTTCCTTGAAGCTGTTCAACTCTACGCAAGAATCGTTCTGTTGCATTCTGGTGGAAGAGACCGAAACTTTTGTCGAGAGCGATTCCAAGAGACAAGCAAGCAATAGAGGGAAGTGCGGAAGTCAATTGAAATCTTGCAACGACATGATGCTCCAAGACGGCAAAAGGGTGACTGAGGGGGCTGCCAGAAGATGCTGGGACGGTGCTTCTCATGCTTCACAAGTTTGGCAAGGATCTGTGTACCGCCGGGATAGATTTGTATGGCTGCCGTGAGCCAGGGTTCCCTTTAGGTGCTTCTCTGCAAAAAAGAGGGCGGCAATCAAGAACAACCTGCAGTAAAGAAGGTGCAGATTCGGGTGTAGGATTTCGGCAATGATAAGCAAACCTAAATTGGGGTGACTGTGGCTTAAAGCAAATCGAACCCATCATTTGCTCGGTTGACAATAGCTAAATCCTTCTATAACCACCAAATGAAGCTACACGAAGCCGATGAAGCCTGACCCACCAAAACCAAAGCCTGAAACACGGCCGCACTCAGCCTCCCCAACAAAACAAACAAACTGTGCAGGCCTCCAGCGTGGCAAAGTGAAACCTTGGCAAAGCGAACTCCCGACAGGCTTGGGATTCTCAGAGAGCCCAGCGCAAGCGCAGTCCTTACAATGTAGAGAAATCCTTGACAAGATCGTCGCTTAATTTCAAGGTTTAGGGTTAGGCTTTTGCTGTTTTGGGGTTTTTTTGGCTCCTTTTCCAGCAAATCCACTGCGTTTAGGATTTAGGGCTCTCCGGCTTAATGCTCGGGGTCAGCAGCGTTGAGAAGGATCTCTCCTGCCCTGTTCCCTCCGGGTTTGGGGTTTAGGGCTTAGGAAACAGGCCGCCAAGCAACAACGTAAACATAGCAGACGGCACGGCATCGAACATCTGCTCCTGCAGCAGATGGCGCTGATCCCCAAACCTGTAAATTAGCCCAAAACCCTGAACCCTGATCCTTAAAGGTCATAAAGCCCCGAAACTCCAACCACTGAACCGCCAAACCTGAAGCAGAACTTGAACTGCCGCAATAGACGACTGACGTGCAGAAGTGAACCCATGTGAGAGCTTCTAGACGCCGAAATTCAGGCAAATCTGACTTTAAATCGTGATACGAAAAACTCTAAAGTTGAAGGTAGTAAGGTGAGGTGTACTCCTACCCTGAGCGGCTTGCGAGTCTGTGGACGCATGATGTTCAGCCAAGGCTCCCGCACGGGATCCGTCGGAAAGGCCAGGTTGAAGAAGTTGACACTCAACACCTGAGCTCTTGTAGAGGAATTTCAATTATAGTTTCTATCATAATAAGGCAGCAATATGATTTACTGTACATGCCGATTATGGCACCTGAAACTAAAATCCTTAATTTACCATAGACCCCTATTCGCAACTTCAATCAGGCTCCTTCATACCATAACAAGGAAACCAAGGAAACCTACAGGTCCCTATTCTGGCAGCTTAAACCAGCTTTAACACGAACCCAGGCACTTCAGGGCGCCTGGCTACCCCAAACCACTGCTACTTAAAGGATCATGGGACTTAGTAAGAGAGGTTTTAAGTAAGGTAACTACAGTTATAATTACTTATAAGCTTAACTAAGGTACTTATAACCCTACTTAGTAGGTCCCATGAGTAAGCTCAAAACTCCGCTTTGACATGACAGGGCCACAAAGCTTGCGGTTCAGAAAGCAGGTCCTAAACCCTAAATCCTAGTAGTCCCAAACCCTAAACCCTTTGCTATCCTAAGGCTCTACATGCTACTTAAAGGATCAGGGGGTCGGGTAACTAGAGCCATATGCCAAGTAACTCAGGCTGTAACTGCAAACAATCAGAGGTGAGGTACTTGCAACCAAACTTGCCTAAGCCCCCTGATCCTCCAAAAGGCCGTAAACCCTAAACCCAAAACCGAAGCCAAGGCACTCCGAAGGCGTAGATCATCAGGGCCAAAAGCATAAAAGCCCAGTACATGCGCCCTTGCAACATCGCGCCCGAGATGCCTCGCATCGTCCTTGGCAGAAAGCTTGGTTTGGTAGAGGATTTCATGTATCAGGGCGCTTTGAGGCTATGGGACTTCGATAGCAGGCCAGCCGGGATCAGAACATAACCTCATTCGGGCTACCCAGCATAGAACCAGAGCCAGTCGCTTGATCCTACCCTGCCTTCAAATTTGTCTCACTCTCCCAGACAAACTGAAGTAATCTATGGTACATCGAAACGATTTAGGGCCGTGCTTCGTCCCGAGCTCTGGGAAAAAGCGCCCAAAGCGAAGAACTTGCAGCACCGGGAGGAGAAGCAGCAGGAACCTGCGTAGCGGTACTTAGGGTGAGGGCTCTAAGTTCGGTCGCTATGCTATTACATATACATACACATATACATATACATATACATATACATATACATATACATATACATATACACATACACATACATATACATATACATATACATATACATATACATATACATATACATATACATATGCATACATATATACATATATATATACATACATATATACATATATTGACCCTTATATATCTGTTATCTGATGTGTATAAACATATACATATATATATATACACACATGTATAACCATGCATGTGTATATATATATGTCCTTACATACGAATACATATAAATAGAACTATAAGTATATTTATAAATATAAATAAATACAAGTCTCATATACATTTAAATTTACATATAAGTTTAAACCTAAATCTAAATCTAAAGTTTAATATACATTAAAAATTTAAATACATATTCAAGTTTAAATTTAAATCTAAATATAAATATAGATTTCAATATAAATATAGATATATGTACATGATGCCCAGGCTGTTTGTCTTGAGGGTCCCTTGCACGCGGCCTCCGGGACCAGAAACTAGATCCGTGAGCGTTTGAATCGCGACCCTAAATCCTACGTCCTAAACTAGGAAGTGCGTTTAAAGCCTTTGAAAAATATTAGATCCTCTTAAGCCCCATAAGAACAAGTAGAAAATGACCCAAAGCCCTACCTAGTAAACCATGTACCGGGCATGGCAGAAGTTGGAACTACGACTTGGTGGTTTCAGTCGGCCCTGTGCTCTAGGAATCGAAGGGAACCGTCCTGGGTTAGCCGAACAAACAGGAATTGCCTGGGTTGGCAGTTTGGATTTTGGGTTCTGCATACCACTCGCAAACGTCAATGGTCTAGGATTTAGGGGTTTAGGGGTTTAGGGTTTCATATGAACGGTAAGCGGTAGTGGTTGCAGCTATAGCTCCACGTTATCTCGATTTGCCATAACTGCCTTTGCTCCCCAAGCCCTCGAGCAGATCTTGAGGCTTCTGTACTAGGGTTGTATGAAGCTTCTACGAAGCTTCTGCTTTATGGCCGCCAGATAAGCTCCCAAAAAAAATCCTAAGGCCGAAAACTTAAACATCATTTTCTACAGCATTTTCACTTATGAGCCAGCCGTGCACACGCTTGAAATATAGGAGCCTTACTGTCAAACGAGGTCTAAGGGATATAGTCTTCCATATCTAGATCTCTGTACATATATATATATATGTATATGTACACAGACAGATAGATGGGTATATGTACATATACGTATGTATAAGTGTAGTAGATATATACGTATACACATATGTATATATATATATACATACTGATAGAAAGAAAAAGAGAGAGAGAGAGAGAGAGAGAGAGAGAGAGAGAGAAAGAGCGAAAGAGAGAAAGAGAGAAAGAGAGAAAGAGAGAAAGAGAGAAAGAGAGAAAGAGAGAAAGAGAGAAAGAGAGAAAGAGAGAAAGAGAGAGAGGGCCTGTAGGGGGCCACAACTGTTATTACATGTTTCGACTGTTTCGACCCCCTATAATGGCACCCGTTTTGGAGCCCAATCGCCGACCTGTGCCCAGGCTGCCACACGAAGTTCAGCACCACGCTGTCCTCAGGTTTAGGGTTTACGGTGCTGCTTCTTTGGAAAGGGCTTATGACTTTGGGCTCCAGGGTTCTTGGGATTCTAAGGTTCGGGGATGTAGGGTTGGGCTTATGAAGGCTCTGGGCTGGCTCCAAGCTTCGGGCCCCAGGCACTTGAGGTGTTGCCCCTGTAAACATCGCTTAATTAGGGAATATACCTCAGTAGGGTCTATTCCAATAAGTTATAGCAGGATCCCTTATATGACTAGGGACTCTTCCTTGATTGAGGGATACTGTAGTGAAGTTCGTGTAGTAAGATGCAAGTTGCCCAAGCTGTGAGTAGTTTGGGGCTTCGACCGCCGTAGACTGCACCGTCAGCCCTGATTTCTCGAGCCACAACCCCCGAAGCCGCCAGAAGCTACCAGCCCTAAAGTTGGCAGAAAACCCTAAACCCTAAACCGCAAGAATGTGGAACTTCGGACTCTGGTGGCTTTGAGCCCATGGCAAGCGTCCTGAAACCCTAGAAGGAGAACCATCACACAGGGAACGCAAAGGAGCGATTCGGAACATAAGGGGCCCCAATACAAACCTGAAAGAACAGAAGAAGGGAATCCGTGTTATAAAGATCTGCAAACAAGAAGCCTCGACTGAAAGAAAATCCGGACAATCGCACAATGCGTATTTAGCGGCATTGTAAGGACCTTGCGATGGAAACCTCCCTAACCTACCTGGAGGCTCATGCGACTGCTATAAAGGGAGAAATAAAGTACCCTTATGTACTGTTTTTATTCCTACTCACTGTTTTAACCTAGCTCCACATTGCGCTATTCCCAGATCGCTCCAAGAACTCATCCCAAGTATCCAAGCTCCTTTTGCTTGAAGGTTCGCGGGCACCGATCAGTCATTAAGGTCATGAGCAGGCTAACTAGAACTATAGCTGTAATTGCAGATAAAGTAACCCCGTTAGAACCGTGCCTGGAGGAGGTTTCCCTAAGTCTTAAACTCTTGAACTGATGATCCCCTTTGCCCTAAACCCTAAACTAACCATAAATTCTATTCCCCTAAACCCTAAACCCTCAAGAAAGAAGTATATAGAAATTGCTTGTCATTGCATGCGATGAACCCCCTAAACCGTCAATTTCAAGCCCAACCCCAACCCCCAGCCAGCCACTCCCAGCCCAGCCCGCCCAGCCCACCCGAGCCTGTCTTGTCAGTGCCCAAAACATAAAAGCAGTCGACCCCGGACAGGGCAGGGCAGGGCAGGCTTAACAATTTCTATAAACCCCTAAACCCCCTAAGCGGCCGGAAAGAAGAGCGGCGATGAAGCCGATGAAGATGGTTAACGCATCGTAGATGTTCCAGCCAGACTCGGTGAAAATGGAGCAGTGCCTCGGAAAGCTTCGAGTTTAGGGTTTTAGGTTTAGGCTGCAGGGTAGTTGAGGGTCAGGGTTCAGTGGTTTCGCGTGCCCAGAAGAGCAAGAGAAGTGGAGTGTCTGAGTACATGTAGACTCTGTATACTCCTATACTGAACTTAGAACCCTAGCAAAAATTATAATCTTAGCTGCTTCTTAGGGATAATAATAACCATTAAATATTTCAACTATTTCTAAGTACCCCTAAGACCCGAGGTCCCCGAGCAGGACCTAGAGGGCGAAGACTGGAACTCTGCATTTCCACTGAAGCTCCCATGTGTTCTGGATCCAGGCTACTTGGAGGATCATGGGATCTAGGTAAGTAGGGTGATAAGCACCTTGAATAAGGTTAGATGTAACTATAACTCTAGTTACCGTACTTATAACCCCAATTACTAAGTCCCATGATCCTTTACGTAGGAGCTCGGGGTTTGGGACATCCGCGAAGCCTGAACCTCAGAAACCAAGAACCCTGGGCAGCTTGTAACAGTGAAGCCCAAAATCAGAGGCTGAGAAGCGCTTAAGCTCGCTTCAGAGGAGATTTGGGAGTTTCCGAAAACAGGGGACTATTGATTAATATCAGGACCCCAACATAAGGTACCCCTAAGTTCCGGAAACTCCCATTTCGGGTTCACGGCTATGTGGCTCTGGGAGGCTTGGGCCGCAGGCTCCAAGCCAAAAAGGGACCCCAGAGCCTCGGGTGCGAGGGCGCTAGGTTTAGGGTTTAGGATTTTAGGATGTGGGGGTTTAGGGTTTACGGGTTTAATGTTTAGGGTCTTACGGCTTCGGAAAAGTTGCGGCTGTCGAGTCGATCAGATCCGAAACACGTATGTGCCTTCAGGCACAGGCAGACAACGTCCGAGCTACTTCGGGATGTCCTCGAGAACTTGCCTGCAGGTATCACCTGGGCAACTGTAGCTATCAAGTGCGCATGAAGAAGACTTTCCCAATACCTTTGCAATCCTGGATCTTGTTGCAGTGCCCAGACGCAACGCCTTACACTCAAATGTAAAGACGATCTCCCTTTCCCACCGGCCTTCGGTGAACCACACTTTGGGCACGGTTCGAAGGGTGGCGCGGTATCGCATCCGCAGCTCCGTGATGAAAAAGAAAAGAAACACAGCCTTGAAGGGCTTCGCTGTGGGTCTTAGTACAACAAGATGTGAAATTATGGTCCCTTTTGGGGTACCCTAAATATTAGGTGCCGTACTATATTAGGGACCCAAAAAGGGATCCTAATTTTGACAACTAACCATGTATAGAAATAGTCATCACAAGATCAACCTCGTGGATGATTATGCTAGCGAAGTTTCAGTAGAAGACAGAACCGGGAGATTGCTTGGCCCTTGGAGCTAAGTTCTCCTTAGAATTCAGGCTGGGATTTGGATGTAACTGGTGGACCGGTTTAGGGTTTAGATCTCAGGAAATTAGGGTTCAGAGCTTAGGGATTTAGGGTTTAGGGTAGGGTTCGTGTTTACGATGTTCTACAATGTGCCCCTGCAAGTACAAACGTGTCCACAAGGCAGCCCCCGCTCAGAGCAAACTCAAGCTCGGCTAACCCGGCTCATTGTGCACTCTGAGAGTTTAGGGTTCCGTCTATAACTACCGAACTGCCGAAACCAGGTGCTTTAGTCTTTCCTGTTCAGCCAGTAACCCCCAAAATGCACCTCCTCGAACGGCCAAAACCACGGAACAAACCCTAAGCACTTCCCCCTGTCGGGGACAAAAAGCCCAAGAGACCTCCACTCCCAAGTAGAGCGCAGCGTGCGCATAATCCGTCCTGAGCTTCCAAAAACTTCGGCCACCGCACAAAGACTGGGTTCCTGACAAAGTTCTTACTATACGTCCTTTCATCTCCGTTTTTGAAGGGCTCTAAAATATAGATATACTAGCGGTACCCAGGTTTGTGGTTTAAGGAACTCAATCCAAGCTACCCGAAATTATGGTCCCTTTTTGGGTACCCGGACCTATAGGGTTTAGGGTTGGGGGCTTGATGCCTTCCTTATTATAAGAGCTTCCTAGCCGAGGCCCAGAGGTGATCGAGGCGTCCAGGGCTCTTACGGCTTATGGGCAATGTAAGGTTTAGGGTTTAGGCTTTGGGATTAAGGGTTTGGGGTTTAGGCTTTGGGATTTACGGTTTAGGGCTTAGGCTTCGGGATTTAGAGTTTAGTTTAGGGGATGTCTTTGCCTTTTGAATGATGGTGGATGCAGGTTTCAAGGACCCTTGGCTTTGGAGGGTTCTTGAGTTGAAGTTATACCGGCTTACAGGGCTTTGAGGGGCCTTGGGATTTTGGGTCCTGGATTCTGGATTTAAGGGGCTGAGGACGTACATGTGGTCTTAGGGGTTTATGATATGGCTTCTACAAGCTATACCGAACAGCTATGTATGGCAAAACCGATGCCTGGCTTCCCCACTGGCCAGGTCAGCACTATGGGCTTCGGGGTTCGGGGCATGTGTTCACTTAGATTGCTGAGGAAGTGCTGGAGGGAAGTAAAACACCAAATCACAAGCCTCACAGCCCATACCTGTCTTGACTGGCAGAACCCTTCTCAGGGCTTTATAGAACCTGTATGAACCCTAGAAAGAAAGACCCTCTCCGAAAGAACCCCTGTAGAGCCGCGAGCCCTTATAGAACCCTCTTTAACTAACACAAATATTGACAAAGAAATACTACTAATAATAATAACCATAATAGTAGAAATCGTTTGAGTTGGGGCCAGGCGTCTCCCCTGATTGCCAGGAGGTCGCGTCGTGGAGGAAAGACATGGCCTGGGTTAGCGTTTAGGGGTTTAGGAGTTTAGGGGTTTAGGGGTTTAGGGTTTAAGGCTTTAGGATTTAAGGCTTCAGGGGTGTAGGGGTTAGGGGCTCAGGCTTTTAGGGTCTAGGGCTTTAAGGGTTTAGGGGTTCAGGGTTTAATGGTTTACGGGTCTAGGAGTTTAGGAGCTTAGGGGTTTAGGGGCTTGGGGGTTTATGGGTTTAGGGGTTAGGGGTTTAGGGTTTTGGGTAGCAGATGTCCTCGACAAATAATGAAGTTTTGGGCGGTCCTATGCAAAGCTCAGATAGGCTCTCGCACAACCTCACTGTGAGTAGGCGAGCTCGCAAAGCAAACGGCACGTGTTATTTCAAGGCCCCAGCCCTAAACCCTATACTCAAAGCCCCCAAACCCTAAACCCTAAACCCGAATCCCATCCCTCGTCGCCCAGAGCTTCTGTCCAGGCGCCACCAAGAAAGCCACATTGCAGAGGAGGAAGGCGCAGCTCATGAACTTCCTCTGCTTAACGGATCAAGGTTTTAGGGATTAGGGTTTAGGATGGAAGTACAGCTCCTGATTCCTTCACGACTATTTCGCTATGTTTCCCGCATGTCAAGCTTGCTGAGACACCTGACAGCAAAAAGTTTGAAGGGGGTCTTCAGTCAGAGGTATGTAGCCCCACACGCAGGTGGTTGTAGAAGTCAGTGGTAGAAACACTCTAGTATATTCTAGTAGCTTGAAGTACACTCGTGTGCATTTTAACATATTACACTATGTTCTAATCTGTTATACTACATTATAGTATATTACGACACGCCTTCGCTCATCATCGTAGAAAAAACACTGTATACTCACAATCCTACTACAACTCTCTCTCTCTCTCTCTCTCTGTAAAATCCTGCGTTTGCTTTATCTTGAGGTTTAAGGCTTAGTGGGCTTTGGCGTTTAGGGTCAAGGGCTCAAGGGCGCTAGTCTCACTAGGGTGTAGTAGTAGTAGTAGTAGTAGTAGTAGTAGTAGTAGTAGTAGTAGTAGTAGTAGGAGTCGTAGTCGCAGTCGTAGTCGTAGTCGTAGTAGTAGTAGTAGTAGTACTAGGAAAAGCAGTAATGGTGGTGGTAGTAGTAGTAGTAATAGTAGTAGTAATAGTAGCAGTAGTAGTATAGTGGCAAAGTAATATAGTAGTATAGTAGTATAGTAGTATAGTAGTAGAGTAGGAAAGTTAGTAGAATAGTAGTATACCGCAGAGCATCCAAAAGCAGCTGTTGACTTGTCGGCAACCGGTGCACGCTGCCAGCCAGTTCCAACGCCTCGACATACGCTTCTTGAGTTGCTTGAGGTTTTGGCTTTAGGGTTTAGGGTTTAGGGTTCAAGCTTGTGGTGGGTCGTGAATTCAGTGTGTATATACATATATATATATAGAGAGAGAGAGATACATGTACAAAATATATGCACCCTCTTTGTATAACCAGAACACGTCAAAACGGGTACATGCACACAGACATGCATACACCAATGCAAAGACACGCACTTCTGTGCCTCGTTTGTACCACATAACCGAAAACCCTGCACAGATAATCGTGCATTTGCTGTGCGCAAATCCAGGTTGTCTGGGTGCTGAACTTAACCCCACTACGGCGACCCAAGTTTTCAACATTTGTAGCTTGAAAGCAGTAAAGCGACGTGTTACGGGGCTTTGGTTCAAGGGTTCGACCTCTGGGACGGAGCTGAATATGATCTGTGCGTGTTTCTGCACATGTCCTGGTCAGTATGATAGATATTGACCCGGATATTTTGTTACAACTGCCTGAAAACCGTTTCCCCAGACCTAGTCTAGCTGCGGTGCCTTTGCTATTCCTACCGAAACTCCTCTACCACCACCCTGTACCAGTATCAGTACCAGTACCACACCATTACCAATACCACTACAACTACAACTACCACTAACAGACTATGACTACGACTATGACTACGACTATGACTACGACCATGACTACGACTATGACTGCTACTACTACTACTACTACTACTACTACTACTACTACTACTACTACTACTACTAATACTACCACTACTACCACTACTACCACAACCATCACTACCACGACGACGACAACTGCTACTACTCCTACTGCTGCTGCTACTGCTCCTGCTACTGTTGCTGCTGCTACGACTTCTACTTCACTGCCTCCTGCACTTCTAGTCCTGCTGCTGTCATTACCTCCAGTACTCTGGAGAATTTAATGGTTTGATTTGCTGTTGTTTCGGCTGTGACGACAACCACCAAATCTTCTGGCTTGTCCGTACGACCTTATGGCAGTACCTGTCCATCAGCAACTTTATCCCTAAACCCTAAACCCTAAACCCTAAACCCCAAGCAATGCCGGGTTGTGCAAATCTAAGCGCCACCAGGAGCACATGCTGTCTGCGTATAGGACACGCTCGGTCCAGCGGTCCTGGTGCTTTGGGTTCTTCTGTAAGCATGCAATGAGAATTCACAAAACCCTAAACCCTAAACCCTAAACCGTGGATTGAAGGGCCGAGGAGAGGGTTCGCGATAAAATTTGGAGTGACAGCTACATGCGTACTGTTTGGGACAGTATCGGGAGAGTCCTTACCAGGTGCGTCTATGCGATCTTTCGCTGGGTTGCACAATGCATGAAGAAATGAGCCTCTCGTAGGCACGAGTTAGACTAGCACAGAATCACAAGGAATGGAATGGAATTGACTTATACCGAACAATATTGAAAATGAAACAGCAAAACACACTACACTACAGCAGAATATCATATTGCATGTGTATGCCTGTATCCATACATATTTTTTGTGTATTGCTTGGCGTGCTCATGTCTTCAGTACTCTTTTTTTCTAGATAGCGAGGCTCTTATTGAGCAATTCCCCCGAGTTTGCGCCGGAGTCCTCGCATGCATGTAGCTTGCTAAGTTCAAGCCGGCTCTTAAAGAACAAAGACGGTTTAGAGTTTAGGGCTTAGGGAAGTTTATTCAGAGGGTTGCTGTGAAGGGGACCCCTGTGGGTTGCAATTTGCCAGCGGGGCCTAACTGGGTGCAATGGGGCCTTCATTAGGCTCCATAGGACCCCATTGGTAAATTGCAAATTACAAGGGCTCCCCTCCACAGGGGTCCCCTCTCAACCCCGCGATTTATGGCATCCTTTCAACCAGAAAACCCCCCAACCCGAAGCCTGCAAAAGCTTAAACCTGTTAAAACCTAAACGGGACCCCTTGGGTTAGTAGGGAATGGAGGAATGGGGTACAACCATAACTACTATTACTACCATTCTTTCATTCCCTACCAACCAAAGGTAAGAAGACTCCTGAAGGCTCCTGAACCCCTTAGACCTGATGCCCCTAACAACTCAATCTGAAACCCCGTACTAACCCTAAAACCCTGAAAGCCTGATACCCAAAACCCCAAAACCCTAAAACCCCAAAACCCCAAAACCCTGAAACCCTGAAACCCCAAAACCCGAAAACCCTGAAACCCTGAAACCCAAGCACGGGCCTTGTAGTCGACATTCGAGCTGCAAGCCATGTAACGCCTGCTGACGCTCTTGAGAAGCACTTTGGCTTCGCTTCTGGCCTGGTCGAAGAAGCGGTTTTGCTGCCCCTAACTCCCCTCACATTTGTGCTGAATACCATGACTACATACACTGACTAACTCACTCACTCAATCAATCCTTGGCTCGCTGACTGACTGACTAACTAACTGACTAATTTACTTACTTACTTACTTACGTACTTACTTACTTACTACTACTCCTCCTCCTGCAGCTACTAATACTACGAATACTACCACCAGCACCACCACGACGACGACTGCTACCACTGATACTACTACAAGCACTAGCAGAAGTAGAAGCACAAGTAATCGTAGTGGTAGTGGTAGTAGTAGTAGTAGTAGTAGTAGTAGTAGTAGTAGTAGTAGGAGTAGGAGTAGGAGTAGGAGTAGGAGTAGGAGTAGGAGTAGGAGTAGTAGTAGTAGTAGTAGTAGTAGTAGTAGTAGCAGTAGCAGTAGCAGTAGCAGTAGCAGTAGCAGTAGCAGTAGCAGTAGCCGTAGCCGTAGCAGTAGCAGTAGCAGTAGCAGTAGCAGTAGCAGTAGCAGTAGCAGTAGTAGTAGTAGTAGTAGTAGTAGTAGGAGTAGGAGTAGTAGTAGTAGTAGTAGTAGTAGTAGTAGTAGCGATAGTAGTAGTAGTAGTAGTAGCAGTAGTAGTAATAGTACTAGTAGTAGTAGTAGTAGTAGTAGGAGTAGGAGTAGGAGTAGCAGGAGCAGCAGCAGTAGCGGCAGTAGCGGCAGTAGCGGCAGTAGCGGCAGTAGCGGCAGTAGCGGCAGTAGTGGCAGTAGTAGCGGTAGCGGTAATGTGAGCGGTAGCAGTAGCGCAGTGGCAGTGGCAGCAGCAGTTGAAGTTGTTGCTGTCTCTGTTGAAATCCTAATGCTTCTCAGTGTACGTTGTTGTTGCTGCTGTTGTTGAGTTTCTTCGGCCCTAGGTTAGGGAGGTATCGGTTTTTGGGTGTAGTGCTTGAGGGCTTTGGGAGATGGGGTTCAGCGTGAGTTTAGGGTTTAGGGAGAGTGCTTTGGGGGTTGAGGGGTTTCGTGATTCATGGCTTCAGGGATTTATGCATCGACAACGAACCAAAAGAAGCCTAACTAAAACCTAAACCCTATACGGTAAGGAGTGTAACCCGCTCTGTGTACAACCTGCAAAACCCTGCCCAGAGCCTCTGAAACCCTTGCAAAATCCCGAAAGCACCCCAAAAAAAGGACACCTTACGACGCCGGGACCTTTAAAAAGCCAGTAAAACAAGAAAAATCTCACAAAACTTTCAAACCAGCCGTACAAAACCCTCTCAACCCTACGACGGCCTCGCTCTTCATTTGCGGGGCCACCATGGCGTCGGCCGGGAAGTGCCGGGTTCGGCACCGCCGGCGGAAGCAGGGCTTCTTGTGTTTGAATACGGGTTCCCTTGAGGGTTTTTTGTTGGGTTTTGTGAGGATTCCTTCCGGGGGGGATATACCATGGCTTTGCGGGTGAATAAATCGGGGTTTGGGGCGACTAGTTCATTGTTGAGATAGGATTAAAAATATACATTTGTATTCCTTATTGGGTTTAAGTACCCATAAAAATGTAAAATGTTACCCAACAATGACAAAGGCTTGGGGCTTCGAGCTTTGCAGTAGGCTGGCAGGTTCATGGCTTGGGTTCTTGGGGCTGGCGACGTTGCCACGGTTTAGGGTTTCGGGTTTAGGGTGGCTGTAACTGTCATAGGACGGGCACAGAAAAGTCAGCTGCTGCCATGATTCATTATCATTGCCAACGCCGTGGCTTTGCTGTATCACCACTGTCAATATCGGCAGTCACAGCAACAATGTCAGCATCGATAGTGACAACTCGTGGCATCGCAGTGTGATTCTCATACATTCTTGCCGGCTCAGGGTGCTTGGGAGCCATATACTGCAATCGTTGGTCGCACCTACATCCGAACTCATGTGCAGAGTCACCACTGCTGGCCATTGCGATTACAAGTGGACGTGCAGCAATTGTGAAAATCGAAACTGTACTACTGTACACTGAGAACAGAAACTGCGCTTCCTTACTCAACCCTAAACCGTCACCTAAAAACCAAACTCTGAACCCTGAAACCTACACCTAAACCCTCAAACCTCGTCTGCGATGCCGGGGTGCATTCTGCAGCACCAGAAGCAACACCATTGTGGATCCGAGGACTGCACAAGCCTCCGAAAGGCCACAGGCTCTGAGAGTTTTGATTGCTGCCTAAGGTTTAGGGTTTGGGGGTTAAGGGGTTTTAGCTTTAGGGTTTAGAGTTCAGGGTTTAGATGTTTAGGGTTTTTACCTCAGGGTTTAGGGTTTGGGGTCGGGATTTCAGGGTTCAGGGTTTCGGGTTTCGGATGGTTTCGGGTTTCAGAAGAAGTAGCAACTGTTGTCGTTGTTGCTGCCGCTGTTGGTCGTGGTGTTCGTAGCGGCTGTATGCAGTAACACTAGTAGCTGAAATACACATTGGATGTTTCTGAGCATGCCCACGATTTCGGTGATCGCTGTTCGGCAAAATTACAGGCAGTCGCTTCCAAGACGGAATGTTGGATGAGATTTTGCCACAAGACTTCCTATTACATCCGCACCCACCGCAAATCCAGGAAGGTGGGCAGGCCTGAGCAGCCACACCGGCTGCGACGACAAATTGACGGCTGGCCTTGTGGATGACAGAAACAAGGCTAAACAAGGCTGCTTAGATTCGGATTCAGACGGTGAGTTACACGCTGGGCTAGTGTCGGATGGATTCAGCGTCGCTGCAGCAGCTCGTACTGCCAACTGCTGACGCTTCCCGTTGTCATGTCTCAGCTTTGCGACGAAGTATGCATTGTGGTACGGCAGTTGGTCTTCACTCGCACGCTAACAACCGCACAAGACTACAATGTGACATTTTGACACAGTTCCTTGGAGCCGGAAGAAGCCGCTGGCAACACACGGCCTGCCTACCGGTTCTATTGATTTGAAGCGTGAAGGCGTTGGCTAATACAAAAGTGGCATCGACATGCACCAGTGATATAGAATATCACAGAAAGATTTGGAAACATGCATACATATGTATACAGATAGATATGACCACATACTTGAGGATTTGGTCACAGGGCCCCAAAGCACCTCTCTAACGCTGCAGGCTGCAGGGTGTGGGGAGCTTACAGGGCAGCTACGGGTCGACAGTGGAAACGAACTCCGCATCTGAATCTCTACGAGGGGCTGGGGACTTAGTAAGGGCTCTTAAAGGGCTCCTTAAAGGGATCTATAGGGGTTCCTTAAAGGGATCTATGGGGTTTTGGGGTTAGGGTCTACTTGGAGGGGCAGGGGACTTAGTAAGTAGGTTATAAGAAGAGCTGTAAGTACCCTAAATGGGAGTTACCCCAGTTATCACCCTACTTATAACCTACTTACTAAGTCCCCTGCCCCTCCAAGTAGGCCCGAAACCCTGACCATGCCGTGAACCGCAGGTGGCTCTGAGCTGCACATGTCTTTGGACCATCGGGAGCATCGAACACTAGACAACTACGAAATTTTCAAACATCCGTGAGTGCACGACCCAAGATTCTGAAAGAAACGATGTCTTTGGCTCCAAATTCTCTGAAAACTATACCCTCAAAGCAAAACTCTTGAACGCCCTGAATTCTCGACGTCTGGATCTGCCTGGTCCGCCCACGCCCCAAGTGCAGGCGCAATCAGTGCAGAAGCGAACCTGAGAAGCCGAAGGATGAACCCTAAACTCTAAACCCTAAAAGGGGCTTAGGGGGTCCGGGGTCCAGAGTCCACGAGAGATTGCGGGGACACAGGCAGGCTAGAAGTATGGTCGTAGATCGTTTTGACCAAGTCCAGACTGGCTCACTCAAAGTTCCGTAATTTGAGCAAGTCAGGTGTTGAGTTAAGCTACTCGCAAGTACTATGAGGAAGAAGCCTGATTTGCTGACATCGAGTGTTGTTCATTCCCAAGCTTCTTCCCATGGAAGCTTTGCAACCCAAAGCTTTTAATACGAAATCTAACCCTAAACGCTAAACCCTAAACTGACCCAAACCCTCCATCGAGATCTAAAAAACCGAAACCCCACCGCCACTGAGCCAGCAGCATTGTCGCCAGGCCCCAGCACGCGGGCCCTGCACAGTAATCCGGAAGCTCGACGGATCTTTGAAAAACTGTCTCTCTGTGTGTGAATCCCTCCCGCTCTCTCTCTCTCTCTCTCTCTCTCTCTCTCGCTTTCCTCTTTAGGTGTATATACATATATACATATATATATATATATGTACATATGTATGTACACAGATATACACATATATACATATGTGTATACCTCTATCCATCATCTATCTATCTTTCTTTCTGTCTCTCTGAAATGCTAGGGTACAGGAGTAAGCAGTTCAAGGTTCATGGTTTTAGGTTTAAGGTAAAAGCCAGAAAGTTGGAATATGATTATCCTAACCCTTCTATGGTAAATTAAAGGGTATCCTACCATGAAACCATATTCCAACTTTCTGGAGTTCCCTATATGGTCTGGGGTATTAAAATCAAGGTTCATGGGTTTTTGGGGATGAGGGCCCTAAACCCTAAACCCTAAACCGTAAAGAAGCAAAAGGCGCAGAATGGTAATTCTGCAGGTTCAGGGTAGGCTGTACGAGCAAAACTTGAACATTGCTCAGCCGATTGAACCCTCTTCAAAACGACCAACAGCAGCTTTCTACGTGATTGTCATAAGTATGTGCGTGTGTATATATATATGTATATACATGAATATATATATATATATATATATACATGAATATATATATATACACCAGTCTATGCCGGCCCGACGGCGACGTCTGAAATCTCGTGGCCTTGAGAGACGCCCCTCCCTATACCCTCACCCCAAACCCGAACGGTTTAGGGTTCAGGGTGTAAGGCCTTAGGCTTTACGGTTTAGGGTTTAGGGGCTTAGGCTTTACGGTTCAGGGTTCAGGGGCTTAGGCTTTGGGGTTTAGGGTTTAGCGGCTTAGGATTTGGGTTTAGGGTTTAGGGGCTTAGGCTTTGGGGTTTAGGGTTTAGGTTGACTCAATCTCCCCGGCCGATGAGACATCCCGGCGTGAACCGGAGAAGGACCAGCGGGGCGATGAAGAGCCAGCCCTGTGTGCCGAGCCTCGGTTTAGGGTTTAGGGTTTATGATTTTGGGGTTAGTTTCATGAAGTCTCTTTCTCCTCAAATCCTGTAATGGAGGAACCTGAATTAAGAAACCCTGGCCCGATGACCCCCATTTTAAAATGGGATCCATATCAAGAACCCTACTAAGGTCCCAAGGTTTCTTAATCAGGTTCCTACAGTATGATCCGAAACACGACTCCAAGCATGTCGCTTGCATTGCGTGAGTTTTTTATGGGGAGGAGCCGAAGGATTGAAGTCTCAATCTATTTTCATGACTTACCGCGATGAGGGGGCAGGCTCTGGGCTTCAGGGTTTCGGGATCGCTTACTTAAAGGATCTTGGGACTTTGTAATTGGGGTGATAAGTAAGGTAACTACAGTAGAACTACTTATGAAGGGGTGGTTGCCGCACGCTCCCGTCCGCTTTATGTCCGTGCGGCTGCACGCTTGGGTTTGTGCCTCTAACTGCAGGCTGCAGCTGCAGTCGCCATCAATGCTTTCTTGTTGCTCCTGTTGTTGCCGTCATTGCTGTTGCTGCTACTGCTGCCACCCCCGCTGTTGCCGCTTCGTCTTAAGCAGCAGAGGGCGAGAGTCCGTCGAAAGAGCAGCACAGGAACCCTGATGTAGCCTGCGAACGTGTGCTTCTAGAAACCCTGCATCTCCAGCCTTGTGATCGCATGGCTCAAGAAGAGCTTCTGCTGCACCTCAGGGCGTGCGAAATGCGGGCTTGAGAGAAGGGCCGACCAGGCAGATGCCTCCGGCCAAAGCAGCGTCCGCAAGAGACACTGAAAGGAACAAAGCCACAAGTGCAACAAGAACAGCGAATGCGGGATCCAGTCGGATCAAGCTTTACAAGAACCTGCCATGCTGACACACCTAAAGTAGAAGCCAGAAAGTTGGAATATGATTATCCTAAGCCCTTTATGGTGAAGTATAAGGTATCCTACCCTGAAACCATATTCCGACTTTCTGGCTTTTACTTTAAACCAACATGAGTACTGCCCCCATACAGCAACAGCCTACAATTATAATGTGGCTACGATTCAGGGCCTTGTATACCTACGTTGAAGGGCGTAGTCAACTGTTACTGAGTGGGGGCAGTATGGGAGTTTCCAAACATTGGGGGTACCTTATCTTGGGGTCCATAGAAAAAGGATCCTACTATTTAGGGTACTATATTAGCTCTTTTCGGAAACTCCCGTATCGAACCTTCGGACCCGGTACCAGAATTACACCCTTTTTTCGACCAGCGTAGGTTGAATTGCCCAAAATCCCGCAAAGTCCGAAACTCCACCTAAAAAAAAAGCCAGGGTACCCGTACCGAAGCCCTCAGAGGAACCTGAAACCTAGATCGAAGCCCCAAACCCTAAATCACTAACCCCGCCCCAAGCCCTATTAATAAACCCTAACCCTACAACCCTAAACCCTAGAACCCTAAAGCCCTAAAACCCTAAACCCTAAAACCTAAGAGCCCTAAAACCCTGAAACCCTAAACCCTAAACCCTAAAACCCTAACCCTAAACCCCTATCGAAACGAAGGCCTGGGTGTCCGTGAGACCCGGCAGCAAGGGCTCAGCCGAAGCCATCGTTGCAGTTTCAAGAAACTACCGAGTCGGCTTTACTATGCACGGAGGGTTTAGGGCTTTGGTGTAGAATCGTAGAACTTATAGGGTTCACCGGAATAAAGGTTTTGGAGTACTAGACGTAAGGTTGCATACGGAACATAAGAGAACATCATGCCTTAAAGTGAAAGGGCCGGGAATGTAAGATTGCTGTATCAGGTTACAGAACGATGCTGCGTCAAGCTGGATCTAACTCTCGGCGCGTCTGCAGTAAAGCCTTTCTGGCTCAACCATGTTTTGGTTTTCGTAGGAGCCGGGGGGAAGCGATCCCACAACCCCGAACCCTAAAGCTGAATGTGCGGATGAAAACCGAAGTTTTCCGCCAATTGGTTTGGAGGCTGTTTAGGGTTGAGGCTTCCTTCTCTCCATCCCAAATTGTGGTCCGCCATGTTTTGCAGCAGGAGCTCAGCGCGCGCTGTGCACCGCGCAGGGTCTTGATGCATGCTGGGCCTTGCGGCCTCCTCCTCGGGCCTACCAGCGAGGAAGGAACAAGCATTCAAAATCGGATGCATTTTACAACTTCCTATACAAGTCATGAAGGCCACTCTCCACTCTACAACTATTACAAGTCTTGCATGCCTCTGCCTTCTGGCGAAGAATCAGCATGCCGGAAAGGGCCCTCTCACAAATATGCTTGTCTGCGGATGCAACGATAGGCCTAGCACAGCCTTAAGCTTGAAAACAACCTCCTTTGGAGCGCAAGCGAACAAAAATGGTGCACGTTTGGCTTGGGACTGCATCTCGTGTCCGTCGAGCCCAAAGGCGTCTCAGGCAGCATCAAGCAACCTCTTTGGGACTTGCAGCAGAGGATGGAGCCGTTCCCGGAACGGCCAAGCCCACCACCACATCTGACTGATTGAACTGCGGGCTGTTGTACCTCGGTGTCCAGACATGCCCAGACGACAGAGTATGGATTTCGAATGCATAGGTTTTGCGGAGCACAACGACTGGGACGCGGGATTTTGAGCGATGGAGCCGGGCCGCGGCTCGTTCACCGGCTTTGGTTTCATCATCTTGGCCCAGAGGCAGTAAATGCCAATGCATGCAGCAACCACAACGACTGTGACCGAAACGGACACCTCAGTTGCTTCCAAACTTCCCGTGGAGGATTGTAGGAACGACTCATATCAGGGCATGAGCCATGATATATAGGACAAAATCTAAAGCTTCAGCAAGCCATTTGTCGTCAGTCGTCCCAACAACCCGTTGCTGAAGAACGGCCGTGACACGGCCACAGCAACCCCGACGCCCCCATCGTCCACAGCCGCCTCCACATCCTTCCGCACCTGCAGGGCGCCATGCGCTGCAAGCTTGTCGGATTTCGGGTGAGCTTCCCCTTGCCGGGAGGTCTACGGCTTAAGATGGCTGAAGGTTCGCGAGTATGACAGCGGCGCGCTCGTACTTTGAAAACGGATAATCGAGCGCCACGTGCACAATGCACAGCCTTCAGGTGCTACGCTCCGTCAAGAAAATGACTGTGAAACGCCTCACACAAAGACTCAAATGCCAAGACAAATAAATAGACTACAATATACAGATAACGTCACACAATGTTAAAGTTAAGCCTGAAAAGCCCCCGCACTAAACCGCCTAAAGACTTCCCGGGCACCGCATCCTCTTCGCACTCGAAGCACTGGTGCGACCAAGTTGCGTCCTCAGTTGCGAACGGACACACACACAGAGAGAAAGCTCTAGAAAGCCAACTCTGCCAGGAGCTGCAGGGATCAGAACATCAACACATCCCCGAAGTCGGACATGCACGAAACGCAAAGCCTCCACCCCTGTCTATACCATGAGACTTGCGGCAGGAAAGTCAAGCGCGCACGCGCCCTCGTAGAGGTTGCCTGATCAAATGACGGTCTCTTGCATAAGTTGCCGCAGTTTCAGGAGCCTTCCCAATGATTTCGGTTTCTCTGCTAGCTTCATGCTCCGAGCAGTTCAATATCTCATCTCCTAACTGGTTGACATCCAAGCTCTTGTGTACTCATACTTCTTCTGTGGTCGGTTAGCACATATTCTAACATATTGGTATGACAAGTTGCAGTGGCAACCGGACTCTGGGCCATTCCCCGGCACAAAGCAGCCCCAAGCAGAGCCGTGGCAGCACGACCAGCACCTTGCAGGCAGGAGGGTGTCCCATCGCAAACGCAAACATCACGTTGGCTCTGTCCTTCTCCCTATGATATGTTCCACATCGAAACTTCGGTGGACGTGATTGGGTGCTGCTTCCGAATCCAAAAAAATGAGAGACCCAAACACACAGGGAGCTGCAAACCTAGGCACTCATGGGTCCAGGATTTGCCCGCCGCCGTGTCGCAGGCCCGCTCGGACACCGTGCACTCGCACGCATGACTGGCCTCGTCAAAGCAACCCCAAGAGTATTGCCTCTGGCAATCGGGATGCTGCTCGTTGGTGGTGGCATCGCAGGATCGGCACGTGTCAGTCCAGTGACCTTGCCGAGCCAGGCACTGCGTTTCGGTGACGGTGCAGTCGCATCGATGAGTCTCCGTGTCGTAGCATCCCGTGCCCGTGCCGGTGTTGGAATCTGCCATGAAGAACCCAGAAAGGAGCACCAGCAGGGCAACGACGAAACCTGTGGGACGACCCGCTGCAGAAGTCTCTGCATCCACGTCGCAGTCGAAGCATTGGTGGGACCAAGTTGCATCCTCAGCTGCGGATATCGAAAGCCTCCAATCGCTAACCTGGCGAGCAGCTCTAGCACCACAACAAGATCTAGAGTCGAAAATCCAAAACCTGCAAAACCTCAGCGCGACAGGAGGCTGGGAAATCCAGGCTGCACGATGTCTCGTGGAGGTTGCCTCAAAGCTTCATGATTGTTCTGCGGGCCTTGACTACTGTACAGTTAAGACGTCAACAGCTCGACACACTTAAGAACTCAGCTGACTCTCAGATCCTTGGAAGCAACCGTGAGCAACATTTAGGTTTAAACTCCTACTACGATCCATCATGCATTTCACTCCGTTCATCCGCATGCCCGACGCGTTCCATGTTTGCCCGGGCATGTCCCATAATCTTTCGTGTCGGCTTGGGAGGCGGCTCCATCTGATCGTTCTCATGGGCATTCCTCTGAAGCTTAGGACGACAAGTTGCAGTGGCAGCCGGACTCGGCGCCATTCCCCGGCACGAAGCAGCCCCAAGAAGAGCCGTGGCAGCAGGACCAGCACCTTAGCACACGGGCTTCGTCTAGTTTTCCGAAACCAAGCATGCATGGCAAGGCTACGACGGCATCGCTTGGAGACCCAAGCACTCATGAGTCCAGGTCTTGCCAGCCGCTGCTTCGCAGGTTTTCTCGGAGACGGTGCACTCGCACGCATGACTGGCCTCGTCAAAGCAACCCCAAGAGTATTGCCTCTGGCACTGGGGATGCTGCTCGTTGGTGGTGGAATCGCAGGATCGACACGTGTCAGTCCAGGTGCCTCCCCGAGCATGGCAGGTTGATTCGGAGACTGTGCAGTCGCACTGGTGAGTCTCCACGTTGTAGCATCCTGTGCCGCTGCCGGTGTTGGCTTCTGCTGTGAAGAAGCCGTAGAGGAACACAAGCAGGGCAAGGACGAAACCTCTGGGACGACCTGCAGAAGAAGTTGGCACCTCTCCGTTGCAGCTGCGGCAAGACTGCGTCCAGGACCCGGAACACTCCGCTTCAGTCGTGTCGCAATCGCAGGCATTTGTGGACGAGTCATAGCATCCCCAGTCTCTCTGCGTCTCCGCTTCCACATCACTGTACGAGCAGTTGTCCGCCGGCTCTTTGCAGGACGCCCTGCAGTGGCAGCATCCGCTTCGCGGGGAGACGTAGCCCGGTGCATACCACATGTTCGGCGACGAGCACGATGTTTCGGGAACATCGCAGCTGATGCTGTGAGATGTCATATCGTAGCAAGAGCCTTGTGAGGCACAGGAAGTGCATCCAGATGTCCATGTGTGGCCTGTGCCTTTGGCTGTGCAGCCTGCTTCGGACACAAGACAATCGCACTGGCGGGCGGCATGCTCATAGCAACCCCAGTTCTCCTCCATGCTTCAGGAACTCACAAAACTCAGTCATCTGGGGGCTTATGATGGCTTGTGGCTGGCTCAAAGCTTCTATGCGCTCTCGGCATGGAAATTGTGCTTCTGTGGCGGTGGGCAGTCCTCCGGCGCGACCGCATCGCTGTAAGTGCAGTTGTCCGCCGGCTCTTTGCAGGACGCCCTGCAGTGGCAGCATCCGCTTCGCAGGGAGACGTAGCCCGGTGCATACCACATGTTCGGCGACGAGCACGACGTCTCGGGAACATCGCAGCTGATCGCGTGAGATGTCATGTCGTAGCAAGAGCCTTGTGAGGCACAGGAAGTGCATCCAGATGTCCATGTGTGGCCTGCACCTTTGGCTGTGCACGCGGCTTCCGACACAAGACAATCGCACTGGCGGGCAGCATGCTCATAGCAACCCCAGTTCTCCTCCATGCTTCAGGAACTAACAATGAGTGCAACATCAACCATACCATGCTACACTGTGCGGCACGACTTGCACTACAGGTCGACATCTGCTACTGCTACTACTGCTACTGCTACTGCTACTACTACTACTACTACTACTACTACTACTACTACTACTACTACTACTACTACTGCTACTGCTACTACTACTACTACTTCTTCTTCTACTTCTTCTACTACTACTACTACTACTGACTACGGCTAGTACCACTACTACTACTTGTTCGCGATACTCTGATACAATCCCTTACCGGGATGATCGACTACGACTTCTGACAATTGCTGGACTCATCCATCCAGCGGCTTGCGATTCGCTTCAAGATTTTGTGCAACTGCCATAAACATGCGAGGGATGTCGATTTGAAGCCTCCGTGAGCTTTGGGTGATGCTTTGGTTGTTGGGTGCGGAGCTGTCCTGAGGGTCCTCCACCGCATCGTAGTAGGTGCAGTTCCCGGATGTGTTCGCGCAGGATGCCTCGCAATGGCAGCAGCCACTGCGTGGGGAGACGTAGCCGGGAGCGTACCACATGTGTGGAGACGCGCAGTCGACCTCCGCCATGTTGCAGGACACTGCGTGCGTCGTCCTCGAGTTTTGAACGGCGGAGGCCTTCAACAGACTGACTACCGTTGCGATGTCTTACTAGACCAGCCCAAAACCTCCAAAGTCGTGGCAACTCTTGCGGGCGTGAGTGGCATGTTGTAACAGGACCCGGCGGACGTTCCATCGGCAGTCACGATCGCGAACATGACCTCGAAGCCCAGATAGCCCATGCACGACTACCCAAATCCTTCTGAAAAGCCGTGAACCCAGCCTCAAGCATGATTTCTTTTTTGCAGTATGACCTCAGCCCGACAATTGAAACCTAACGTGAACCCTGAACACCCCAACCCCCAAACCTTTAGAATTTTTTGAAGCCCGGGATTTGGGCCGGGTGATACAGCCTCAAACCTCTCCGGACCCTAATGGGTGTGTGTATCTGACCACCTGAAGACCAGTGGCCAGTCCTAGTCCTAGCATTGTCGCCATGGCAACAGGAGGCGTCAGGAATGTGCCAAAATCACGTGCTGGAGCAAAAATGCCTCCCAGATCATGTGGCCTTAGGACATGGCGAGATGAGGGCGCCGGTGGAAGGCTTCAAGCGTGATCTGAATGTCGTTTGGGCGGGGGCGGCGCTATCTTAACGGCGAGGCGATCCCAACACCCCAAGCCCTAAAGCTGCATTTGCGGATGGAGCCCGTTTGGGGCCTGTTTCGGGTTTAGGCGTCCTTCTCTCCCGAAGTTGTGGTATGGTCTGCTTCAGTGGCGTTATGATGTCTATGGTCCGCCACGTTTTCCAGCTGGAGCTCAGCACGAGCTGTGCACCACGCAGGGTCTTGATGCATGCTGGGCCTTGCGGCCTCCTCCTCCTCCTCGGGCCTACCAGCGAGGAAGGAACAAGCATTCAAAATCGGATGCATATTACAACTTCCAATACAAGTCAGGAAGGCCACTCTCCACTATACAACAGTTACAATTCTTGCATGCCTCTGCCTCTGCCGTCTAGCAAAAGAAGCAGCATGCCGGAAAGGGCCCTTGCACAAAAATGCTTATCTGCGCATGCAGCGGTACAAAACCGCTGACACTCCGAAGAGGTCACTGCAGCGGAACACAAAAACGAGACTGCCTGGGAGGCCAAGAGGGAAGCGAACAGATGCGCCGGCCTACTACAGCCTTAAACTTTAAACTGCTCCGACAATCTCCTTTGGAGCTCAAGCGAAAAAAATGAAAAATGATGCACGGTTGGCTTGGGACTGCATCTCGTGTCCGTGCAGCCCTAAGGCGTCTCAGGCAGCATCAAGCAACCTCTTTGGGAGTTGCAGCAGAGGATGGAGCCGTTCCCGGAACGGCCAAGCCCACCACCACGTCTGACTGATTGAACTGCGGGCTGTTGTACCTCGGCATGCAGAGGACAGACGATGGACTTCGAATGCCCGTTTCCCTCATCGATTCCTCTAATTGAAGGTTTTTCAGATCTCAACGACTGGGACGTGGGATTTTGAGCAGAAGGTGTTGCCGAGCGGCGGCTCGTTCACCGGCTTTGGTTTAATCATCTTGGCCCAGAGGCAGTAGATGCCAATGCATGCAGCAACCACAACGACTGTGACCGAAACGGACACCTCAGCTGCTTCCAAACTTCCAGTGGCGGATTGGTAGGCTCTGAACGACTCATATCAGGGCATGAGCCATGATGGGACAAAACCTAAAGCTTCAGCAAGCCATTCGTCGTCAGTCGTCCCAACAACCCGTTGCTGAAGAACGGCCGTGACACAGCCACAGCAACCCCGACGCCCCCATCGTCCACAGCCGCCTCCACATCCTTCTGCACCTGCAAGGTGCCATGTGTTGCAGTATGTCGGATTCGGGGTGCGCTTGCCTTTGCTGGGGAGTCTACAGTCTACGGCTTGGGGTTCGCGATCACGCCGGCAAAGAGCTGGCACTCTGCAAACTGCGGAAAATCGAGCGCGACGTGCACATTCTTCAGGTGCTAGCGGGCATCAAAAGAAGAACTGCAAAACGCCGCACCCAAAGACTCAAGCGCAAAGCCTGAACAAACGAGACCTACAATATAATATGCCAATAAAGCTACACAATAGTAAGTTTCAAGGTTCTTGTTTCCTACTGGAACGAACTACTGCACGTTCTGGGCACCGCATCCTCTTCGCACTCGAAGCACTGGTGGGACCAAGTTGCGTCCTCAGTTGCCAACGGACACCACAGGAGTTTCCCACACACACACACACACACACACACACACACACACACACACACACACACACACACACATACACGGAGCTGCCAGGCACGGCAGGGATCACAACATCAACACATGCCGAAGTCGGACACGCATGAAACGCAAAGCCTCCGCCCCTCTCTACCATGAGACTGGCGGCAGGGAAGTCAAGGGCGCACGCGCCCTCGTAGAGGTTGCCTGATCGCATGACGGTCGATTGCATAACCTTCCAAGAGCCTTCCTAGCGAACCTGTGCGGATTGAACTGTTCGGCTTCTGCAGCTCCAACTATTCGGGAGTTCCGGGAAAGCTGGCGGAGCCCAGGTGTGAATTGGATGTGATGTTCCTCAACCCTCGAGCCCGGAATTTATTGACACAACTGCCGATGTCGAACAACAGAACGAATGGTTTGGGCTCGATGCTGGATTTCTGCTCCTAGCCGCTCGGAAACTCATCTGTGAACTAAGTGACATCCAGACTCTTGTGGACTGTGGCCAACTGGCGCTTATGTCATGTGTGTATGGCGCGGTGTTACGCAGCAGATCTAGTACCAGACTTGACAAGAGAAGTTGCAGTGGCAGCCGGACTCTGGGCCATTCCCCGGCACGAAGCAGCCCCAAGCAGAGCCGTGGCAGCACGACCAGCACCTTGCAGGAGGGTGTCCCATTGCAAACAACATTGGCTCCGTCCTTCTCCCTATGGTACTTTCCACATCGAAACTTCGGTGGACGTGGTTGGGTGCTGCTTCCGAATCCGAAAAAAAAAGAGAGACCCAAACATACAGGAAGCTGCAAACTTAGGCACTCATGGGTCCAGAATTTGCCCGCCGCCGCGTCGCAGGCCCGCTCGGACACCGTGCATTCGCACGCATGACTGGCCTCGTCAAAGCAACCCCAAGAGTATTGCCTCTGGCAATCGGGATGCTGCTCGTTGGTGGTGGCATCGCAGGATCGGCATGTGTCAGTCCAGTGACCTTGCCGAGCCAGGCACTGCGTTTCTGTGACGGTGCAGTCGCATCGATGAGTCTCCGTGTCGTAGCATCCCGTGCCGCTGCCGGTGTTGGAATCTGCCATGAAGAACCCCGAAAGGAGCACCAGCAGGGCAACGACGAAACCCGTGGGACGACCCGCAGCAGAAGTCTCTGCGTCCACGTCGCAGTCGAAGCATTGGTGGGACCAAGTTGCATCCTCAGCTGCGGATACCGAAAGCCTCCAATCTCCAACCGCTAACCTGGCGAGCAGCTCAAGCACTACAACAAGATCTGAAGTCGGGAAACCCAGAACCCGCGAAACCTCAGCACGACAGGAGGCTGGGAAATCCAGGCTGCACGATGTCTCGTGGAGGTTGCCTCAAAGCTTCAGGAATGTTCTTCGGGCCTTGACTACTGTACAGTTAAGACTTCAAGAGCTCGACGCATTCAAGAACTCAGCTATATAACTCTCTGATGTTTGGAAGCAACCGTGAGCGACATTTAGGTTTAAACTCCTACTACGATCCGTCATGCCGCATGCTGACATGTTCCACGTTCGCCCGGCCATGTCCCACAATCGTTCGTGTCTGCTTGGGAGGTGGCTCCATCTGATCGTTCTCATGGGCATTCCTCTGAAGCTTAGGACGACAAGTTGCAGTGGCAGCCGGACTCGGGACCATTCCCCGGCACGAAGCAGCCCCAAGAAGAGCCGTGGCAGCAGGACCAGCACCTTAGCACACGGGCTTCGTCTTGTTTTCCGAAACCAAGCATGCATGGCAAGGCTACGACGGCATTGCTTAGAGACCCAGGCACTCATGGGTCCAGGTCTTGCCAGCAGCTGCTTCGCAGGTTTGCTCGGAGACGGTGCACTCACAAGCATGACTGGCCTCGTCAAAGCAACCCCAGGAGTATTGCCTCTGGCACTGGGGGTGCTGCTCGTTGGTGGTGGAATCGCAGGATCGACACGTGTCAGTCCAGGTGCCTCCCCGAGCATGGCAGGTAGATTCGGAGACTGTGCAGTCGCACTGGTGAGTCTCCACGTTGTAGCATCCTGTGCCGCTGCCGGTGTTGGCTTCTGCTGCGAAGAAGCCGTGGAGGAGCACTAGCAGGGAAACCGTCGCCATGGCAACAGGAGGCGTCAGGCGAGTGCCAAAATCACGTGCTGGAGCAAAAATGCCTCCCCCATCAAGTGACCTGGCAGGTGAGTGTGCTAAGAATGCTTAAGTTCTCGTAGGAGTGGGGAGACGCGCCATCTCGACGGCCAGGCAACTCTGCACCCGCAAACCCTGAAGCTACCTTTTGGGAGGGAGACCGAAGTTTTCCGCCAATTGGTTTGGGGCCTGTTTCGGGTTTAGGCTTCCTTCTCTCCCGAAGTTGTGGTATGGTCTGCTTCAGCGGCGTTATGATGTCTATGGTCCACGTTTTCCAGCTGGAGCTCAGCACGAGCTGTGAACCACGCAGGGTCTTCATGCATGCCTGGCCTTGCGGTCTCCTCCTCCTCCTCGGGCCTACCAGCGAGGAAGGAACAAGCATTCAAAATCGGATGCATATTACAACTTCCAATACAAGTCAGGAAGGCCACTCTCCACTATACAACAGTTACAATTCTAGCATGCCTCTGCCTCTGCCGTCTAGCAGTAGCAAAAGAAGCAGCATGCCGGAAAGGGCCCTTGCACAAAAATGCTTATCTGCGCATGCAGCGATACAAAACCGCTGACACTCCGAAGAGGTCACTGCAGCGGAACACAAAAACGAGACTGCCTGGGAGGCCAAGAGGGAAGCGAACAGATGCGCCGGCCTACTACAGCCTTAAACTTTAAACTGCTCCGACAATCTCCTTTGGAGCGCAAGCGAAAAAAATGAAAAATGATGCACGGTTGGCTTGGGACTGCATCTCGTGTCCGTGCAGCCCTAAGGCGTCTCAGGCAGCATCAAGCAACCTCTTTGGGAGTTGCAGCAGAGGATGGAGCCGTTCCCGGAACGGCCAAGCCCACCACCACGTCTGACTGATTGAACTGCGGGCTGTTGTACCTCGGCATGCAGAGGACAGACGATGGACTTCGAATGCCCGTTTCCCTCATCGATTCCTCTAATTGAAGGTTTTTCAGATCGCAACGACTGGGACGCGGGATTTTGAGCACAAGGTGTTGCCGAGCCGCGGCTCGTTCACCGGCTTTGGTTTTCTCATCTTGGCCCAGAGGCAGTAGATGCCAATGCATGCAGCAACCACAACGACTGTGACCGAAACGGACACCTCAGCTGCTTCCAAACTTCCAGTGGCGGATTGGTAGGCTCTGAACGACTCATATCAGGGCATGAGCCATGATGGGACAAAACCTAAAGCTTCAGCAAGCCATTCGTCGTCAGTCGTCCCAACAACCCGTTGCTGAAGAACGGCCGTGACACGGCCACAGCAACCCCGACGCCCCCATCGTCCACAGCCGCCTCCACATCCTTCTGCACCTGCAAGGTGCCATGTGTTGCAGTATGTCGGATTTGGGGTGCGCTGGCTTTTGCTGGGGAGTCTACAGTCTACGGCTTGGGGTTCGCGATCACGCCGGCAAAGAGCTGGCACTCTGCAAACTGCGGAAAATCGAGCGCGACGTGCACATTCTTCAGGTGCTAGCGGGCATCAAAAGAAGAACTGCAAAACGCCGCACCCAAAGACTCAAGCGCAAAGCCTGAACAAACGAGACCTACAATATAATATGCCAATAAAGCTACACAATAGTAAGTTTCAAGGTTCTTGTTTCCTACTGGAACGAACTACTGCACGTTCTGGGCACCGCATCCTCTTCGCACTCGAAGCACTGGTGGGACCAAGTTGCGTCCTCAGTTGCCAACGGACACCACAGGAGTTCCCCCCACACACACACACACACACATACACGGAGCTGCCAGGCACGGCAGGGATCACAACATCAACACACGCCGAAGTCGGACACGCATGAAACGCAAAGCCTCCGCCCCTCTCTACCATGAGACTGGCGGCAGGGAAGTCAAGGGCGCACGCGCCCTCGTAGAGGTTGCCTGATCGCATGACGGTCGATTGCATAACCTTGCAAGAGCCTTCCTAGCGAACCTGTGCGGATTGAACTGTTCGGCTTCTGCAGCTCCAACTATTCGGGAGTTCCGGGAAAGCTGGCGGAGCCCAGGTGTGAATTGGATGTGATGTTCCTCAACCCTCGAGCCCGAAATTTATTGACACAACTGCTGATGTCGAACAACAGAACGAATGGTTTGGGCTCGATGCTGGATTTCTGCTCCTAGCCGCTCGGAACCTCATCTGTGAACTAAGTGACATCCAGACTCTTGTGGACTGTGGCCAACTGGTGCTTATGTCATGTGTGTATGGCGCGGTGTTACGCAGCAGATCTAGTACCAGACTTGACAGGAGAAGTTGCAGTGGCATCCGGACTCTGGGCCATTCCCCGGCACGAAGCAGCCCCAAGCAGAGCCGTGGCAGCACGACCAGCACCTTGCCCATTGCAAACATCACATTGGCTCTGTCCTTCTCCCTATGATACTTTCCACATCGAAACTTCGGTGGACGTGGTTGGGTGCTGCTTCCGAATCCGAAAAAAACTGCGAGACCCAAACACACAGGGAGCTGCAAACTTAGGCACTCATGGGTCCAGAATTTGCCCGCCGCCGCGTCGCAGGCCCGCTCGGACACGGTGCACTCGCACGCATGACTGGCCTCGTCAAAGCAACCCCAAGAGTATTGCCTCTGGCAATCGGGATGCTGCTCGTTGGTGGTGGCATCGCAGGATCGGCACGTGTCAGTCCAGTGACCTTGCCGAGCCAGGCACTGCGTTTCGGTGACGGTGCAGTCGCATCGATGAGTCTCCGTGTCGTAGCATCCCGTGCCCGTGCCGGTGTTGGAATCTGCCATGAAGAACCCAGAAAGGAGCACCAGCAGGGCAACGACGAAACCTGTGGGACGACCCGCTGCAGAAGTCTCTGCATCCACGTCGCAGTCGAAGCATTGGTGGGACCAAGTTGCATCCTCAGCTGCGGATATCGAAAGCCTCCAATCGCTAACCTGGCGAGCAGCTCTAGCACCACAACAAGATCTGAAGTCGGGAAACCCAGAACCCGCGAAACCTCAGCACGACAGGAGGCTGGGAAATCCAGGCTGCACGATGTCTCGTGGAGGTTGCCTCAAAGCTTTAGGATTGTTCTTCGGGCCTTGACTACTGTACAGTTAAGACTTCAAGAGCTCGACGCATTCAAGAACTCAGCTATATAACTCTCTGATGTTTGGAAGCAACCGTGAGCGACATTTAGGTTTAAACTCCTACTACGATCCGTCATGCCGCATGCTGACATGTTCCACGTTTGCCCGGCCATGTCCCACAATCGTTCGTGTCTGCTTGGGAGGTGGCTCCATCTGATCGTTCTCATGGGCATTCCTCTGAAGCTTAGGACGACAAGTTGCAGTGGCAGCCGGACTCGGCGCCATTCCCCGGTACGAAGCAGCCCCAAGAAGAGCCGTGGCAGCAGGACCAGCACCTTAGCACACGGGCTTCGTCTTGTTTTCCGAAACCAAGCATGCATGGCAAGGCTACGACGGCATTGCTTAGAGACCCAGGCACTCATGAGTCCAGGTCTTGCCAGCCGCTGCTTCGCAGGTTTTCTCGGAGACGGTGCACTCACAAGCATGACTGGCCTCGTCAAAGCAACCCCAGGAGTATTGCCTCTGGCACTGGGGGTGCTGCTCGTTGGTGGTGGAATCGCAGGATCGACACGTGTCAGTCCAGGTGCCTCCCCGAGCATGGCAGGTAGATTCGGAGACTGTGCAGTCGCACTGGTGAGTCTCCACGTTGTAGCATCCTGTGCCGCTGCCGGTGTTGGCTTCTGCTGCGAAGAAGCCGTGGAGGAGCACTAGCAGGGAAACCGTCGCCATGGCAACAGGAGGCGTCAGGCGAGTGCCAAAATCACGTGCTGGAGCAAAAATGCCTCCCACAGGTGAGTGTGCTAACAACGCTTAAGATCTCGTAGGAGTGGGGAGAAGCGCCATCTCGACGGCCAGGCAACTCTGCACCCGCAAAGCCTGAAGCTACCTTTTGGGAGGGAGACCGAAGTTTTCCGCCAATTGGTTTGGGGCCTGTTTAGGGTTTAGGCTTCCTTCTCTCCCCAAGTTGTGATATGGTCTGCTTCAGTGGCGTTATGATGTCATGGTCCGCCAGGTTTTGCAGCTGGAGCTCAGCGCGCGCTGTGCACCACGCAGGGTCTTGATGCATGCCGGGCCTTGCGGCCTCCTCCTCGGGCCTACCAGCGAGGAAGGAACAAGCATTCAAAATCGGATGCATATTACAACTTCCAATACAAGTCATGAAGGCCTTTCTCCACTATACAACAGTTACAATTCTTGCATGCCTCTGCCTCTGCCGTCTAGCAAAAGAAGCAGCATGCCGGAAAGGGCCCTCTCACAAAAATGCTTGTCTGCGGATGCAACGATACAAAACCGCCGACACTCCAAGCAGGTCACTACAGCGGAACACAAAAATCTGACTGCCTGGGAGGTCAAGAGGCAAGCGAACAGATGCGCCGGCCTACTACAGCCTTAAACTTTCAACTGCTCCAACAACCTCCTTTGGAGCTCAAGCGAAAAAATGGCGCATGTTTGGCTTGGGACTGCATCTCGTGTCCGTGCAGCCCTAAGGCGTCTCAGGCAGCATCAAGCAACCTCTTTGGGAGTTGCAGCAGAGGATGGAGCCGTTCCCGGAACGGCCAAGCCCACCACCACATCTGACTGATTGAACTGCGGGCTGTTGTACCTCGGTGTCCAGACATGCCCAGACGACAGAGTATGGATTTCGAATGCATAGGTTTTGCGGAGCACAACGACTGGGACGCGGGATTTTGAGCGATGGAGCCGGGCCGCGGCTCGTTCACCGGCTTTGGTTTCATCATCTTGGCCCAGAGGCAGTAAATGCCAATGCATGCAGCAACCACAACGACTGTGACCGAAACGGACACCTCAGTTGCTTCCAAACTTCCCGTGGAGGATTGTAGGAACGACTCATATCAGGGCATGAGCTATGATATATAGGACAAAATCTAAAGCTTCAGCAAGCCATTTGTCGTCAGTCGTCCCAACAACCCGTTGCTGAAGAACGGCCGTGACACGGCCACAGCAACCCCGACGCCCCCATCGTCCACAGCCGCCTCCACATCCTTCCGCACCTGCAGGGCGCCATGCGCTGCAAGCTTGTCGGATTTCGGGTGAGCTTCCCCTTGCCGGGAGGTCTACGGCTTAAGATGGCTGAAGGTTCGCGAGTATGACAGCGGCGCGCTCGTACTTTGAAAACGGATAATCGAGCGCCACGTGCACAATGCACAGCCTTCAGGTGCTACGCTCCGTCAAGAAAATGACTGTGAAACGCCTCACACAAAGACTCAAATGCAAAGACAAATAAATAGACTACAATATACAGATAACGTCACACAATGTTAAAGTTAAGCCTGAAAAGCCCCCGCACTAAACCGCCTAAAGACGTCCCGGGCACCGCATCCTCTTCGCACTCGAAGCACTGGTGCGACCAAGTTGCGTCCTCAGTTGCGAACGGACACACACACAGAGAGAAAGCTCTAGAAAGCCAACTCTGCCAGGAGCTGCAGGGATCAGAACATCAACACATCCCCGAAGTCGGACATGCACGAAACGCAAAGCCTCCACCCCTGTCTATACCATGAGACTTGCGGCAGGAAAGTCAAGCGCGCACGCGCCCTCGTAGAGGTTGCCTGATCAAATGACGGTCTCTTGCATAAGTTGCCGCAGTTTCAGGAGCCTTCCCAATGATTTCGGTTTCTCTGCTAGCTTCATGCTCCGAGCAGTTCAATATCTCATCTCCTAACTGGTTGACATCCAAGCTCTTGTGTACTCATACTTCTTCTGTGGTCGGTTAGCACATATTCTAACATATTGGTATGACAAGTTGCAGTGGCAACCGGACTCTGGGCCATTCCCCGGCACAAAGCAGCCCCAAGCAGAGCCGTGGCAGCACGACCAGCACCTTGCAGGCAGGAGGGTGTCCCATCGCAAACGCAAACATCACGTTGGCTCTGTCCTTCTCCCTATGATATGTTCCACATCGAAACTTCGGTGGACGTGATTGGGTGCTGCTTCCGAATCCAAAAAAATGAGAGACCCAAATACACAGGGAGCTGCAAACCTAGGCACTCATGGGTCCAGGATTTGCCCGCCGCCGTGTCGCAGGCCCGCTCGGACACCGTGCACTCGCACGCATGACTGGCCTCGTCAAAGCAACCCCAAGAGTATTGCCTCTGGCAATCGGGATGCTGCTCGTTGGTGGTGGCATCGCAGGATCGGCACGTGTCAGTCCAGTGACCTTGCCTAGCCAGGCACTGCGTTTCGGTGACGGTGCAGTCGCATCGATGAGTCTCCGTGTCGTAGCATCCCGTGCCCGTGCCGGTGTTGGAATCTGCCATGAAGAACCCAGAAAGGAGCACCAGCAGGGCAACGACGAAACCTGTGGGACGACCCGCTGCAGAAGTCTCTGCATCCACGTCGCAGTCGAAGCATTGGTGGGACCAAGTTGCATCCTCAGCTGCGGATATCGAAAGCCTCCAATCGCTAACCTGGCGAGCAGCTCTAGCACCACAACAAGATCTAGAGTCGAAAATCCAAAACCTGCAAAACCTCAGCGCGACAGGAGGCTGGGAAATCCAGGCTGCACGATGTCTCGTGGAGGTTGCCTCAAAGCTTCATGATTGTTCTGCGGGCCTTGACTACTGTACAGTTAAGACGTCAACAGCTCGACACACTTAAGAACTCAGCTGACTCTCAGATCCTTGGAAGCAACCGTGAGCAACATTTAGGTTTAAACTCCTACTACGATCCATCATGCATTTCACTCCGTTCAACAGCATGCCCGACGCGTTCCATGTTTGCCCAGCCATGTCCCACAATCGTTCGTGTCTGCTTGGGAGGTGGCTCCATCTGATCGTTCTCATGGGCATTCCTCTGAAGCTTAGGACGACAAGTTGCAGTGGCAGCCGGACTCGGCGCCATTCCCCGGTACGAAGCAGCCCCAAGAAGAGCCGTGGCAGCAGGACCAGCACCTTAGCACACGGGCTTCGTCTAGTTTTCCGAAACCAAGAATGCATGGCAAGACTACGACGGCACTGTTTGGAGACCCAGGCACTCATGAGTCCAGGTCTTGCCAGCCGCTGCTTCGCAGGTTTTCTCGGAGACGGTGCATTCGCACGCATGACTGGCCTCGTCAAAGCAACCCCAAGAGTATTGCCTCTGGCATTGGGGATGCTGCTCGTTGGTGGTGGAATCGCAGGATCGACACGTGTCAGTCCAGGTGCCTCCCCGAGCATGGCAGGTTGATTCGGAGACTGTGCAGTCGCACTGGTGAGTCTCCACGTTGTAGCATCCTGTGCCGCTGCCGGTGTTGGCTTCTGCTGTGAAGAAGCCGTAGAGGAACACAAGCAGGGCAAGGACGAAACCTCTGGGACGACCTGCAGAAGAAGTTGGCACCTCTCCGTTGCAGCTGCGGCAAGACTGCGTCCAGGACCCGGAACACTCCGCTTCAGTCGTGTCGCAATCGCAGGCATTTGTGGACGAGTCATAGCATCCCCAGTCTCTCTGGGTCTCCGCTTCCACATCACTGTACGAGCAGTTGTCCGCCGGCTCTTTGCAGGACGCCCTGCAGTGGCAGCATCCGCTTCGCGGGGAGACGTAGCCCGGTGCATACCACATGTTCGGCGACGAGCACGATGTTTCGGGAACATCGCAGCTGATGCTGTGAGATGTCATATCGTAGCAAGAGCCTTGTGAGGCACATGAGTTGCATCCAGATGTCCATGTGTGGCCTGTGCCTTTGGCTGTGCAGCCTGCTTCGGACACAAGACAATCGCACTGGCGGGCGGCATGCTCATAGCAACCCCAGTTCTCCTCCATGCTTCAGGAACTCACAAAACTCAGTCATCTGGGGGCTTATGATGGCTTGTGGCTGGCTCAAAGCTTCTATGCGCTCTCGGCATTGAAATTGTGCTTCTGTGGCGGTGGGCAGTCCTCCGGCGCGACCGCATCGCTGTAAGTGCAGTTGTCCGCCGGCTCTTTGCAGGACGCCCTGCAGTGGCAGCATCCGCTTCGCAGGGAGACGTAGCCCGGTGCATACCACATGTTCGGCGACGAGCACGACGTCTCGGGAACATCGCAGCTGATCGCGTGAGATGTCATGTCGTAGCAAGAGCCTTGTGAGGCACAGGAAGTGCATCCAGATGTCCATGTGTGGCCTGCACCTTTGGCTGTGCACGCGGCTTCCGACACAAGACAATCGCACTGGCGGGCAGCATGCTCATAGCAACCCCAGTTCTCCTCCATGCTTCAGGAACTAACAATGAGTGCAACATCAACCATACCATGCTACACTGTGCGGCACGACTTGCACTACAGGTCGACATCTGCTACTGCTACTACTGCTACTGCTACTACTACTACTACTACTACTACTACTACTACTACTACTACTACTACTACTACTACTACTGCTACTGCTACTACTACTACTACTTCTTCTTCTACTTCTTCTACTACTACTACTACTGACTACGGCAAGTACCACTACTACTACTTGTTCGCGATACTCTGATACAACCCCTTACCGGGACGATCGACTACGACTTCTGACAATTGCTGGACTCATCCATCCAGCGGCTTGCGATTCGCTTCAAGATTTTGTGCAACTGCCATAAACATGCGAGGGATGTCGATTTGAAGCCTCCGTGAGCTTTGGGTGATGCTTTGGTTGTTGGGTGCGGAGCTGTCCTGAGGGTCCTCCACCGCATCGTAGTAGGTGCAGTTCCCGGATGTGTTCGCGCAGGATGCCTCGCAATGGCAGCAGCCACTGCGTGGGGAGACATAGCCGGGAGCGTACCACATGTGTGGAGACGCGCAGTCGACCTCCGCCATGTTGCAGGACACTGCGTGCGTCGTCCTCGAGTTTTGAACGGCGGAGGCCTTCAACAGACTGACTACCGTTGCGATGTCTTACTAGACCAGCCCAAAACCTCAAAAGTCGTGGCAACTCTTGCGGGCGTGAGTGGCATGTTGTAACAGGACCCGGCGGACGTTCCATCGGCAGTCACGATCGCGAACATGACCTCGAAGCCCAGATAGCCCATGCACGACTACCCAAATCCTTCTGAAAAGCCGTGAACCCAGCCTCAAGCATGATTTCTTTTTTGCAGTATGACCTCAGCCCGACAATTGAAACCTAACGTGAACCCTGAACACCCCAACCCCCAAACCTTTAGAATTTTTTGAAGCCCGGGATTTGGGCCGGGTGATACAGCCTCAAACCTCTCCGGACCCTAATGGGTGTGTGTATCTGACCACCTGAAGACCAGTGGCCAGTCCTAGTCCTAGCATTGTCGCCATGGCAACAGGAGGCGTCAGGAATGTGCCAAAATCACGTGCTGGAGCAAAAATGCCTCCCAGATCATGTGGCCTTAGGACATGGCGAGATGAGGGCGCCGGTGGAAGGCTTCAAGCGTGATTTGAATGTCGTTTGAGCGGGGGCAGCGCCATCTTAACGGCCAGGCGATCCCCAACCCCAAGCCCTAAAGCTGCATTTGTGGATGGAGCCCGTTTGGGGCCTGTTTCGGGTTTAGGCTTCCTTCTCTCCCGAAGTTGTGGTATGGTCTGCTTCAGCAGCGTTATGATGTCTATGGTCCACGTTTTCCAGCTGGAGCTCAGCACGAGCTGTGAACCACGCAGGGTCTTCATGCATGCCTGGCCTTGCGGCCTCCTCCTCGGGCCTACCAGCGAGGAAGGAACAAGCATTCAAAATCGGATGCATATTACAACTTCCAATACAAGTCAGGAAGGCCACTCTCCACTATACAACGTTACAGTTACAATTCTTGCATGCCTCTGCCTCTGCCGTCTAGCAGCAGCAAAAGAAGCAGCATGCCGGAAAGGGCCCTTGCACAAAAATGCTTATCTGCGCATGCAGCGATACAAAACCGCTGACACTCCGAAGAGGTCACTGCAGCGGAACACAAAAACGAGACTGCCTGGGAGGCCAAGAGGGAAGCGAACAGATGCGCCGGCCTACTACAGCCTTAAACTTTAAACTGCTCCGACAATCTCCTTTGGAGCGCAAGCGAAAAAAATGAAAAATGATGCACGGTTGGCTTGGGACTGCATCTCGTGTCCGTGCAGCCCTAAGGCGTCTCAGGCAGCATCAAGCAACCTCTTTGGGAGTTGCAGCAGAGGATGGAGCCGTTCCCGGAACGGCCAAGCCCACCACCACGTCTGACTGATTGAACTGCGGGCTGTTGTACCTCGGCATGCAGAGGACAGACGATGGACTTCGAATGCCCGTTTCCCTCATCGATTCCTCTAATTGAAGGTTTTTCAGATCTCAACGACTGGGACGTGGGATTTTGAGCAGAAGGTGTTGCCGAGCGGCGGCTCGTTCACCGGCTTTGGTTTAATCATCTTGGCCCAGAGGCAGTAGATGCCAATGCATGCAGCAACCACAACGACTGTGACCGAAACGGACACCTCAGCTGCTTCCAAACTTTCAGTGGCGGATTGGTAGGCTCTGAACGACTCATATCAGGGCATGAGCCATGATGGGACAAAACCTAAAGCTTCAGCAAGCCATTCGTCGTCAGTCGTCCCAACAACCCGCTGCTGAAGAATAGCCGTGACACAGCCACAGCAACCCCGACGCCCCCATCGTCCACAGCCGCCTCCACATCCTTCTGCACCTGCAAGGTGCCATGTGTTGCAGTATGTCGGATTTGGGGTGCGCTTACCTTTGCTGGGGAGTCTACAGTCTACGGCTTGGGGTTCGCGATCACGCCGGCAAAGAGCTGGCACTCTGCAAACTGCGGAAAATCGAGCGCGACGTGCACATTCTTCAGGTGCTAGCGGGCATCAAAAGAAGAACTGCAAAACGCCGCACCCAAAGACTCAAGCGCAAAGCCTGAACAAACGAGACCTACAATATGCCAATAAAGCTACACAATAGTAAGTTTCAAGGTTCTTGTTTCCTACTGGAACGAACTAATGCACGTTCTGGGCACCGCATCCTCTTCGCACTCGAAGCACTGGTGGGACCAAGTTGCGTCCTCAGTTGCCAACGGGCTCAACTGGAGTTCCCCACACGCATACAGGCAGCTGCCAGGCACGGCATGGATCACAACATCAACACATGCCGAAGTCGGACACGCATGTAACGCAAAGCCTCCACCCCTCTCTAGCATGAGACTGGCAGCAGGGAAGTCAAGGGTGCACGCGCCCTCGTAGAGGTTGCCTGTTCGCACGACGGTCTCTTGCATAACTTGCTCTACCTTCCAGGAGCCTTGCTAGCCACCCTGCTCGTTTTGAACTGTCCGGCTTCTGCAGCTCCAACTATTTGGGAGTTTCGGGAGAGCTGGCGCAGCCGGGTGTGAATGGACGCGTGATGTTCCTCAACCCTCGAGCTCGAAATTAAGAAGCTACTGCCGATGCCGAACAACACAACGAAAGTCATGTTTTAGGTTCGATGCTGGCTTTCTGCTCCCAGCCTCTCCCAACCTCATCTGTGAACTGGGTGACATCCAGACTCTTGTGGACTGTGGCCAACTGACGCTTATGTCATGTGTGTATGGCGCGGTGTTACGAAGCAGATCTAGTACCAACAGACTTGACAGGACAAGTTGCAGTGGCAGCCGGACTCTGGGCCATTGCCCGGCACGAAGCAGCCCCAAGCAGAGCCGCGGCAGCACGACCAGCACCTTGCCCATTGCAAACATCACATTGGCTCTGTCCTTCTCCCTATGATACTTTCCACATCGAAACTTCGGTGGGCGTGGTTGGGTGCTGCTTCCGAATCCGAAAAAAAAGAGAGACCCAAACATACAAGAAGCTGCAAACTTAGGCACTCATGGGTCCAGAATTTGCCCGCCGCCGCGTCGCAGGCCCGCTCGGAGACGGTGCACTCGCACGCATGACTGGCCTCGTCAAAGCAACCCCAAGAGTATTGCCTCTGGCAATCGGGATGCTGCTCGTTGGTGGTGGCATCGCAGGATCGGCATGTGTCAGTCCAGTGACCTTGCCGAGCCAGGCACTGCGTTTCTGTGACGGTGCAGTCGCATCGATGAGTCTCCGTGTCGTAGCATCCCGTGCCCGTGCCGGTGTTGGAATCTGCCATGAAGAACCCCGAAAGGAGCACCAGCAGGGCAACGACGAAACCCGTGGGACGACCCGCTGCAGAAGTCTCTGCATCCACGTCGCAGTCGAAGCATTGGTGGGACCAAGTTGCATCCTCAGCTGCGGATATCGAAAGCCGCCAATCTCCAATCGCTTACCTGCCACCAACTCCAGCACCACAACAAGATCTGAAGTCGGGAAACCCAGAACCCGCGAAACCTCAGCACGACAGGAGGCTGGGAAATCCAGGCTGCACGATGTCTCGTGGAGGTTGCCTCAAAGCTTCATGATTGTTCTGCGGGCCTTGACTACTGTACAGTTAAGACGTCAACAGCTCGACGCATTCAAGAACTCAGCGAACTCTCAGATCTTTGGAAGCAACCGTGAGCGACATTTAGGTTTAAACTCCTACTACGATCCATCATGCATTTCACTCCGTTCATCCGCATGCCCGACGCGTTCCATGTTTGCCCGGGCATGTCCCACAATCCTTCGTGTCGGCTTGGGAGGCGGCTCCATCTGATCGTTCTCATGGGCATTCCTCTGAAGCTTAGGACGACAAGTTGCAGTGGCAGCCGGACTCGGGACCATTCCCCGGCACGAAGCAGCCCCAAGAAGAGCCGTGGCAGCAGGACCAGCACCTTAGCACACGGGCTTCGTCTTGTTTTCCGAAACCAAGCATGCATGGCAAAGCTACGACGGCATTGCTTAGAGACCCAGGCACTCATGAGTCCAGGTCTTGCCAGCCGCTGCTTCGCAGGTTTTCTCGGAGACGGTGCACTCACAAGCATGACTGGCCTCGTCAAAGCAACCCCAGGAGTATTGCCTCTGGCACTGGGGGTGCTGCTCGTTGGTGGTGGAATCGCAGGATCGACACGTGTCAGTCCAGGTGCCTCCCCGAGCATGGCAGGTAGATTCGGAGACTGTGCAGTCGCACTGGTGAGTCTCCACGTTGTAGCATCCTGTGCCGCTGCCGGTGTTGGCTTCTGCTGCGAAGAAGCCGTGGAGGAGCACTAGCAGAGAAACCGTCGCCATGGCAACAGGAGGCGTCAGGCGAGTGCCAAAATCACGTGCTGGAGAAAAAATGCCTCCCACAGGTGAGTGTGCTAACAACGCTTAAGATCTCGTAGGAGTGGGGAGAAGCGCCATCTCGACGGCCAGGCAATTCTGCA